AATCTCACCTCTTTCACACCATAAATAATTTATTTTCGATTCCGAAAACGTCAATGTTGGCACAGTTCGATATCTCCGGTAGTTTACATTACATGGAGTAAGAGTTGACGCAAGTTTGTTTTTTTCATGCTGCCATGCAATATCTACGGGAACAAAAGTATAACTATATTCTAAGATTTCAATGTCTGTTAACTGTATTAAATAGTTTAATGTTTAACTCCCATCGACTTCAGTTTTGTTTATCCTAGTTTGAATTCATATTAATATTACATATATGTGTGATGTGTGTATGGCTGATTTACAAAATAATTTTACTTAATGAAATATTGTACATAGGCATCCTAAATTAAAACTCTTGCTTTTTGTAGTATCGTAAAAATAATTTTACTGATACATATGTATAACATATTTTATTCGAATTATAAATTTCAATACTGCTTGATGACAAAGTGATGGAGTCTACTTAATACCAAGTAAAATTAAAGAGCCTTGAGGAAGTGAAACACTCTATCCCTGAGTTACATATTGGGTTTCACTGCATCACTTTGGTGTAAAGTAATTGCCATAATTTTTAACAGAGAAATATCAAATTTTTTTTCCAGCTCAGTTACAGGTAAGGTTGTCCTCAGTCAATTTCTTTTAATGAAATTCATCAGCCGAAACTTATCTTATGAGCTAGTCTGATATTGTTTAAAAAATTTTCCCGACATTAATCTATCGATATTGGGCATGGGGTTGATTTCTTCGTTCCCCCTTTCTGTTTTGTGGGACATTGGGTTTTTATTTTCTATCTATCTATCTATAATAATTGAAGAGATATTTTCAGTTTTGTGAAATTTTTTTCTTCTAAATTCTAAATTCTAAAATGATTACCTTGTGACTTTAGAGGTGTTTAGTTAATGTAATTTCTCTGATTTAGCAAAAAGATTTAAAGCTTTCAGAGGTTTGGGTGATCCACAATAAATTACGAACAGAGCAAGTATTTTTGAGCACCCCATATCAGAAAATCAAGCTATAAGTTTGCATTTGTATCGATTACTTAAGATGTTATTTTTATTAACTGCATAAAATTTCGAAAACCTAGCGTAAATATTGATGGCGTAATATTTATAAAAAAAATCTTGTTTTTTTACCTTTTTTTGTTATTACTGTAACTATAATATTCAATGTGCTAAAACTATAATATTCAATGAAATGGAACAAAATTTTTAGAGCAATTAAAAATTATTTACAAAATTATTGCTTTGAAATTTAGAAAAACTTCGTTAAAAACTGAACAAGATAGGAGTATTTAAGGTAGTTCCTTTATACTGCGAAAGCACATAAAAAATCTGAAAAAAGTTTCCTCACAATTTTGTAGTAAATCGTATTTGGCAGCTAACGAAAAAAAGTTTGATTTGAATGTCTAAAATTTCTATTTGAATATTTAAAAAGTTTCGAGAAATTTTCTAGTAGTTATTGTACATTTTAAAAGAAAGCTCAAAGCGATAAGGGGTTTTCCACAAATTTCATTTTGTACTTTTAATCATAGATTTATTTAAAATGAGACCGGCATTGGGGGGGGGGATCATTCCACATAACAATATATTTTCTTTCGCATGTTTCTTTTCCTTGTATCATCCTATTTTGCTTTCAGGACGATTATTGTAAAGCATAATCATCTGTCATTAAATATGATGTTTTATGATACAAACTAATTTTTTTGGAATACCCCTGATCACTTTGAACTACAAAACTAGTTGAAAAGTGCAAAAACTACTTAGAAAATTGCTTGAAGCTTTTTAAATTTTTTCAAGATATTCAAATCAAACTTTTCTCATTAGTTGCTAAATAGGATTCACCTCAAAATTGTGAAGAAACTTTCTTAGATTTTTCATGTGCTTTCGCAGTATAAAGGAACTACCTTAAATACTTATATCTTCCACAGTTTTTAATGATTTTTTAAAAACTTTTAAATCAATCATAATGTAATTAACTCTCTCTAATTTCATTGAATGTTTATAAAGTTATAGCATTAAAACGCTAGGCAAAGAAATTATTTTTTATAAAAATGTCCATATGTCCATTAATTTTCATGATGTTTAAGTGTCACTTTGCATGCTATATATTTCGCGTGCAGGTCGTTGGGCTACCGAAGCGGGGGTGCCATCCCCTCCGCAGAGGATCAAAATTGTGATGGCATGTCTTCGGATCATCCTCCGGGATGTTTCCCAGACCGTCGCCAATAGCCCATTGTGCAGCTCTAGTGCGACGTAAATTAACAATAACAACAACAGCATGCTACATATTTTTTCTTTCACAATACAAGACATGGGACAAGGCATCTAAAGATGGCTGAAAAAATTTTCCGTTTGCCATCTCTGGCAACTATAAAATTTTTCAGACAATATAATTAATAGTACTTCCTAACTAAAAAATAAAATGTTAATCAAAAAATATTTCCACATTAACATTTAGCGAATAGGTAAAGAAGTGCACTAAAATTCTAAACTTAAGACTACTTTAGTTTTGTACTTTTAATCTATGATTAAAAGTATTAAAATGAGACCGACATTGGGGGGAGGGCATTCCCCATAACAGATAGAGGTGAAATTTAAAAAATATTACATGTTGATAATAATATACAAACTACACATTGTTATTGTTGCATTTAATAATTTTGCTATTCATATATAACGCCGAAATTTTTTTAAATTTATTACTATTATCATGAAGTTATTTGCATAAATGAATCTATGTTTTGTAGGAAAAATAATTTAATTACTTACATTTCTCCTGCAAATAAACATTACGAACCTAAATATGACTTCATATATGTAATCAGATTTCCTATTTTACGAGTGTTCTATAAACATGTGTACTCAAAAATTGTAAAAGCAGTTAATATCTTCAAAACAAATTATTTAAAAAAAAAATGTCATTTCAATTTATAATAAAAAGAAAAATTATTATATTAGTCATTGTTATTACAATTATTAATGCTTGAAATATTATTATTAAAAATTTTATTATTAGTATTATAATTACTGTAATTATAATTAACTATAATTATCATTATAATTACAATTACTGTAATTATTATTGTATTTAATATAATTAGATTTAATATAATTATTATTATATAAAACCAATTCATTTAGTAAAGTCATTTTTTTAGTTGTCATAAATACAATTTCGACATTACTTTCATCCCTGTCACATAAAGTTCATCTTGATGTCGTGGAAACTTGCGTCACTCATATAAATGCTGATTCCCTTGTTAACGACATTAGTTCCTCACCACCTCTCTATAGCGCATGGATTTACATTTTACCCTGATTTGTCCCTCTCTGCCACTGTGGTTATGCTTGTTCTGTTTTTCTTCTCTCTCGCTTTCGACTACTGTGGTCTGTTGCTAGTTTTTTTTATCACCTTTTCCTCCATTTTTTGTTTTAAACTTTACGTTTGATATTTCAAATCACTTTTGTTTCTTCTCCTCCACTACTGGAAAGCCTCTGTCAGTTATAATGAGAGTCTATTTTTGAGTCCTTGGATCATGTTAACTGTTGTTCTTCTATTTCCAGTTTGTAATAGTTTGAAGCAAATGAAGTTCTTAATGTTCTAAAATATTACCGATTTAGTTTCTTAAGATTTTCTTTAACCAATTTATCACTGAATTATAAATTTTGAATTTTATATAATTTGTTTCTTTATAGACGATTATTTGGCATACGTAGGATATAACTCACTATTCTATAAAGGCGGAATTGATAATATTTGGCAGTTTACAAAGCCTTTAATAAGCGTATATCGAGCTGATACAGTTGAGGTAATAATATACTTTACACATACAGATATATATATATATATATACATGGTGCGTTCTGAAAGTAATGCGTATGATTTTATTGTGACGCGACTATCGATCGCAGCGCACTCAGATTGGTCTAAAAATGTGGTGGGGGATTTGTCCTTCCAAACGAGCCTGGTCTCAGGTCGCTCCGAGCAGTAGGAGCGGTAGGACGAGTCTTTACGCAAAGTCTGTATTTCGATCGAGTCACACCATGATAAAGTGTTCGCTAGAACACGATAAAGTNTTTGAAAGTTATTATTTATCTTGCTTTCTTTTGTTAATTAATAATTTTAATAGTCATTCAATTTCTTATTTCAAGATTGGCAGAGACAGGACCATCGCCTACAAAGATGTTCACACTCTTAAAATTTATAAAAAGTATATACTTTAATTTAAACTTTACTCGTGATAAAAAAAATCTTTATAATTTTTACTATAAACATTTCTAAAATTTGGCGACGCACAAATGGAAAATAGAATTCATGGGAAATAGAATACAACAAGATGTTCGCGTTTTCAATACTGTACAGGAAAGTTTCTCATACAGGGTGCGTTCTGAAAGTAATGCGCGTGATTTTATTGTGACGCGACTATCAATCGCAGCGCACTCAGATTGGTCTAAAAATGTGGTGGGGGATTTGTCCTTCCAAACGAGCCTGGTCTCAGGTCGCTCCGAGCAGTAGGGTAGGAGCGGTAGGACGAGTTTTTGCGCAAAGTCTTTATTTCGATCGAGTCACACTTATGTCTGTGGGTACAACCGGCTGAGCAACTGCGCATGCGCTTGAAATGCTTGGCTAGAATTTAATTTTCACCAAATAATTTCGAAAAGTAACCCTGTTGGGGAAACGGCGCGGAGGAATACCTTATACTATGTAGTTCTGGTGTATGAATACATAGATTTTAGCTTATAGGGTGTAATCATGTGTTGCTAGGTGGAATGCTGTCATTTTAAGCTCTTATTTACTTTTCAATAAATAAGGTAAGTTAAATGTTTTGAATGATTTTTTTTGTTGCTTATATTAATGTATCAACGTGTTTTTAAACGTGTATCAATTTTTTTATGCTAATTAATTGACGTAAGGAAGTTAAAGAATTCCACGTGACTTGGTTAGGCTTAGTAGTATTACTTATACGTTTTCGTTTCAACTTTGGATAATAACTTTAAAAAATGTCTGACAACAAAAAAGTAGGGACTGAAAACGTGAAATGCAAAGAATGTGGACGAGAATTTACAATGAGAAAAAATTTATACGCTCACATGAGGAACTTGCACGACGATAAGCCCATTGATATGTCCAACAAGTTAGGGTGCGCTTTATGCGATCAGATGTTTGTGAATTATTGTTTTTTACAGAAACATTACCAGAGCGAACATTCTGAAGTAAACTTGTTATTTGAAGTTAAGTCTTTTGAGGATCAAAATTCGTTTGACATTTGGAAGGGAAGTTTTGAAAAAGAGACAGTATCCCATTTTATACAACGATCTACTAAAAAATTGTCTGACTTATCAGTAGTTAAATATTATGTGTGTCATCGTAGTGGTAAGAGCCGTATTAGAGTTAGCGACGGGGAAAGAAAACGTCACGTTAAAACCATGGGGACTAATAAAATTAACAGCAGTTGTCCAGCTACTATGAAAGTAACGAAACATTCTGATAGAGGTAATATTTCTGTTGAGCTTCAATCAGTACATGTTGGTCATGAACATGAAGCTGCTAGGTTGCCTCTAAGTCTGGATGAACGTAAGCTTTTAGCTATTCAGATGGAGCAGGGCATACCAAAATCTAGGGTTTTAGCCAATGTTAGATCTAATTATACACCCTCAACACGTTTATCATTAATTGACAAGAAAGATTTGCACAATATCTGTACAGAATTTAACTTAGATAGTGAGGTATGTTTGGATAAAAATGATGTTCTTTCTGTGCATCTTAAAGTTCTAAAAATGCTAAAGGAGCCTGGCAACCATGTTTTGCTGTACAAGCCAGTTGGAGAGGCCTCTGCAATGCCAGGAATTTAAGAAAATGATTTTTTGCTTGGTATTATGAGCAATGCTCAGCAGAAGCTCCTAGAATTAAATGATGGTATCGTTATGATAGACTCCACACATGGTCTCAATCAGTATCAGCTTAAATTCACCACACTGATGGTTAATGATACTAATTGTGAAGGATTTCCAGCTGCTGTATTTTACTCTTCTAGAGAAACAGCTGACGTAGTGAAATATTTTTTTGATGCGATAAGTAAGCGGGTGCCTAATCTTAATCTACCTACTGTTTTTATGTCAGATGACGCACCAGCCTATTATAATGCATGGGTTAATGTTTTTGGGGAATGTGACTTTCACTTATTATGTAGCTGGCATGTTAAAAGGGCTTGGAAGAAGAATTTAAATTCTAAGGTCAGGGTAGCTGATTTAAGATCCGCCATTAAATCTGACTTATTTGAGCTTCAAGAAGAGACTGATGTTGTGACATTTGATCATTTATGCAAATCATTCTTTGAGAAGTATAGCTCTAATGCAGATGCGAAAAGTTTTTTAAATTATTTCAATGAGGAGTACATGTGCAGGACAAAGCAATGGGCTTATTGTTATAGAGTTGATTGTAGGATTAATGTTAATATGAAATTGGAAAGGTGGCATAGGTTGTTAAAGTATGAAGAAGGTGCTGGGCGTGTTATTAAGAGACTTGACAAGTCACTTTCTATGGTGTTGAGTGCTATCAGGGCTAAACTTTTTGGAAGGTTAATTTCTCTTGAGAGGCATAAACTTACAGCGAGGGTATTAGATATAAGAAGTAGGCATGACAAAATAAAAGTTATGAACGACAAATATTCTGTTTTAGAATTGGATAAAGCATGCAGTTGGGTGGTTTCGAAACCTCATGGTAATTTAATTGTAACGTATGATGTTAATAAAGTTGATGTTAGGTGTAAATGCCAGTTAAGATGTGATGCATGTAACATTTGTGTGCATCAGTTTAAATGTAGTTGTGTCGATAATTGTATCAGGTTCAATATGTGCAAACACATTCATTTTGTCATTTCACATTTTTCTGTTACTTCTTTGAATTCCGTTGAGCCAGTTATTCCTCCTAGCAAATCAGACGAACATATTGCTATATCTGCTGAATTGGTAACTAATCGTGCATTAACCACTGAAAATAAGAGGAAAATGCTCCTAGAAAATCTTAATGATATAAAAGATTTAATTGTCAATGCCCAAACTGATTCAGAGCTAGATTTGATTCATAATACATTTAGTGAGTTAAAAACAAAATATTCATTGATGTCAGACAACAGTTTAGTTAACTTTACACAGTGTGAAAAACAACCAGCAAATAAACTTGTACAAAAGCAGGTTCGATTTTAAATTAAGATTTTGTGCATTCTAGATTTTTCATATTAATCAATGATTATAAATTGTTTTACGTTAGACTCATTTGGCCAGAAGTTTTTTTTTTTAATATAGAGGTTCTCTATGTGCATGGTTGATACACATTTGTCAAATAACTATTTATAGATTTTCTTTTGAATGAGATTCTATTCTTTTGTAAAAAGCTATAATCTAGAATAATTTATATAATATGTTTAATTCTTTTGTACAGACTAGTCAAATTTTTATGTATATAGAAGACTATAATCAAGAATAATTATCTAGACTTGCCAAATTTTTATGTATATAGAAAACTATAGTCATGATTAATTTATAATCCAGATTGTTAATAAATTTATTTATAAATAGAAAATATAATGAAAGGTAAATGTAAGTCAGAGTTCTTTAAGATTAAAAAAATCTATTAAATGTTATCCTTCAGAAGTTTTGCAATTGGTGTAGTTTTTACTAATTGATGTATTAAGTTTGTTATTCTCAATTGAGTTAATTTAAAATTAATTATATTTTCAATCAATAACAGAATGCATTTAAGTACTATACCTTTTGGTGTTCCATATTTTTTTTTTTTTTATTAATTTCATATCTTCATTGGGATAGCACACTAAACAGAACCAAGTCTTACAGTTGCAGTTAACTTTTGAAAATATGCTGAGTCTGCATAATTTCCTGAGCAGTGGTTGTGCAAGCATTACCTCTTAACTGTGGAGAAGTGATGATCTAGATGCACGATGGCTCAGTGGGGCTTTAGTGAGGGAACTTGTTTATTATTTTGATATCAAGTCTTTCCTTCTGTTGCCCCTTCTAAGCCGCATCTTTCGATTTCCATCAACATCTTTCTCAATGGGGAATTCTTTTGGAATTTAATATGGTTTGTAAGTATAATGGTGAGTATATTACCTTATATGTATATAGTTTTTGTTTACATTATATGAAGAAGTTATATTATTTGCTGTATTATTAAATTGTGCATGGAATTCCATGTCACAATATAACATATAATTAACTTGTACACTATATATGTTTTTTTAGTAGCTAAAATAAATAGTTCATTCAATCTGTCTTGTAGATATCTAGATGTTTTAACATTATTATGGTGCATAATAACTGTTGCATTAACTTACTAAATAGATGAGCCAGTGAGGTATTCATTGGTGCCCAATGTGTTAAGATAGTTTAATTTACCAAATATGAGCAGAAAATTGTTGAAAACTGAAGGGGAGAAATCAGCTTATCCAATTCACTAGCTTTGACAATTTGCATTAGGACATTACCAAATGAAATGCCTCCCTATTTGTGGAGCAATAATGATAACTGGCAAATATTTTAAAACTTACAGACAAAACATAAAGTAAATAAAAATTGGGTGCCTGTATTTAAAAATTTTAAAGAAACATGACAATTTGAATGGAATTTTTTTATTATTTAATCTTTTAATTATGAACTCAGTCTGATCTCTTACATACTGTGCAACTGTTATTACAGGGGGTGAATTTTTATTTCCTAATGTAGCAGGCCATATTTTTTTACAGCTTATACAATGGTTTCTCATTTGGAAAGAATTTCCAAATAAATTATAAACAAAATTTAAAGGTATGTGATTTTTTGTAAAGTATGAATAAAAAAGCTTGTGTACTTAAGTGTTAGAACTTTTCCGTGACTATGAACTAACGGTTCAGTTTGTGCAATTATTTCATTTTAATTATCCTTGATACATTGTGTACAAATATAAGGTTACTAATTAAAAATCTCAGCTATTGTTGAAAAATGGAAAGTAAAACAAAGAAGAAAATAAAAAGTGAATTTTTGTTTACAAGTTTTTAGTTATGTGGACTGCAACCTGCCATACCTAAAATGTGTCTGCATGTTTTATAATATGTATTGCTAAATACAAAACGAATTTGAAGGCCTTATCTACATAAAAGGTAAGACAAATGTTTCATATACAATTGTTGTAGAGGTATGTGTTAAATATAAAGCTTTAAAAGCTATGAAAAGTTTAAATATAAAGTTTTGCAATAATTAATAATGTTAAATACTTGTATTAATCATGTAAAATTAATTTACATATAGTGACATATGACATATAACTATAATTTTACCTATTTGTCTGGAGTAGGCTTTAAATGAGTGTTCTGAATAGGATCAAATTGATTTAAATCTTTAATATTTACTAATAGTGAAATTTAATTACCAATTACTCGATTTTTGTAATTGTATACAATGTCTTAGTGAGAAAAATATGTGCTATCACTTAAATCATATATTTTGTTAACATATAGCTATTTATCTAACTATTCACATGAATTTGGAATGCATATATATATACATAGGTTTGAAAAATTCATTGAAATAGAATATTATGAGTTTGCATGCTTTTAAAGATATGTGAATAGCCAAAGATACTATGATGAAGCTAATTACTGTAGCAATTCAGCACACTTATTTTTTCTTGTCATGAATATTATAAGACAATTTTAACAAATCATGTATTTTTAGAAAGTTCAATAAAAACTTAATATCCTTATTAAATTAAAATTTATTAATTAATATTATTAATTGATGTATATATTTAATTCATATACTATTCAATTCCATTTATTATTACTAAGTTTCTGTAAATGGTTTATATATATATATATATACACATCTGATAACCCTGGGTTAAACAAATGTTAAGTATAATAAACAAATTAATGCAAATATATATCTGTTGCCAACGTTTGAAAAAATTAGGTTATTTTCAATAGCAGGGAACACTAGCACAGAAAAAATTTCCGAATAGCTGCTTTTATCGCCACCTGTCGTTGAAATTTAGCGCCATCTGGCAATGATTTGATGAACTATTCTATCCAAAGCCGAAAAATCTCTCAGCCAGTTGTAAAGTGAAGGGTGTGCAACATTTGGCAACTTTTCGCTGTTTACAACTGGTTGAGGCGTAAAAATTTTCGCCCTGCGCAGTTGCTCAGCCGGTTGTACCCACAGACACAAGTCGCGTTAGCCAGTTTCTTAATTTTTTTTCTTCCAGGTAGTAGGTGTCTTCCTCTAGGTAGACGTTTTAGGGTTACTAGGGCCTGGATCCAGGGACCGGATGACCGATAAGTACCTTTTAAATTGGCGTATTAAATGAGTAATTCATTTTATTTTAATGATTAGAAATCCGTCTTAAATTAACAATGTCAAAAATTGTTATAATATTAAATTAACTTAAATAGATGCTAAAAAATCTAATTACTCCGCTAATCTTAAACCACGTGCGAGATTGATTTAATTTGAAGGTGCACCGAATTTTAAATATATAATGTGTTCTAATTATTGTTTTACGAAGACACTATATTTGTATAAGTGCAAATACATTGTAATCAAGAGTTAAGTTTAAATACATCTTTGTTTTTAAACGTTAATTTAGACTATGTCTCATGCTGTCCGGTGCCATAATCCTCAAAGATCGTTAAAATCTTTCTAAATGAAAAATTATTTCGATTAATCATGTAAATTAACATTGCTTATAATTAATTCTAGTCCAAATTGCCGTTTAACTAATCAGATTAACATTGATCTTGAGGCACGTGGATGGCCTGCACGAGTACGTTAGGGAATAATAACTGATGTTAAATGTTAGTTATTAAGGTATGAAGCTGCTAATTATTTTAACGTTGGAATCACAATGTAGTTATTTTGATAATTTTAGTTATATTCCTAATTTTTGATTTAAACTCACACAACGCAATATTATCGTTATTAAAAAATTATTCTAAGTGCTATACGATTGAAAATCAATTATTCCTTTACTAAAGGATAAGGTTAATAGCTCTATTCCAACATGTTAAAAAATGAACCAAAAAAATTAATACAAATAAATATTTAAATTATAACATTTTTAAATGATAACACTGACAGGTTATGTTTTTTAAAATTTATAAGTGATTGAATTTTTAAATTATAACACTTAAGCCTAAGATTTGATCAACAATTGTTTATTTAATTATACCAACAATGTATTTAAATTATAACACTATACTATCAAATGTAAATTATTATTTTATGAAAGGATTTTATATATTTATGAAAGGAATTTATCCATCAACACGATGGATAAATTCCAAAGGACATTATATGTTAAAAATGATCCATGAAATTAAAAGTAAATTATAACAATGTTTACGACCCAATATATAATTTAAATATAACCCTGGTTAGTTTAATCTTCCTTAAATATAAAAATATAAATTTTTATAAATTATAACAGTTGGTTAATTTTGTCAATGGATAATACTGAATACCAATTTTTAAATTATACCTGGTTTATATTTTAATAAACAATTTTTTCAAATTATAACAATACTGTGTAATTATATAACAATCTGAAGCCAGAATCTATAGAAAACTTAAATTCTCTAGAGTAACTGTGTCATTAAAATTTTTGCGATGAAAAGAATTATGGTTCTCTGACAAAAATCAGTGTAGGTTTTAAAGGCGACGAAATTTTAAATCCGCTGTTGGCCTCAAAAGTTATTTCTGACCAGAATCATATGAATATAAAGAAAGATTGCAGAAAGTTATCACCAAAAATGTCAAAAAAAAAAAGAAAAATGAGGAAATAGATTGTGACAAAACTAAGCTGCAATTTGTAGACAGAATTGTTATGTGCAATTTAGTAGAATTTAAACGTAATAATGAAAAAGAAACAAGGCAGGACGCATTTTTGCAGAATTATGTTGGTGATGACAAGAACTTTGCAGAACTGTGGTATGTTATGCAAATATTAATGACAATGTTCCATGGACAAGGGGACAGAAAAGGGGACTCGTATAAAGCACAACGTGTTATTTGCAACAACATAAAACAAGTTGGGGTTATATTAAATACCTCTATAACTAAAGAACTGCGGGTGTCTGCAGCTAGTGCACGTTCTAAATATCAAAAATGATACATCATCAAGTTTTAGTAAATACATCAAGTTTTTTAGACTATCAAAAAAAGAAAGAAAAAAAGCTTAGCATTCTCAGCTTCCCCGCTGTTGCACTGCGCATTCAAAGGAAATTAAAAATTTGAAGGCGATAGAAGTGGAGTACCTTCCCCCAAATGCGACATCAGCTTCAACCAATGGATCAAGGTGTGATCCACAGCTTTAAAAGAATCTACAGGAAAATGCTGACTCGCAAAGTTTTATTTCATGTGGAAAACAACATGAAATTTGACGTTGATCTGCTGGTTGCTCTACGAACTGAAGAAATCGCTTGGATAGAAGATGAAATACCTCGACGATGAAATACTGAAAGAATTTTCCTCGTATGTAAATGTGAGTGATGCCATGAACAACTTTGACGAATATGCAAAGGTCGACGATGATGTACAATGTACAGAAGTTAATGTAACTTCAACAAATTAATGCACATTAAAAAAATTAATGTCTTCGTCTAATGAAGCCTCGTTTATGTTCCTCGGTTTACTCTTCTTTATAATACTGCAGATTGTGTACATAAAAAAAAATTCGTTATATATACCGCAAATTATGTACATGAAAAAATTAATTTATTAGAAAATATATTTTTTTTTGTCATACTATGTTTTTTAATCTGTACTTTAAAATAAAATTCTTAACAGTTGTAATTCAATTGTTAAAATGTCATTATGTTTTATTAATGTATGTATCCTATCCCTTTTTGGTTTATAACACGTATACCACAAATAGTATATGCATGCATTGTGACGTTTAAAACCATTATGTGACCGATTTTCTAAGGAAATTTGCTCATTTTGTTATAACGACCAGATTGGGGCAGTCCCGATAACGCGAGTCAACTGTATGTATATATATATTCAAAAGGATGGAGATAGATTTTCAAACAAGACCCGACAAAATCTTAAATTTTGATAGTTATATATTAACTATTTATACTTAATTATCATAATAAAATGCTACATAAATATCATTCATTTTCAAAACCAGATTTATTCCAAAGTATATATGAAAATATTCAAGTTCTTTAAGAAATTCAAGTTTGTACAGCAGGTGGCGTGGCAACACTAGTTCAAGTTTGTACAGCAGGTGGCGTGGCAGCATTAGTTCAGTTCAGTCTCTCCCGAAATGGAAGCAAAGTGAGAAAATCATCATTCCCTTCTCATCGTCCGTGCGAGTAGGTGCTTTTCGATTTCAGTGGATTACTTGCGATAGTTGGTCTCCTCCCGGGCCGGCATATGAACCGAACTCCAGGCCACAATTCTTCCCAAATCGAGTGATTACGGCAAAATCCTACGCGGACACTCTCAAAAATCTAGAAATTAAAGAAACAGAATCTTTCCAAAATAAATTGAATGAAACTATCAAAAAAGCCGGCCAATTATTTGGACAATTAACTCTACTCGTAAACTTCATTAAACAATCAGGAATAGAAAAAATTACTTCAGTAACAACTAATGGTCAAATCTTAGTCTAACTAATAGTCTTACACTTAGTGGCTACAATTTTGATAAAAATGTCTGAATCTTAATCAGTTCTACGGTATACTACTAAATAAGGTATCATAAAATCATTATTGATATTTTATTACTTAAATTATTTTGTTTCTTCATTGCCTCATTTAAAAGAATTTAAGAAGATCGGTTGCCTATCACACATTGATCTTTTGTTAACCAAAGATGGAGAATATTTAGAGGTGAAAAAACCAAATTTTGATCATAATCATACAATAAGTGAAAAAATATACAAATTGCATGCCTCCGAAAGACATTTACCAGTACACATTCAAAGCTTTCGCTGCACACGTGCTAAAAGTGCAGGTAAATAAGAAGCATCTTCGGGCAGACCTCATGAGTAAAACAGATAAGATAGCTCTACTGAAAGACTTATCAAATATGGCTGCAAAATATAAAACTCCAGATAAGAAACTGTTTGAAATAGTGAAATCATAAAATAAGTGGAAAAATACAAAAATTGCATGCCTCCGAAAGACGTTTACCAGTACACATTCAAAGCTTTTGCTGCAAACGTGCTAAAAGTGCAGGTAAAAAGGAAGCATCTTCGGGCAGACCCCATAAGTAAAACAGATAAGATAGCTCTACTGAAAGACTTATCAAATATGGCTGCAAAATATAAAACTCCAGATAAGAAACAGTTTGAAATTGTGAATATTTTAGAAACAACTCACAAATGTTCAGTAGATATTCTAAAAAGAATCGCGTTCTGGAAGGACTTTTTATCCAAGACAAGGAAATGATATGTACCCTGAGATATTATTTTTTGATGGGACTTACAAGCTGATTGACATGGGATTAACTTGCTACATATTTTTGGTAGAAGATGGTAATGGTATGTTGAAAATGTTATTTTTTTAAACGTTTTTATTTCATAATAAACATTTATTAATTTTATTTCACATGCCAATTTAAAAAATATTTTGCCATACCTATTGAGATATTTTATGATTGATTGATTGAATGTAGAAGTTTTATGGCACAAGATCCAAAGGAGGATATGCTGCGCCAAACAATTTGTTGAGTTAGATCTAATGGTAAATTGCACACAATAGTTTCATTGTCATAAAATAAATGAAACGAATAAAATTGTTTATCTCAAGACACGTATTTTTAAAAGTTCATAAAATCAATAAAAGCGTAATTCTATAAAATACACAGAAAAGGTAAAACGGTTCATGGGTAGGAAATAAGAGTGAATAAAATCAGATAAAACAGTTATATACAATATAAAATACCAATAGCTCGCAGAAATGCGAAAATGTTAGGATGATGAATATCATCTAACAAATCCTTCATACATAAAATCGTGCTATTAAAAAAGGTAAGACGATGTTGGTTAAAACAAGGACAAATGGTTAAAATGTGATGAACCGTAAGTAAAGTATTGCAAGAGTCGCATTTGGGAGGAGATTCTCCAAACAACAGATGAAGATGCGTGAGTCGAGTGTNATATATATATATATATATATATATATATATATATATATATATATATATATATATATATATATATATATATATATATATATATATATATATATATATATATATATATATATATATATATATATATATATATATATATATATATATATATATATATATATATATATATATATATATATATATATATATATATATATATATATATATATATATATATATATATATATATATATATATATATATATATATATATATATATATATATATATATATATATATATATATATATATATATATATATATATATATATATATATATATATATATATATATATATATATATATATATATATATATATATATATATATATATATATATATATATATATATATATATATATATATATATATATATATATATATATATATATATATATATATATATATATATATATATATATATATATATATATATATATATATATATATATATATATATATATATATATATATATATATATATATATATATATATATATATATATATATATATATATATATATATATATATATATATATATATATATATATATATATATATATATATATATATATATATATATATATATATATATATATATATATATATATATATATATATATATATATATATATATATATATATATATATATATATATATATATATATATATATATATATATATATATATATATATATATATATATATATATATATATATATATATATATATATATATATATATATATATATATATATATATATATATATATATATATATATATATATATATATATATATATATATATATATATATATATATATATATATATATATATATATATATATATATATATATATATATATATATATATATATATATATATATATATATATATATATATATATATATATATATATATATATATATATATATATATATATATATATATATATATATATATATATATATATATATATATATATATATATATATATATATATATATATATATATATATATATATATATATATATATATATATATATATATATATATATATATATATATATATATATATATATATATATATATATATATATATATATATATATATATATATATATATATATATATATATATATATATATATATATATATATATATATATATATATATATATATATATATATATATATATATATATATATATATATATATATATATATATATATATATATATATATATATATATATATATATATATATATATATATATATATATATATATATATATATATATATATATATATATATATATATATATATATATATATATATATATATATATAAACTATTCTTTGAATGAAAAATTAAACATTTTGTAGGCAATTTTGAATCACAACAACGAAATAAAAAAGAGCTCTATGTACAACTTTCTTCAGGATTAGGTCTATTAACAAGGTGAGTAATATTCCTGTTTATTAAATATGGCAAGCTTATTTTGCCTGTTGTAAATAAATTGCAAATTTAAAACTTCTTATATAATGATGCGAGGTTTAACATAGAATAATCTTATATACAAGTGTAATACGCAAAGCAAAATCTCTTATTTTTTTTAAACGCAAAGATAAGTTTATTTTTACAGTCTTTATATCATTTTAAAGACTAAACATTTATCGATATTCTAACCAGTAACAATTTTTTGTTATAAATATAACAGTTTTGTAACTTTCTAAAGGAAAATTTATATTTTCTAAAATTACAGAAATTTAATGTTAAACTGCATCGTAATCTATTAAATGAGTTTTTTTTTCTGTTAACAAATGAAATATGAAAGCATTGATACTGGTTGTATCTGTTAAGTGCAGATTTTTTAGGTTTCGAATGCGAAAAACTTCAGTATCGAAGTGGCAACAAATAATTTGATACATTGAAACAGATGCCGTTTGGTCTCTGTGGTGGTCAAGGAGCTGGTCTCATACCAGGAAGGTTCCGGATTCGAATCCCTCTTTCCAAAGTCGTGAAAAAAATAAAAATTCCACAACAATTCTTTCAATCATGATGGTTTTCAACATCTCAAAAATCATTAAAAATTACATAAAAATAGAATAATTAAAAAATATATAACTATTACAAACTTATGTAAAATTAATTGGTTCACTATGCAAATCAGAGTATATGTATCTACCTTCACTCCAAATTTCTCTACGGAAAATAGCTAGTGTGTACGGATATTTTTTGTAAAGTTTTATTATGTAAATTTTTGACGTGCTTTTTTCCGTAGCATAAGGGTAATCTCAGGTAGCTTTGATGCCAGAAATTCTCCGTAATATAAAAGAATTCCTTTTTACAGTGTATATAGCAACAGCTAAATGTTATGCGCTTTTGCAGCCATTGTGTCAGAATTTGCATTATCATGTCCTACTAGCTCCCTGACATGTCCTTGAGAAACCATTTAGCTATAACTCCCACTTCTTTAAGGAATCAGTTTATGAGAAAATGTTCTTTTAAAATAACGAACAGGTGTGTCATGAAAAAATAAAATTTTTCCTAAAATTTAAATAAATAAATAAATTGGTATTTCATCTAATTCTTTTCTTAGTAAATTTAATTATTAATGTCTTTTCCCAGTAACTTGAGCATGTAACCCAGGTATGTTAGGTTTGTTAACCCAGTAACTCGCTGCTTGGGACATTACTTAGAATTCGAAAAACGTTAAAATTGTTGCTATTGTTATTACAAAATTATCGTTTTTAATTCCACCCGCTAACACATTTTAAATTCAAAAAATTCTAAATCTAAGGAAAAGAGAAAAATCTTTAGTTAAAGAACTTGGCAATAATTACTAGATATAACTAGATAAATCATGGATTCCTCAACTTATCCTTGCAAAGAGTATTCTAACATGCTTCTTGCATTTTATTATCTCCCGTATTTTATTAATTTAAGGGTACAGTGGACCTTGAAATTCGATAAAAATGATCAAAGTATCGACTTTTAGATTTTTATATATTTGGATAGTAGACATCATANGGGGGAAAATGCATTCTTTTCGCCGCCATTTGTCCGTTCTCCAGTTGCGTATTTTCCCTTGCATTCTAAATATGTTTTTAATAGTTTTAGATTGGTGTAATTCTTTTCATAAGAGTAAAATCTTCTGGCTGTTAATTCGAGAATAAAGAGTTCATATTCATTGATATATGTGCCAATTATTTATATCTTAAATTTTGTTGTTTTTATGAAATATCTCGGTCAATTTCAGTAAAAATGATCTGGATTAACTGCTATTCTTCAGAAATCATATTTGCATTGCAAAACATGGATTTACATATAGTTTCCACAAAGTTTGGACTAAGAAACGGGTACAATATATTGGTGGTAAGCAACGGTTTTATGAGCAAGGAGTTAATGAACGCTGTTCGGGACACACTCTTGATCAATATTTCTCTTCTTCTATCTAATCCAACCATCTGAGTCGGGTCAGATAACTTCTAATGCTATTCTGCCATGTAACAGAAAAATCAAAATGTAAATGACGAAAACTTAAAATTGAGATCATATGATAGATGGATGAGATTATACATATTTTTATATGTTTGGCATCTTCGCATAAACTATATCATTCATTTCTTTCAAAAGTAAATTTTATTCCACCAGATACTTGAAATTTTTTTAGCATTAGCAACGGAAAGAAAATGGTTTTGAAACTACATATCCCGAAATCTAACTTGAACCACTTAAATGTTGCTTTTTCATTTTCTTGGCAGTATTTCAGTCGGCATAAATTTAATCCATTCAAAAAACTAGCTATTCTGCTCCGACTAGAAGTGAGCCACTAGGTTTAACGCTTTCAAAAGGACATGACGGGGAAGTGGTATGCCATGGAAATGCAAATCATTTAAATATGCATCAACCGTTGTGTTAATCATGCATAAAATTAGGTAAGAAAGTATAATGTAAATATTTTCAAGAATAAACAAATTTTTTATGTCTTAAGTACGAAGACATTAGTTTTGGTAAGTTCTAAATTTTCAATTTCATGAAAACATGCAGAAGCAGAACTTTAAATATCTGAATTATGATGCATAAATAAGAAATGGAATGCGTTCAGGAGGCATTTTTAAACGCGATTTCGTGAAAAATAGTTTTTGAATGATAATTTTACCAAACCCATTATATATATTTTCAACCTGGAGACTTTATGTTTCACATGTGAAATAGAAAACTATAGCCGATTCGAAAAACGCATAAGATTTTCTTATATTTTTGTTTATTTTCTTTTGTATGAAAATATAAAACAAGTGTGTTTTTTAAAAAATATTTCCGTCTTGACTTCGGTTTTGAAATTTTTTAATTTCTTTTACTATTTATAAAATGTCTCTTTATTTAACATGTTGAAATACATAGAACAATTATCATAATTAGTATAAAAAACTTTTATTTCCCAATAGTTAAGATTAACTTTGTTCTTTTTCAGTCCCTACTATTAGTTGACACTCTCCCTGCATATACAGGGTTATTCATAATTCCCTTAACCTGTAAACGCCTTTTTTCTTTACTACAACTGGCTTCAGTGGTACATGTTACTGCCATCTACCGGCAACAGCTTAAATTAAAATTTGAATACTTACGGAATAATTTCATATGTTCTTTTTTGCCATATTCGTTTACGTTTTTTTACTATAACGCTTCGAAACCCCGGAGGGAATTATGAATAACCCCGTATTTTTAAATCTTGTTCAACTTTTCAATCGTTAATAAAATAATTTTTGTTTATCCACTCAAATTCAAATACATTTTTTTAAAATTGTAGCAGATGACACTTGATATTAATACAGTTTTTTTCAAATATTAATTCACTTCATTAATTAATTTTTCAATTCTTACTATTAGTTCTCACGCGTTATAGTTTGTATTTTATTTGTATTATAAAAAATTAAATAAAATTTTTCTTTATTGAAGTAAGTAGGAATTGACGTAATTTTTTTTCAATATATTACTTATTTTGTTTCAAGTCATGACGAAAAATGGAGGCACAGAAGGAAACTTCTCACACCTGCATTTCACTTTAATATTTTGAAAGATTTCCAATATGTCTTTAACAAACAATCGAAGATATTAATGGACATTTTAGATAAACATTCGAACGAGAAGTATGTTGACATACTTCCTTTTATTGCACGATGTAGCTTGGATATTATATGTGGTAAGTATTCAAGTTAATTTTTTTTATATGTCTAATGTAGTGTACAGTGCTCAAAATAAAAAACGGAGAAACTTTCATAACTTTTGATCTAATGATCTAATCTTCACGCTCTTGGACTCATTCTTAATGATTCAAAGGAGTAACTTCAAATATAAGATCACCGGACAAAAAATTAGTGCGTAAGTACCGATGAATCGTCAGGCTTCGTTGGATGACGCAGTAGTCAAGTAACGTGCACAACTGATAGCACACTTGCCTCAACGTGATCAAAGGAAAGTAGCCATCAGTGTGATATTTTTGTTTTGACGGAAATTGTGTGTAAATATGAGTAAGTGTAAGTGTTTGACAGAATGGCGAAAATGGACAATTGTGTTTGGCCGTGCCCATGGTTATACGGTGAATGAAGTTGCTGGATTTGTTGGTGTTTCCATGCGGACTGCCCATACAAGCAGTGATGCAATACACGTGGTCACGAAAGACGACGTCAGAATTGTGGTCGGAAAAAGATCCTGTATGAAAGGGACCGGAGACGTGTTTCACGACTTGTTAATCAAATTTGCTTCCGAACCCGACAGGAATTGCTTCAGTTAGTGAATGAAGGTCCATCCCAACCTGTTAGTGAGAGAACACTGCGATGGGAGCTGCAAGCAATGAACATTTTGAGTTTGGAGTCGAATTCCTCGTCAGAAGCCATTGCTCACAGGCACTTAAAGTTGTGCGACTTCAGTGAGCTAGAAGTCACTGAACGTGGACAGTTGCTGTCTGGAGGAATGTAATATGGTCTGACGAATCACGTTTTTGCCTCTATTCAAATGACGCACGTCATCAAGTGCACAGAAGATCAGATGAAGCATTTCCGGCTGACGGTGTGCAAGGTCAAGTTCAAGCCGGAGGTGGGTCTGTCATGTTTTGGGGGTGTTTTTCTTATTATGCATTGGACCTTGATTTCCTACCACTGAGGTGGCCACTAACATGAACCACGATGTTTATTTGAGCATTCTGAATAATCTGGTGTTGCTTTTCCGTCAGCAGCTTCTTAAAGAGCATGCTGTCACTCAGACACTCAATCACATCTCGACTGGCCTTCGAAATCACATGACTTGAACTTCTTTGAGAATTTTAGAGACATGTTGGAACAACGGGTAAAACGCCTAAATCAGCATCCTCGCAATTCGGTAGATTTGCGCGATCAAATCCTCAGCGAGTGCCTTAAACTGGATTCGACGTACCTGCAAAACCTTGTGTACTCACTTCCTAACCGAATCAAGGCGGTTGTCAAATCCAGAAGCGGTGTTACACTTATGATGTTTTTAATGATTTCTCTAAGGGTGACTAATTTTTTGTCCGGTTTGCTTATTTATTACTTGGTTCAGACAATATTTCAAATACGAAGTCAGTATTTATGTATATGAGTCTCTTACTATAAATTGCATTCTTTGAATGAAAAGTAATTTTTAAATAAGAAGCTTTTTGCAAATTTTTATGTATAAGAAATACAAGTACTCAGTATGGTACTTTCTGCGGAACTTCAATGCAACTATTGGAGTTGTTTCACTTTATAATAATAGATATGTTTATTTTGCATATGTCACTTTTCATCATATTTTAAAAGTATGGAGTTTGTTCAACTCAATGTTCAACTCCACAGGTTTGTAATTTTGAACCCAATGTGGAAAACAAGGGAACTCTTGTATCAATTGGGAGGAAAAATTCGCCTTCGGGGAGGATTTTTTTGATTTAGCTATCTTACATTTACATTACATGGAGAGGAAAATCACGAAAACCTCTCACGGTTAGCCTGACTGCTAGGGGACTCCAGCCCATGATCGGTCTACTACTGAAGATACTTTACGTCGGCACTATGATTGTTACAGGCCAAGTGCGGAATCCGTTTCGACCAGCCATAGCTGACATTTAAACCCGGGTCATGTCGCTGGGAGGCGAGCTGTCTATTCGCTAAGCCACCACGGTTCTAAATCAAATATTGAAGCATAAATACACGTTAAATTACCAATTATTTAAATAAAGAATAAATTTCAAATCAAAAATTGAAAAATCTAAATATAAGTATGCACACAAGGTATTTCAAATTGATAAAATAAAAACGTTAGAAAATCTTAAAAAAATAAGATATTTTGCGTCAGCACTGTGGTCTGTGTTAGCCAGGATCGAAATTCACATCAATCAGCTATCGCTGAAATTTGAACCAGGGTCACCTCATAGGGAGGCTACCGCTCTATCGCCTGAGCCACCACTGTTCAAATGCGTATACAAAGTAATTCTTAAAATGATGAAGATCTTAAAGTGATAAAGTGAACAAAATGTAAACTCGCATTAAACACTCAAAACACACTTCCGGTAGAGGTGTTGGTAGCCATTACTTTTTTGCATTTTCAATATAGTAAGATATTTCAGAAAACTAAGCGAAATGTTGTAAAAAAAATTATCATTAAAGGGCAGTTTTATAGCTGAAAGTGACGTCACTTCAAAACGTCATTTATAAGTAAAAAAAAAGGTATATATTTTGCAAATGGATGTTATTTGTAAAATAATGTGTATACTCAATTTGGAAACTGATTTTACTGTATAAAGTGTAATTATTTTTTTTACAGAGTCTGTTATGGGAACAGAAATGCACACACAAACAAAATCGACAAGTCCTTACGTGAAGAGAGTAATTGAGTATGTACTGTTTATTATTTATTTTGTGTTTTCATTCTTACATTATTTAATTTAATCGAAAGACTGATTTAAAAACGTCAACAGAATATTTTTTTAATAATAACAGAATGTTTTATTTTATGTTGGGCATGCAATGTATGCATGATTATTTTTTGGAAACAGGCAGGCGAGTCAGAATTTATCTTCGTTTTCAGATTTTTTTTCCTGCTAGGATAAAGAATACGGAGAATTTGTTCTTAATATTAAAATAAAAAAAAATCAGTGAAAGAAATACTGAACAAGTGTAAACCAAAAAATGACACGATATTTAAAAACAAAAACCTACAGAGCAGTAGGGATTACCGGCAAATGGCCCTTTCATTTACAGAAATAACAGTGCAAGAAATACAGGAAAGGTAAACAGAGTAACGTTATATGTTAATTTTCCTATCTATTAATTATAATAACAACACCTTTTGGTAAATTTTATAAAAATGCATAAATCATATTGCCAGATGTACAATGCAGTGTTTAAAAAAAAACAAAAAAAACAGACCACCCTGAATTACTTTTGATCTAATGGATTTGTCTTAACGTTCTACGACGTAACCTTAGTGGCTCTTTGGGTTGATCTCAAGTATGCTAATTAATGAGCTCAGACGATATTTTAATTACGGAATCAGACACAAAAACGTACTGTCGCTAAATAAACATGCCTTTTTATCAATGGATTCGGAATTCTGACCCCTAGTATATGGGGGGCAGCCGCAATCATGAAAATACGGAAACAAAAGTTTGGACCCCTTAATGTTCATTTTACTTTTTGCGCATTTTGTTATATCTCATGAGCTTTTTAAGCGAATTGAAAAATGTTAGCACACAATTATAAAATTCATTTATCCAAAGATAATTCCATACAAAAAATAAATTTTAGTTAATATTTATTATTTTATTTATAAATGGTCGAAAAAGCTTGAATTGTAAGATATAAATTTTTTGCATCATTTTGAAGAATATAATTTTGCATGGCAAAATGCAAAATTCGAGCAAAATCGGTTGAAACGTTCCTGAGAGAAAAATTTCAAAATTTAGATAAAAAAAAGTCAGATATTTAGAATTTGTTTTCTCTGAGGAACTATTCGTATTTTGCCATATTATATTCTTCAAAATGATGCAAAAAGTTGTAGATGTTACAGTTCTAAATTTTTTTGACCATTATTAAAAAATAATAAATATTTACTAAAAGTTATTTTTTGTGTGGCATTATCTTTGGATAAACGAATTTTTACAATTTTGTGCAAAATTATTTCGATTCGCTTAAAAAGTTCTCGAGATATAGCAAAATACGCAAAAAGTAAAATTAACATTAAGGGGATAAAAAATTTTTGAGCACTCTCCTTTCCAAATTATTGAGGCCATATTGATCAGATTGCGGTAACCCCGTATAAATTGGTAGTCAAAATTTTTTATTCCAAGCTGTTTGCCTTTGAAATGAGGTAGTTTTTTTTTTCTTGATCGATCAGAGCCTTCTTTGTCATTGTGAGAGTGCTTTTTCATCTACGACATGACGTCGATCAAAACGATGACAAGGAACAATCAAATTGTTATCGGATGGTTCAGTAGATGCTTTTCGAGATCCTTTTTTTGAGCCAAAAAAAACGCGAAATTATTGCTGCCCCCAGAGAATTGTGAATTTTAAAACGGAATCAGTATTAAAATTATACATGAAGCTTTCGTTAAAATCTAAGAAAGTGGAAAATGAAGAATTTTCAAAGCAAACTATTTAATCTGTACTATTAGAAACAAACAAACAAAACAAAACAAAAAAACTGCGGTAATCGCGCCATCTATAATTCTAAAATGCGAATAATTGTTAGATAGTTAGAGTTGTAAGTAAAAAATTAACTCGGATAATTTCCGTCGTAGTTTATAAATGAAAAAACTTGTAAATAATATTTTTTTTATATGTTACATGTCTTTTTCAATAATTTTGGACTTATCAAAAAGTTAAAGCTCAAATTTAAGCAGCTTTGATATTTTATTCTATATTTTTTTCAATAATTTTGGACTTATCAAAAAGTCAAAGCTCAAATTTATACATCTTTGATATTTTATTCTATGTTCGAATATGTTCTTTGATATTATTATTTTATGTTCGAAAAAGAACAACGACGTGTCAATTTTAATTGGCACTAATTTCCTTAGTAAATATAAGGCACTTGAGTTTAAATGAATCCGAAGCGGAAAAAAGATATCGGTATGATTTGATNATATATATCCATTTACAGGCCACTTGACCCGAATGCGAAGAGATTTCCTGAAAAATTAAAAAATTAAACTGTAATATATCCACACTGTAAAAGAATACGAATTGCGGTAAACAGTACTGACATTCAAGGTGCCTTTACTTTTTACTCTGGAGTTTTACGGAACAAATAAATCTGATTTACAGTAATTTTAAAAATAATACTTACTGTGAAATCTCTGAAACACTGCAATTAAATAAATGTTAATGCAAAATTATGGAATAAAATTGCACTGTAAAATAGATTTTTCGGATATTGCACTCAGGGTGCCATAACTTTTAACCATAATTTGAGCACTTTGCGCTGTAATGATTATACTTAGTATTTAAAAAATTTAAGGAAAAGTAAGCACGAAATTCCTCGTTTAATTGTTAAATTTGGGTCAAATAATAAAAGGCGTACTTTTTGTTGTGTCCATTTTCTTAAACACACTTTTTAAAATGTGTCCCATATTGAAAAGGCAAATTTTTTGCTCTGTCCATTTTCTTAAAAATGCTTTTTGAGCTATTTCAATTTTCTCAAACACGTGTTTTCAGCTCTATCCATTTTCTTAAACTCGTATTTTGAACTGTGTTCTTTTTTATTAAACGTACAGTTTGATTTACGGTAAAAAAAAAAATCACCGACAAAAAACCGGGTATAGCAAAAATTTCGACGTGGTAGAAAGATTACAGGAGAATCATTGAGGCTTTTTATTAGAATTTATTTATACGTAGGATTTTTAGAAAACAGATTCATTGGGCGTGATAACTTTGTTTATGATGACTTTGTTAATTTAATTTACAAGTTCCTTAATTTAAATCAAAGAAACTAATTTTAATTGTCAAAGAAACTAATTTTAATTAAAATCGTAAATCTCTAGTTCTGTGACAAATACTGATAATTTAAAAATACTTTAACAGAACAAACTTGAACTGGCAAACTTTTTTAGCTAACCAAGTTTTTGGAGCAATTGTTAGTTAATAAAAAAACATTATTTTTAAGTTTGAAAGTAAACTGCCAAAAATTGAGCAAAATATGACTGATTAAAATTATCCCTTTAATACTGCACATGTGCGGAAAACATGAAATTTCTTTTTGATAATTCAGTTGTGAATCGTATTTGGTAACTTAAGAACGAAGTCAGATTAGAATATCTTCAAAATTTAAAAAGTTTCTAGCATTCTTTTAAGAAGTTTCTTTCCTATTTCAAAAGGAAGCTATGAATAATAAAGAGTTTTCCACAAATTCCAATTTGTACCATAACAAGATTTATTACAAATGTCATAGGCAGTATTGGAAACCATCCCTTATTGAAGTACCGTTTATTTAACTTGTTTTCTTATATCATCATCCCATTTTATTACCTGATGAAGTATTATAGGGTATTATCAACTGTTGTTGAATTCTTTTAATCTACAAAATGAAATTTGTGGAAAAACCCCTTATCAATCAGAGCTTTCTTTAAAAAAAATGCAATAAGTAGTTAAAAAACTGCTAAAACTTTTATCATTTTCAAAATATTCAAATTGGATTTTTTTGATAAATTCCAAATGCTATTTTTCCAAATACGATTCACAACAAAATAGTGAAAAAAAATCAAAATTTTCTGCGCTTGAACAATATTAAAGTACTACTTTAAATGCTCATATCTTTCTCAATTTTTAAAAAAATTTCTTTCAAATTTTAAAACGATATTTTTGATTTTATTTGAAAATTTCACCAAAAATTTGGCTCATTTTATTGAATATTTTTAAAGTTATCGTAAACAAAACAAAAAATAAACAAATAAGCAAAAAATAAATAAATAAAATAAAATAAAATAAAATTAGTTTTTCATAAGAATGTTCGTAGCTCCATGAATACTTAGGCAAGGTTCACGAAATGTTATTTCTTTACTGTACATTGTAACTTAATTAATCGATATAAGTTACAAGCTGATTTGTACATTTCCAGGCTTAGGGTGTTCAAAAACACTCTTTTCTTTCGCCATCTGTTACAGGTCTCTAAAAACTCTGAAAGCTTTAAACTTTATTGATAAGAACGAGTTATAAAATATTTTACTTTGTATTTTTTTAAAAATTTCAAAAAATATCAAAAACTGAAAGTATTTCTTCCAGTCTTGTAGAAGTTGTTTATATCAAAGGGAAAAAGAGAAAATCCACTCGCATAGGGAGGCAGCTTAAGTTGAAGAGTTAGACTTCAACTTAGCTCCCTCCCTAAGTGAGAAGTAGTTTTTTTCCTTCATTTTTTTGGTTTTTGGACCAATCAGATCCTTCTTCATCATTCAATCAAAACCTATGTGAAACTGATTCGAATCCCCTTAGTGAATTATTTCGTTTGATTCAAATTAATTGGATGGTATCTTTTGCTCAACTCTAAACAGCAAGAACAAAATGCAGATTCACTTTTCTAACATATTTTAATTGTTTCAGATTGTCTAGTTTAGTATTTGAAAGAGTTTTAAGGCCTTGGTTGTGGATAGAAAATATTTATTCATTTTTTCCCTTGGGTAGACAGTTTCTCAACGCAAGTGCTTTTGTTCATGAATTTACTGATAAAGTAAGTATATTATGGTATAGTGAGCGCTACATTTACGTCGCATGCAATACCTGGCGTTTTTAGGCAACGTATGAATTAATATCTGCATTACCTGGGCAGTGAGTACAATAGCAAATGAGCTTTAGGCAAAGTGTGAAAGAGTGTTTTTGTGGATATGTGTCATAGAGAAAGAAGCATCGAATTACTGTTTCGTCATTTTTTTCCCTTACTTTTTTTTAATATTTTCTTTTTTTTTTTAAGTTGATGTCCCTGAAAATAGTGTTTAAATCAATTTCCTTAATCAAACATAGATATTTCTTTAATCGACTTGTTTGATTATTATTAATAATATCAAATGTGGTAAAATTAGAGTTGGGAATACAGAACAAAAATATATTGGACATTGTCCCGTGCATGCCTGCAATTTACTTTTCCCGGTAAATTCGGTTATTGCTATTAATACATGGAGTATTATTACTATTAATACATTATTACTACATTAATATTAAATATTTATGCCTTTTCTTAAAGAAAACAAACATATTTTGTACTTCATAAGTTTGTTATTTGGCAGAGTATTCAAATCCTAGGTAAGAAATGAAATGGAAAAGGTTTTCATATTTTGACGGTAAATTTTCGACATTGAATAGAAAACCAACATTTTGGAAAACCAACATTTACATTCAAATCGTTAATAATAAAAAGCGCATTTTGTAAGATATGTATTTTTAACTGTTATTTTTTTATAATTTATATTTTATTGTTAAAGTATAGTTTTTTTCATAGTTTAAACCAAAAGATAACAAATGGCAGATACATTTCATAAGGGTCATTTTATCGAATTTTTTAGAATTTCTTTGATTGAAATGCTGATGGTGTGGAAATAAATGATTACAACTTCTATTCAATGTAGAGATAAATCAAAGCAAAAGAATATACTGTAAAAAATATTTGTTATTAGTGTATTTATTATGAAAATATTTTTCACAGAGAAAAAAAACATATAATATGAAGTAATAACAAATAGAACATTCTCAAAATTATCTATCTCTCTCGGCAATAATTTTGTTTGTGATAAGGAACGGAGGAAGATAAATTCTTATCTTTAAGAAGTATTTTATTAAATATTATGGCAGGGGACGCATCCTTGTAATTTTGAACCCAATCCAAGAGACAAGGGAAGACCAGGATCAAGTATTGGGAGAAATTTTGCTTTTGTGGAGAACTTTTTGATGGAACTAACCCGCATTTGCTTTACATGGAGAGAAAAACCACGAAAACCTCTCACGATTAGTCTGAGGGCAAAGGGACTCTTACCCATGATCAGTCTGTCACTGAGGATATTTCACATCATCACTGTGATTGGTACGAGCCTGGTGCAGGATTCGTTTCAACGAGCTATTGCTGAGATTCAAACCCGGTTCATCCCTTTAGAAGGTGCACGCTTTCTCCCCTGAGCCATCACGGCTCTACATCCATAATTGATGCTACTGTATGTTTTGTTTATACTATTCAATTTTTAGAAAACAAATGGGTTGCTTTTAAAAGCGAAGAAGATAGAGCACTCAGATCCCATTGACGTGACGCAAATTCGCATCCCAATGATGGCTAGTTGATACAAATTCTTCGCCTCACTCGCATCATCCATAGTGACGTAAAATATTATTTTTAGTAGTCGGATCATGGGTTAGAATCCCTTTGCCATCGGGATAATTGTAGAAGATTTTTTTTTTGTTAAAATTGAAGATTTTTTACGAGTAAGCTCTATCAAAAGTCCTTCACGAAGGACTTTTGATAGAAGAATTTTTGAAGAATTTTTCCAAATTCTTGATGCAGGAGTTCCCTTGTCTCCTGAGTTGGGTTTAAAATTACAAGCGTATGACGTTGCCAAAAATGTGTCGTCAGCTCTTTAACAACGGTTATAAAATAAAATAAAAGTTTCTTTTGAAAAAATTTGACTTTTGTTTCTTGTGCATAGTTGATTTCTGAAAGAAAGCAAGCAAAGCTGAAAAGAAGAATGTCTTCTGACGATTCAGAAGGAAGCAATGAGAGTAATTACAAGAGAAAGAAAAGAGCTTTGTTGGATCTCCTCCTGGATGAGCATATTCAAAACAATTCCATTTCAGAAGCAGAAATAAGAGAAGAGGTGGACACTTTTACATTTGAGGTAAAACGAAACACTTTTGTAAAACTATGATTAGGATATAGTGAACAAATGTGAATGAGTAAATATTGGAAACAGGCTCAGATGGATTAAGGTGGAGTATTGATCCGACAACAAGTTTACGAAACTACAAGTGTGCAGTGCTAGCCTTCAGTTCCAAGTTTTCTCCTTAGGAAGAGTGACCTGTTCTATGTCTTTTGCTAATTTAAAAATATGAGAAATGAATCGTAGTCTCATCAATCATTGTCATTTCCCGGTAATCCTTACACTAATAATTTTTAAATTATCAGTGTAATCATGTTGCTAATCAGTGTAATCTTACTGCTTATCAATATAATCCCAATTCAGTGTAATACTATCCACTGTAATCTTGTTGCCTGTTATACCCTACATTGATGTTTTGGGTGCATTAGGTGAAATCCCTTTAGCCTGGTATAACCTACAACAGCATATTCTTCTGCTCTAAATTGCGAGAAATTCATTACCATCTGTGAGTAAAAAAATATATTTTATATACTATTTTATATTTAAAATAAATATATTTTAAATTAAATGAATGCATTAAAATGAAATAAAAATTAATAAATACTATGAAGAACTCACTTATAATGCATAAAATAATGTTTTGAAAATGAATTTGAGCATTGGAAAGTTATTTTAATTTTGATTTTCAAATTCAGAAATCGATAAAAATTCTACCTGTTCACTGTTTACCTAGTGTCTGTTTCAGGAAAAATGTCGACATACTTTTCTCACCTTTTTCTTTACCTCTAAGTCCCGCAGGGAGAAATCTTTGAAATGAAAACCAACCCTGAACGTTTGTTGTTTTGTAAATTTGTGATTCACATAGAGCTTTCCTAAAGACATTAAAAAGGAGCTTTTAACTGTTGTTTTTCATTTCCTTCTCCTTTTATTTGAGAATAGCAATGAAACTAGAATGAATCAAATTTGTATTTTATTTAATTTCCTGAAGATCGAAGGAAGAGCTTGACTTATTTCATTCATTTGACATAGTGATAAGACCGGCTCAGCCCGAAACTGAGAGCGGGTTCGTTTCATGAGAAAGGGTTTCGTTCTGGGGTGATCTCATATTCCTGATCAAATTCTCATAAACTTTTTTTAGAACTTTTAAAGAAGTTTATGAAAATTTTAAAAAGATAAAAGAATTTGCAGCGGTCTGCTGCTTCTGTTGGTGCTTTTGCTAAGCGTCACACAGACCTTCATTTAGCTTAACAACAAACTTTCCTCTAACTTAAGATTTTGTTTTTAGATTTTAATTTTTGTTTTAGTCATCTTGGAGTTTCAGTTAGTTCAGGTTTTATTTTCGCTTTTTCTTTTACAGGTTAGAAATAGAAAAGGTTTTAATTTACTAATTCCTTTGTTTAGACATCAAAGGTCAAGTGATGAGACCGTAGTATTGGGTCTTTATCCAATGCCCCTTTCGTTCTCGGGTGGACTCAAGCTCTAAGTAATTTTATGTATCTTGGGCTCAGGTGGGCTCGGATTAAAATTCTTCGGGCTAAGGTGTGTCTCGACTAGGACTGGGCTATATTAGAAATTATATATCGTGATATATCGTCAGTTTTGCATNCTTTTTAAAATACCAATGTTTTGCCGATATAGGCGTTAAATCGATATGTCGCGATATATCGATTTATAGCCCAGTCCTAGTCTCGACCTTTAAAAGCGAGCCCGAGCGCGAACTATTCTCTAATGTTTAATCCTGATATTTTTGGAATTCCATAAGATTTTTATTATGATTAAAAGTTGAGCCAGATTATCGTATTTCTTTCACTTCATAATAAGATATTATATTTCAACTCGAAACATGGCAGAATTAACAGAATTTAATTTTAGTAAATTTGCATCGATCTAACTTTGATCTCGGCCTCTGGCATAAAAGTTTTGGCTCGGACATCTTAAAAAAGGAACTCTATTTCTCTAGTTGATTGCAAAATTGCTCAATTTTTAAGAAACTTCGAACAGTAAGTGCGCTGATTTTGATGTCCGACCAGACCTGATCCTTTTAGTTCTTCATCGAGCTTTTTCCAGTAATGATGAAATAAAATAATTTTATATTTCAGATTGATTTATAGAAATAATTTCATTATGCTTATTACCTAAAATTGATTTGACTTTTAAGGCCATTTTTTAATGGGGGAAAAAGGAGGAATTTTTAAAATTTTACTTACACTGTTATAATTTTTTTTCTAAACTTTCGGTAAAATAGCCGGCAGCAGTCTGTCCATCCAATTGAGTGAAAAGTTTACGGTAATGAACTTTTTTTCCCGATGGATTTCAACTCTAAGCATTACGAATACAATGGTGGCAGTGACAAACAAATAAATAAATTAAGATATTGAACATTAATGAAAGGAATTTCTACTGCGCCTTTACTTTCTTGTCGCACGTTTCTTAAAAGGTATAGTTAAAACTGTTTTACTAAACTTTTGGATCTAAGAATGTCTATATTGTCACTTCTTTTCTGAAATAAAAAACTTAAAAAAATGCTGATTTAACTACAAATTACAACAGCAGATGAAATTGTCTTTATAAGTAAGTACACATATTGAATTTTAGAATCGCCAACCGTGCTGTGTAGTGGTCGGGGAACTGACCTCACATCAGAAAGATCTTGGCCCCGAATTCCGGACTAGGCATAGATGTTCTTTCATTCTCTGTACTGTCTGTCCGTACTGAGGAGGCACCTAATATGGTGCCTCTGAAAGAGTGGCCAACAAATCTACCTTACTGATACCTGAATGACGAGTGTCAATCGGGTGGATATTGGAGGGAAAAAATTAAAATAGCAATAAAAATACCAATAAATTAAATATACATATTTAACTCTTTTTCATTTAGTTTGAAAAACTATTTTGATTCAAAATGTAAATCTAGAGTAAACTGCTTTTGCCAACAAATTGCTGATGGAATTATGGAGCTCTGTATATTATGAAAGGCAGAAAATTTCATGACAAGAATTTTTAGAACAACAAGTTTACAGAAAACACCTTTTAACATTATTGATAACAATGAATGTTAATTTTAATAATAAGTTGTCAAGAAGCGAAATAAGAGAGCAAAAACATATGTGCTCAACAAAAGGCACATTCTTTTGAAGAGCGTGGCAGGATGTCCAAAAGTAGCAGAATATCTTTTCCTTTGCTTGGAGGAAGGTAACTTGAATGGCAGGTCGCCCACATATTGCATTATAAAAATATGTTAAAATTTTAAGTAACACTATTCATTTTTCGCTCTTCTGTATTGATACTGGAAACAAAACCGCCTTGCATTAAAACTTTTTTCATAAAATTCTGCTCATTTAAACGGCAGAAAAATGTCCCACCATCACGACTAAAAGAATATGTAGACTTAATAGTGAAAGGCTAGTGAGTCGTGATAAACATGCAACTTTTGTATATCAATATCCGAGTCCTCGGCTGAAAAAAATTTGACCGAGATTTGGGAATGTGCCGTAATATTTTTGCTGGATGCCCTACTCAATATATAGAGTCTTCATTGCTTATATCTTTTTAACATAAAATAATGAGAACATATTTCTACTACATACATATGTATAATGACAGATTTTCAAATGGGTCTTCTTCTCAAAAAACAAGTTTAAAAAATTATTTTTAGGGGCCAAAAATTAATTCTTAAGCATACTTAATAAAATTATTTTTTCACATCAAAATCTGACAAATCAATTATTAAACTTAATCATAATAAAAGAGGCATTAATCAATTAAAATCAATTTAAAAAAAACTGAAAGGAAATATTTTTTTTACAGGGTCATGAATCAACATCCCTTGTCATGAGTTGGACATTGTACTTAATAGGTCTGCATCCATGGGTCCAGGATAAAGTTCACGAGGAATTAGATTCTATATTTGGTGAAAGTGAACGAGAAGTGGACGTTGAGGATATCAAAGATATGAAATATTTGGAATGTGCTGTAAAGGTATGCAAGTCTTCTTAAAAGAACAATATTTATTTTTAGTTTTTTTTAAAACTAGTTTGAGTGCTACCGTTTTTAATGTTTTACATAAAATAGATGAAGTTTTGTTTTAAGATTAAAGAAACGTGTTTAAAATAAGCTAATTATTACTGAGAAAGCAAGACCCATTTCTGACAGATTCAAATATTAGAGTGATTATGGGAAATGTTAAGATTTTCGCAAAAATATTAGTACAGGTCAAAACGGTGATGTTACATAGCGTAACGAGTGTTGCGTTCATTTTCAACAAATAACTGAACATTTAATTCTACTTCTGCCAGGTACACGTTTTAGAGTAAAAACACATTCAACATCTTTAATTACATATTTGAGCAACAAGCACATTCACCTTCTTAAATAAACTGATCACTAAACTCTACTTACTAAAGTTTTAGAAAGGAAAACATTAGAAAGGAAAGGCAATAATTTAGTTGAAATTTCTTTCTTAGAGTATTGTAATGCAAAAAAATAATTAACGAAAAATCAATAAAGTATTAAATATAACTATCTAAAAATAAAAAAAATCTCCGGAAATGTAATTTAATTCTTATCTGAAATCATTTAATAAAAGTTTTTCCCCAGAAAATAATTCATGACCTATTATCGTATCTTATGGTTCCCTGGTGACCTGGCGCCAGTTGAGGTGAAAATTAGGGTTACCACAGTAGCTGATTTAAAAATTTATCTAGACCTTTCGCATGGAAATTTGATCAATTAAATTTATGCAAACCTGAGAGAATATCAAATAAAGATGCGGGTCCAGTTTCATAATTAGGCTTTTAATAGTTATCAAGAAATGATCAAAAGGTTTTCACGCTTACTTTAAAATTACTCCAGCACTTCTTTATTACTAGCTTTCTTTCTAGTACTATTCTAGTAGCTTTCACTTTTTTAGGAATCTATGAGGTTGTATCCTCCAGCTGCTTTTTTTGGAAGAGAAATAAGGGAAGAGCTTCAATGTGGTACGCATAATTTTTCATGTCTTAATTATAATGTAATGTTTGAAATTTTGCACATCATAAATGACAGTTGAAACATGCCTCTTCCGTTAGATTAGTAATAACATGTAATCTGCAGGGTGATTCAATACTGTTACAAACTAGGAGAAATTTTAAGTCACGTCATAAGGAGGGAGAATTGCAGAGGATTGTCGCTAGGGCATTTCCCAATCATGGGTTGGCTGTTTAAGCGCAATTGAACGGATACTTTCATTGATTTAATGATTTTAATTTCATGCATTGTGCGATGATGTTACCAGTCATCGGTTTCTACCTTTTAACTTATTCTAAATATTGAGAATTATAATATGGCCAGTGTTTAGAATGCGCTCTAGTTCTCTTCGAGTTTGCAATTGTCGCACTGAATCATCCTGTATAGAGGATGTATCTCATTTCTTAGAATATTATTGCCTTCAGTGTCTGTCACCTTAGTGTCGGTTAGCCTTCAATGCTTTAGAAATTCTGTAAGAGTATCATCTAACCACATTTGATAAGTAAAACGTGCAAACATTTAGAGAGATGTTTAAAGTTAGTTTTGATTAATCAGAACGATATATATAAAATTTGGGAAACATATCAGTCTGATAGATAAGTCTCAATTAACAGAATTTCCAACAGCCATATATAAGATTTTTTCTTTTAGTTGAAAAGCAATACTGTAAAAATCATATCCTGGCGGGAATTAGGTAAAAAATCGTAAGCAAGAACAATTGGTTAAAACTCGTATCCCAAAAGCTTTATACAAAAAATCGTAACCCAAAAAGCATTTGATAAGAAGTTAAATTAGTAATATTTGATAAACAATAATTCGATAAACAATTAAATTAGCAAAATTTGATAAACAATAAAATCTTTACAGTATAAGTTAAAAAAAACACCAAAACCTTAGTAAGAAATCGTATACGAGATACGATATTTTATTAATAAAAAAATATCGTACCCTGGAGGGCATTAAGAATTATATTTTTGATCAATTTTATCTGCAGAATGAGCTTAGCTGTCTTTCAATTTTAAGCAGCTCATTATTTCAGTTTTCTAAAAGAAAAATTTTGTCAATATGCTTCGCATTGTGTTTTGACGGTTCTTCTTCCTTTACGCTTCTCATTGCATTAAGTTATAGTATATCCTCTTTCCTAACAATTCGCTTAGGAGCCATTTGGTGGGCTTTATAATTTTTTCTAAAGTATACTGATATCAGAAGCCTATTTTTGAAATGTAGGAAGTGAAAGTTTCTGAAGTGAAAGATGGTCCATTGAAAATTGGAGATATTTTGGGGAAGGATCATATGTTAGTCTTGCTTAACCATTGGATTTTCTATTTTTCAGAGGATAAACATACGAAGTGACAACGCTAATTTCCATTTATACGAAGCCTGATTTAAGGTACGTGATATCACAAGCCGATTAGTAACCCGATTTTCCACCTCCGATTCTCCATGCTTTCAGGAATAAGCATTATCGGGCGAAGGCAGAAGTGATGATTGGCTCTCAGAATCAGGGGAGTGATGATTGGCTCTTTTCGTCACGAGTTTTTTATTTATTGATTATTATCATTATTTTTATTTTTTTTTTGCCTATACTTACAAGGTGGGATTTTTAACTTATCGTGTAAATTTGACGAGCCTATTTTCAGGCTATGGCAAAAGCCGGCTTTAAGACGTCTTTTTTCAGTTATGGAGTAAATAGGATGTAAGCGTACATCTGGAGTGGAAGGTTCCAAGAGCATTTGGTAACAAAGGGTCGAGGAGTGAACTTAGAAAGCCACTCTTTAGTAAATAATTTTAAAAAATTTTGCAAATTGTATGATAGTATAGCTTAAATGCGTGTCAAGGACTTATAGATGTTTTTCCAAATAGAAGAATAAATAAAGGCAAGGTAAGATATACTCCTTATTTTCCACTGCCAACATGTAGTCATTAATTCACTTGTAGTTTGAAAAAGTGTCACTTAGAACTTTCATTCTTCTAACTGTTTCATTCACATCAATAATAAATTTAATTCCCATACAATTGCTATTTATGATTGGCGATACCTATAAATGAAAATACATTTGTGTGATTTCTTTTAATTACAGGTGAATATGTGATACCTAAGGGTGGTTTGTGTTACGTAAATACTTATCTTCTTCATAGAGATCCAAAAGTTTTTCCCAATCCTGAAAAATTTGATCCCGATCGATTTTCTCCAGAAAATAGTGTGGGAAGACATCCTTTTGCATATGTACCTTTCTCTGCAGGACCTCGAAATTGCATAGGTGGGTCTTGTAAATAAATTATATGCAGATTTGGGAGTGGTCATTTTTAGTCGATCATTTTAGTTTAATGTACGTAAATAGTTAGTTCTGTATAATTTATTTTTAAATTTTTCAATCATTTGTTTCTGGTTGTACATAAAGAGTCATAAAGCAAAGTACTCATGTACTCGTGTGTACAAAGTACTCATCAATCACTTCAATCCTTGTAATCTTGAGCACATTGCCTTTTGATTCATGCCACTTTAAAAAAGAATACATGTTCTGCACTTAACATGTTTTCAACCAAAAATTATAATCCCATATAAAATATCAACTAACACCATTTTTCACCAAATTTAAAAAAAATATGCAGTTTAGTATATAAGGATAAAGTAAGGTGGTTTGTTTTAAGAATATTTTATACAGGAAAACGTATTCTCTATTTCCTGCCATGTAAATACAGAGTTATTCGAAAGTTTTTGTCGGACTATACTGAGAAGGTTTTCCATGTCTCCCCTTTTGCCAACAATCTGCCAGACTGTGAAACCATTTCAGTGCTGTGTGTCACTCAGTAACTATTTATATGCTATTTCGTGAGTAGAATGAGTTTAGATACAGTTTTTGCCGCACATCATTTTAGAACATTTATAACATGTGTTAAAAAAACTGTCTTTTTCTATTAATAAAATTGCTCATGTTTCATTCATAGTTATTACTAGTACAAAGTATTAGTATTTGTACATACTAGTACAAATTGATTAAATTTGGCCCATCGCTTTGAATAACCCTGTGTAATATAATATGTAAAGGCATTATTGACTTCAGTCATTTCATTTAACATATATGATGATTCAGAACTATTTCTGAAAAATTTGCATGTAGGTCAAGAATTATATACTAAGTATAAAAAGGTCACAGATGCAATGAGATTTCCTGTATAAAGCTGGCCAAGATGAAGGACTAAGGTGTATTTTGGGTGTAGAAGCTTTTGCACTTTTGTACAAAATTGTAAACTTATTTGTGTCGTAAACTATCGATGTTTGTATACATCTTGCAGTCTCTGGTTTAGTAGGGTTTTGGCGTGACTATATTGCGCTTGCAGATAAATATTCCTATATTATTCTTAGTTGTTATCTATACCTGACCTGGAAGAAGATTTTTGAACAATGGCTTCAAATCTTGCTACATAGCAGTGATAAGGCTTCATGAAGATCGCTCAAACCGTAGAAAGTTTCGGATGTGAATTGAGTTCCTTTAAAAAGTCATAAAATATTAGTATTTTTGAATTGAATTCACAAGTTGAATGAATCGTGCATATAATATCGGTTAGGTGGTGAAAACCTATGTTTTAACAACACAAATAAAAGAAAAAGTTTGCGCGATCGGATTTTGCTTCTTTAATTATTCATTATTTTTCATTCGTTATGCTAGGTAAGGACAAGGATTAACGTGGATTGCTTGTGAGTGTTACAAAATTTTGTTCATAGTAATACTTTTGAAACTCGTTACTAAAAGAAAATTAATAATATAAAATCAGCGGTAAATGAAATAAAAAGAAAAGCTTTAAGCACTTAAGAGAGAAATTAATGGAGAAAAAATGCATGATTGTGGCTATCGGGAACTGGCCCCAATCAGTTGCATCATTTTCAGTTTTAAATGATACTGAGTATAGTTAGTTTTAGTTTTGTTACAATAATCTTTGCTTTGATTAGCAAAATTTCTAAAGTCATGTTTTACTTAAGCTAATAACTTGAAGTCACCAGGAAGAACAACAAATTATAGTAAATAAATAAATTTTTTATTTAAGCTTCATTAAATGTGTTTTTGTAAACATTATAATGTATTAAATGTGCATATCCTTCAGATTTGTGCCTGTTTTCGTAATGATGAAAAATATCGATTTATCGATCATTTACTTTCTTTTATACTTGTAAGAAAAATTGGTATCTGGCTAGTAATGCATATTTAAAAAAATTGACGGTGACTATAAAATTAATGATGACTATATAGAAGTATTGCCTCGAAGTTCAACATATTTTAAATTAAACACATTAAACGCAGATAATTTAAATTGAGAAATTATTCCGGGTGTCCCAAAAATGGCTGATGGATTCCAATAAAAGAAGAAAAGTGCTCGATTAAAATGTATGGTTTGTGACATTGTGCTTGGGAAACCAGCGAGTTTCATGCTATTAAATTGCATATTTAGTTAAATATCTTGTCAAAAGGTGGCGTTGAAAAAAAGAAGTAGATACAACCGGTATGAAAATGAAGCAGAGACCATTGCAAAATACCAAACATCCGCTGTTCTACCGTGTCAGCATCAAAATTCTTTGGAAGTGATCACAAAGAGATTGCGTAGCGAGAAACCGATTGGGCATGTCATGGATTCGATTGCTCAGCATCTCCCGAATGCCTGCAGCGTTACCTCTTGGCGGGAACTTTAAATAAATGAGAGAATACAATTTATAGTTTCCTAAAGATACTGCCGTAAGTCGTTCATTTTTACAGTGTTCACCTCTTTTTTTTATTTTAAAAATACGTTAGTCCTTTTTGGGATACTCAGTAGCCTTTCAACAAAGAGAACTTTTTATAAGAAAAATTCAAGCTAATAAGTATATATTTTTTTCATAGGACAAAGATTTGCACTTATGGAAGTAAAGACTGTTGTTTCATCAATCCTTAGAAATTTCAAAGTAAAGTCTTTGGATCCAAGAGACAGAATCAATTTAGTAAATGAAATAACTATGAAACCAGAAGGACAAGTACGGATACAAATTCGAAGGAGGACGGATAATTTTGATTTCAAGGCTAATTATTATTACCCATGAACAATAAATTTATTATTTACAAGCCGCCGCCTTTAACTATCTCACTTGGCTTTTCAAATGAAAAAAAAAATCAAGTACTTCGAGATTCAAAATCGTACATTCAAAAATCAAGAGAATATGTAAGCATTAATTCATATTATACAAGTAAAACTGGATTTGATTTTGACTCTTATATATTTGAATTTTCAGATGTTCGGCTGTAAAATGTAATTAATTCAGATGTAAAATGAGTTGGTCTGCAGAAAGCAGTTGGCTTTATACAATTTTTGTGAATCACGTCTGATATGCCATGAAGCTCTGGAATGTAGACAAATAAGAAGTTCTTCAAATTACAAAAAAATCTTTTATGAATTAAAAAATCAATAAATGAATTCAAAATTATTTTTCTGTCACGCTTCATATTGTAATTCTTCTATAGAAATTTAAAAGGTGGTGTCACTTTACTTACTTGCCTACTAAAATTTCACCAATAATCAACCAGTTACTAGTAGCGACAAATTAGAGTACGTTTCATTGCATAGTAATATAGTGTTATCGAATGGCTGCCGTTTGCAACCACAATACTCAATTAACTTATTAAATGATAACAGTGACTTGATATAGTTCAGTATCTGGCTTGAAAGTTTCTATAATTTATATTTTTTTACACTTATAACTCAGGTAATTAAAGGTTAGTTTATGATGGAATCTCCTCCTGCAGTTTTCTATTGAGAAAAAAAAATGTAGATTTTTAACTGCTGTTGTCAATTTATATATCAAAACAATTGCTCACAAATATGACGATATAGGATACTTGCAAGCGACCTCATTGTGGGTATGGATCCTGATTGGCTGTTGAAACATGACTTTTGTTTATGTTAGAAACTGTACTTTGTAGTTTATTTCGAGTAAGCCTAGCCTGCCAAATATGAATTTTCTTACATGACATTTATATTCATTGGAAAAGAAAGTTTGATTTATTCCTTATTTAACTCAAAAATAAGCACAAAGTCACGTCGAGCATAAACAAAGTTGAAGCCAACAGTACAAAATACAAAGATACGCAAAACAAAAATTATACAACGATACACAAAACAAAAATAACCACGGTTGTAGTAAAGTACGTAAACTAAACAAAGGTTTATAAATTATTAGACAAAAAAAAATGCTTGTAAATGTGATATGGCGTTGAATTTAAATAATTTCATGTTAACTAATATTCTAACTTGTGTGGAGAAACTTAGCTTTACTTTGGGCTGCGTGCAAGAAAATTTTTGTTACTGCCACGCGATCTAGCACACAAAATTTTGCGCGTGTTTTTGACCACAAACAAATTGTGGTTACTAGCCTTCTACATTCTAATAGTCAAGTGACTGGGGAAGATCTCCGAAGATTTTTTTGCACGGGGCGATTTGAATGCAGAAAGCTAGTAACTGCTATTTGCTTGAGGTCAAAAAACTTGCCACATATCCCGCGCTAGGTAACGAGGCAGCAAGCAGAAGTTGTTTGTGTGCAGCATAAGCTGGCAATATCCAGAGAATGTAAACACGTCATCTTGTTTAGAAACAAACAGATGGCGCTGGGGACATAGGTGAAGTGGTTGTCTATCAATAGTGATTGTTTCGAATTGAGAATATCCCATTATCATGAGTTCAGTCACAATTCGGTACATGCAACTAATCAAATGGTTGTGCAAGGCAAGTTATTAGTACAGTTTTAAGACTTTGGTTTAGTATCTTACTGAATAAAATTTTGAATTAAATTTAATTGGATACCTGCCAGTGACGCCACGCTTGTGAGTCGAACCTGATCAACACCTACTAGAATAGAGACCTCAGCACAGATCAATTTAGTTGAAACGAACATAAACTGCACAGTGGAGGAAATTAAGAAACATGCTTCTACGTTCGGGCATCTAAGCTGCGCAACAGGAGAGAAGCTAAGAAAGATGTCCTTACGTTTGGACTACTAAATGATCAAATTTCACGCAGAGGCCTTCTCTCTTCTAGAAGGTATTGACTTGACTGGCTGACCCATGTATGAAGTTACTCGCAAATTTCCAAATATTTGTAAGTGAAATTATGAATTCATTTCCTTCTTCAAATTAACTGCTTTTTTTAATAAGTAAAAAATTTCATCTATACATAATTGTTAACTTTAAGATATGTTTAATATTCAACAAAACAGTTTTCAACATATCTTGACTACAAAAAAGGAAGAAAAAAACATATGCTCATTTGAAACTTTAATTTTTTTTGACAATCATCATACTTTTCTTCAAATTTTTTTAAGGATTGCGTGTGGTGAAGAAGTGTATTCAATTATAAATCTAAGGGGTTTCAAAATTGTGTATGCGTTAGTTACGTATTCAAAAATAAAAATAAAAGATATTTTAATGGTTTTATTTGTTTTGAAATTTGTTGACTTCTTATTAAATATTTATCTATACATTGTCGAATTATATCTTTTTCTACGAAACACAACAACTATGGCGGAAAAAGAAGTTAACTAGGTAAGACTATTTTTTAAAGATAATAAATTAAATAACAATCAATAGCACGTTTTGAAAGGTTAACACCCTAAACGCTAGGCAATTTTTCTTTGCTAAAATAATTTCAGTTATAGAGTTTACTGGAAAGTTTTGAAAAATTGGGAAACAAATTATCTTATTTTGCTATCGGAATTAAATTATAGATAAGATACGATTGATTAGATTATTTTTTTGTAACTCTCTGAAGATATAAAAATGAAAAAAAAAATATGTATATATTATGGCGTTAAACATAAATTCATATTAGATTTCTTAAAATCGGGAAAATGTTGGCGATTGTCAGTACAAGTGTTTTGTATGCAATAATTAAATGTATTATTGTATTAGCTTTATTAGCATATATATTCTACGCAACTTTATACCTTCCCAGGAAACTTGTAAATGGTATTAACAAACTTCCAAGTCTAGGTCTTGGCCTTTTTTATCCTGCTGGTCATGCAATACTTATAAAGCCACAAAGGTTTCAAAAATTAATTGCTCCAGTTCATGTTTGTAAGTTCAATGTTTATTTCTTTAATTTGTACTGCTTGAATATAGTTATTTACGCTTTCCGTAAAAACAGGGTAACTTTTTCATTTTTTATAATTATAAAGTATCCATATTTTTGAAAAAATTAACAAATCTTAATTTGAACAGGAATTGTGTTTAAATTAAATATTACATTGTTCAGGAATTAAAAGTAAAAATTAATTTTACAAATGAGTGCCAAAAAATATGTTGTTTCGTGCTGACAAGCTAATATTGGACTATAATTATTTATCTCAATGTATTACAATACTTAAGACTCTTGCATAGTAGAAAATTATGCATGTTTTAGAGGTAATACTTAAAACTTTTGAAACATCTTTATGTTAAAATTGGTGGCACGCGAATTAAAAAAAAGGAAACTGTAATTGAAACAAAAATATGGTATATTTAAAAAGGTATAAAATGTCGTGGAGAAAACTCTCTGTTAGAAAAATGATATTTTATGAAAAATACTTTCTTTAATTACGCTTTTAAAGCAAGTAAAAAGGAAATTATGTTAATAGAATTTTTTATATTTTTCACGGAAAATGGGCTTCTTCTAGTTTTAAAAGAGCATTAATAATTAGTTCACAATTAAATTAAAATGGGAAATATAGTATATTCTCAAAAAATTTAAATCAATAGATTAACGAATGCAAATTTTAAGAGCTTATTTTGGAAATTATTTTTCATACCAATTAATAAACTTATATATGATTGAAGAAGGAGCATTGTAACGACAGTTCGTCTTATACCAAGTATGTAAAAAATTCATAGGTAGCCATGGTATCAGCAATCCTAATTTTTTTGTGGGTTTTAAATGTGGGTTTAAAGTGCAATGAAGACTAAGACTTCAGAATATATTCATATGAATGAAACAGATTCTAATTCAGTCTTCACTACATTCATTGTAGCTACAGTACATCACCCTATCCACTGTAGATGCAGTACTTCACCATATACATTATAACTACAGTACTGTGAATAGGGCGATGTACTGTAGCTACATTGGATATGGTGATGTTCTGTAGCTACAGTGTATATGGTGATGTACTGTAGCTACATTGGATATGGTGATGTTCTGTAGCTACAGTGTATATGGTGATGCACTGTATCTACAGTGGATATGGTGATGTACTGTAGCTACAATATAGTGATGTATTGTAGTTACAGAGGATATGGTGAAAAAATGCAACCACAGTGCATATGAGAATGCTTTAGTTATCTCCTATATTTGCTTTAAAACTATTATTTGGAATGGTGCATTTGTAAAGATTAAATTGATAGAAAAATAACTTAACTACTTTTAAGTAACAAGCCATAATAGACTATTGATGATTATGAAACTTACGAATTTACGACACCGAGAGCAAAACTGCCGTTTGTACTGCTCTAAAAAAAGGATATTCCAAAGTTGTTCCTTTCCAATGTCCACCTGGCAATTCAAGGCGTATTAGGTTAGATTTGTTGGCCACTCTTTCAGGGGAGTCATATTAGGTGGGCCAGCGTTGCGCCCACAGTAAGGAGTAATAGTACAGACAATGAAAGGACATCCATGCCTTGTCCGGGATTCGAAACTAGAAATTTTCTGAGGCAAGGGATCCCTACACGGATTATTTTAAAGTTTCGTAATGAATTTAAAATGTTACTAAGAACAAATATTCGATGGAATTTCACTTAAATTAAGTTTTTATAGCCTTTTAACGTGTTTATTGAAATTTAATTAAAAATTAAAGGTCAATAAATCATCCATTGAAATATATATATTTTTTATAAAAATATGCAAGTTCAGCATTGAATTCAGCGCTTGTAAAATGTATAATGACTATTAAAATATGTTGAAGCTGTTCATAGAGTTTCTATAGTTATGCTTATATCATGCCATAATGGGCGGTAAATATAATTTAATAATGGGCATATTTCCTGTAATTTAACAACTAAATTTTTCTTATCGGTACCTTCTCAATAAAAATAAACGCTAAGACGAAGGAAACTTATAGACGGAAACAAATTTTATAAATGGGTATTTTTTTTAACATATTTATTTGTATATAATATTTGACCCTCCAAGATCGAGAAAACAGGTTTTGCTGTAATGTTTTTGTCTTTACCAAGTTTCAAAAGCTCGTACTAAAAATGTATGACCTTAGCAATGATCATTAGCTATTATTTTTCTAAATCGTGGATTCCATGCTCTTACTTGGCAAAGTATTTACCAAAGTTTAGTACTACAGTGCACCCATTTAGAAGTGAAGTGTAATTATACTAATATCGTGTAGTGTAAAGTAGGATAATACATGTACTAAATAAAATTTGTATTAAAATATACAATAGGAGAATGTTTTTTTATATTTTTATAGTCATGCTTCTAATTCTTTGTACCAAGTTTTTAACCACTAATTTAATCTACATAAACAATAGGAGGCTTGCGTTATCGCAGCCTGTTTTTTCAGTTCCTTTTAGATGGCTTTGCAATTCAAGCTCGCGGTGCTTCCTTCGCGCAATGGATACTTATGTGCTTTGTTCTAGCCTTGTATTTTACGCTAATACTCTTTATAAAATAAAATTTTAAAAATATGTATCATGTATATCTCGTAAAACTTTTGATTTATAAGCATTTAATTCAGTGTATTAACATTTAATTCAATGTAAACACATAACGAATCTATAAATACAAAACTATAGATATTATAGATATTTTTTAAGTGTTTGAAGGTACACTCTATTCTTAATGTTTATATAGATTGGCAGCATCTTTATACTAATATAAACTCGCAAAATGAATAAAACCCAAAAGATGAATTGAAAAAAAAAGCATAGCTGTCTAATCTTTGTTAATGAAGTACTTCGCGGAGTAGAGGGAAATTAAAAGAATCGTTAAAGCTAAAATATAGCTCTAAATTATTTTTTTTACCTACATGATTTGTTAAGTACTATTAAAACAAAAATAAAGAAGAGTATGTTCCTTGATATGAACTGTTCGATGTTAACCTTTCATTTTTTCCTAACTTACAGTTTAATATGTTTCAGCACTTTCTTGTTCACGTAAAAAAAGCAATTTTCTTCCAGAATTTGTAACCATTCTTATGATTTTTCAACTGCATGATATTTTTATACCTTATTGTCAATATGAAAAAGAAAAAGGAACTTTTTCGTTGTAATACGTAAGAGAAACAAATATAAATAGAAGAAAACGTCAATAGAAATTCTTTAAATTTAAATGTATTGTTTTCAACATGGACTTAATAAATTATATTCTATGTAAATTAAATTCTGACAGAAAGACGTATACAAACACAGTTAATTAAGCCAAAATAAAAAATAAAATTTTTTAAAAATGATTATTATATTTTGTCTTTCTCGTTTGTTTTACGATATTAAGCAAAGTATATTTTTTATCGTTCATCTCATCAAAATAAAGATTTACTACATTCAGTATTATTTGGCATGATCCTCGTGGCCAATGCATGCTATCAAAACAATTTATTACAATCAAGCAATTTTCTCCTACACAATGTGAAAAATATATAAATAAAAACAATCAAAATAAAACAAAATAAAAAAGGACCACTTCGAATAATTTTTACTCTAATGGTCGGATCTTCACTTTCTGAAACTCAATATTTATGTTTCGGCTGGGGGGGGGGGTGACCTCAAATATGTTAATATACAAATGCAGACAATATTTTAGGTTACGAAATTAGAAACATATGATATTTTTAAAATTCGATTTCCCAGGAACCGATTGTTCATACGAAATTATATACTATACCATGTAAAATTACATTCTTTACTCTCAAATTTGTATTTTGATTTGTAAAATTAATTTTTTTAAAATTATGCAAAACTTTGTTTGCCAAACAATTTAAAAGTTTTTCGACTATCTTTACATAAAATAATTTTTGCATGGAATTACCATTGGATAAACGAATTTTATAATTGAGTGTAAAAATTTTTCAATTCTTTAAAAAAAATTCTTGAGTTATGGTAAGATGCGCAAAAAGTAAAATTAATATTAAGAGATCTCCTGACCAAAAAAATATAACCATATTTCCCATATTGCTGCTATTCAATATTTGGGGGTCAAAAATCCAAATCTGCCAGAAAAAATTGCGTGTTTATCCAGAGAAAGTGCATTTTTCTGTTTGATTTCGTAAGTTAAAATATCGTCTGTGCTAATTAATTAGCATATTTGAGGTCTCCCTCTAGAGCTGTTAAGATTGAGTCCTAGAACGTGAAGATGCGATCATTAGTTCAAAAGTTATCCAGGGTGGTCCATTTTTTTCCGCACCGTTCATATCCTTTTCCAGGTGTTGGTAAAAATCTCTTTGCTCAGTAACTATATTGAAACTGTACAGCATTGATTCAGCTTTAATAAGTATCATATAAACTAATATAATACTTTGTACCCATATTAGAATATGTAGTGCCTATTAAAACTGGATTAATCACCATAATATGGATTAATCATCATGGCTGGTCTATACGAATTCCGCATCCGGCTTGCTTCGACCACATTGCTGACAGGAAATGTTATCAGTGATAGACGGATCATGGGTTAGAGTTCCCTTTCCGTCAGACCAACCATGGGAGATTTTCGTGGTTTTCCACTCCATGTAACGCAAAATGTGAGTTAGTTCTAACAAAATGTCGGAGTTAATTAAGCATCGCAGATATTAATAGTAATATAGAGATTTCCCTAAGAAAATAACTATCTTTTCTAAAATAAATTTGCTTTTTAATACATAATTTATATTTTTATTTCGATTATAATTCTTTACTAAAATTATTTAAGCTTCATTTTATTCTATTTTATGACCATCGGTGAACTGCTGACCCAATTCCGAGTTCACGACTGCAAATTTTCAACTCCATAGCCTCGTAATTTTGAACCCAATCCGGAAGACAAGGGAACTCCTGGATCTAGTATTGGGAGACATTTCCCTTCGCGGAGACCTTTTTGGATTTTTATATGGAGAGGAAATCCACGAAAACCTACTGCGATTAGTTTGACGGGAAGGGGATTCTGACCCATGATCTGTCTACCACTGAGGATATTTTTAATCGTCACTGTGATTGGTGTGAGCCGAGTGCGAAAATCGNATACACTGAAGAGCCAAAAAAAACTGGTACAGGCATGAGTATGCAAATAAAGGGGTATGGAGCCAATCAAAGTACAGCGCCGCGATCCGCAAAGCGTATATAAGACAACGAGTGTCTAGCACAGTTCTTAGATCGGTTACTGCTGCTACAATGCCAGGTTTAAGTGAGTTTGAACGTGGTGTTATGATCGGCGCACGGGAGATGGGACACAGCATCTCCGAGATAGCAATGAAATTTTGATTTTCACGTACGACTATTTCACGAGTATACCGTGAGTATCGGAAATCCGGTAAAACATCAAATCTGCGACATCACTGCGGTCGGAAAAAGATCATGCAAGAACGATATCCGAAGATATCCCCACCCCCTCTTACTCCCACTGGTTTATGGACAGCCCTGCAGGATTCATGGTGTCAATTATCTCCAGCACTACTTCACACATTGATCGAATCCATGCCACGTCGTGTTGCGGCACTTCTGCGTACTTGCGGGGGCCCTACACGATATTAGGCAAGTTTACCAGTTTTTTTGGCTCTTCAGTGTATATAAATGCAGACAACATTTTAAGTTACGAATATATAATATTTTTAAAATTCGACTTCTCAGGAACCGATTGTGCATAAAAAATTTTTTACTATACCATGCAAAATTACATTCTTTACCTTCAAATTTGTATTTTGATTTGCAAAATTAAAATTTTTAAAATTTTGCAAACATTTGTTTACTAAACAATTAAAAAGTTTTTCGACTATTTTTGCATAAAATAATAATAAATTCGTTAAAAGTTACTTTTTTTGCATGGAATTACCTTTGGATTAACGAATTTTATAATTAAGTGTAAAAAATTTTCTATTCTCTTATAAAATTCTTGACTCATGGAGAAATGCTCAAAAATTAAAATTAATATTAAGGGGTCCAAGCTTCGCATAGCTCTTTTGACCGAACAAATATAACCATATTTCCCGGATTGCTGCCATTCAATATTTGAGAGTCAAAAATACAAATCTGTCAGAAAAAATTGCGTGTTTATTTAGAGAAAGTAAATTTTTGTGTTTGATTACGTAATTTAAAGTATCGTCTGCACTAATTAACTAGCAAAATTGAGGTCAACTCCAGGAGCTGTTAAGATTGAGTCCCTGAAAGTGAAGATGCGATCATTAGTTCAAAAGTTATCCATGGTGGTCCATTTTTTTCCGCACCGTTCGTATCCTTTTCCAGGTGTTGATAAAAATCTCTTTTCACAGTAACTATATTGAAACTGTACAGCATTGATTCAGCTTTAATAAGTATCATATAAACTAATATAATACTTTGTACCTATATTAGAATCTGTAGTGCCTATTAAAACTGGATTAATCACCATAATATTGATTAATCATCAAGGCTGGTCGATACGAATTCCGCATCCGGCTTGCTTCGACCACATTGCTGACAGAAAATATTATGAGTGATGGACGGATCATGTATTAGAGTTCCCTTGCCGTCAGACCAACCATGGGAGATTTTCGTGGTTTTCCACTCCATGTAACGCAAAACGTGAGTTAGTTCTATCAAAAAAATCCACCACGAAGGCAAATTTCTCCCAAAACTAGGTCAAGGAGTTAATTAAGCATCACAGACATTAATAGTAATATAGAGAGTTTCTCTAAGAAAATAACTATCTTTTCTAAAATAAATTTGCTTTTTAATGCATAGTTTATATTTTTATTTCGATTATAATTCTTTACTAAAATTATTTAAGCTTCATTTTATTTTATTTTATGACCATCGGTGAACAGCTGACCCAATTACGACAGCAAATGTTAAACTCCATAGCCTTGTAATTTTGAACAAAATCCGGAAGACAAGGGAACTCCTGGATCTAGTATTGGAAGAAATTTGCCTTCGCAGAGACCTTTTTGGATTGTTATATGGAGAGGAAATCCACGAAAACCTACTACGATTAGTTTGACGGAAAGGGGATTCTAACCCATGATCTGTCTACCACTGAGGATATTTTTAATCGTCACTGTGATTGGCGTGAGCCAGATGCGAAAATCGTATCGACCAGCCATCATTGGGATTCGAACCCGGTCCACCTCATTGGGAAGCTAGCGCTCTGTCCCTTAAGTCACCACATCTCTTCTTAAGCCTCCTTGGCGTCAATACGGACAAGGCATTTTTTATGGTTTCTCTGAAAGTCCTTTTTCTTCATTATTTTTTTCTTTTTTTAAGTTGAGAATTTTTTTAATTAAATTTTCCATTGATTTTAAATTATTTAGTTTTATAAACACATTTTGAAAGCATAACTATGAACAAAATAAGCATGTAATTTTAGATAACTTTAAAAATGCTACTAAATGGTGACATAGCCAACTGTGCTACCATATTCATCTTGACCAATGAATTTATCTAACAAAAATTAATAAAAAAATATTAATCATTAAAGAACGTGCAGTAAACTCGTTCTTTTTGTTAATGAGAGCTATATGTTGAAAACAAAACTGATGTTATCCTGAAAAACGATAAAACATGAACATATCCATTTGATAAAACATAATCATTCAAAGTTTTATTATATAGTTAAACTAGAGACATATATAAAATGGCTAATTCTTAAAAATTGAGAAAATTCTATTTTTCAAACATCTCTCTGGGGCCATCTAGTTGGTATTTTTGAATGATCTTTAAGATCGGGAGCAAAAATTGCCTTTTTTACCCACAGTCCGAATTTCAGAATGCTAGCTCAAAAAGTTCTGAAATTATAAGAAATTATAACATTTTGAGCTAGCATTCTGAAATTATAAGAATGACACACACTAACTCTTTATTTTATTATTACAAAAAATTAAAAGGTTATTTACCTGTTAGAATACCAAAATATTTATATTATTATAGTAAAAGCTATTTCTAATGTTATCTCAAAAAAGTTTAAATTAAAACATAAATATCAAATGAATTTATTGACTTCATTAGATTAATTTAGAACGTATCTATTAAACTTATATAAATACAGTTAAATAAAAATAAATAAATAATCAGAATTTATACATTCAAAAATGTGAGCAAAAGTTGCTAACGCTTTAAATTTATTAAAACAAACATACTTAATCAGTTCAAATTGAATTTAAGGAGTTCAAAATTATTGTGCCATTCGGGTATGGCAGATTAAACATTCAAATACGGCATTGATAAAAAAAAATCGCATACATGAACTAAAATACTAGGAGTGCCTTGCGATTGTTATCACAGAAAAATAATTTTAAATTACAAATTGGAAATTGCAGTTGACTCATAGTTGTCTGATTTAAATGATTGCGTATTTAAATATTGTTGATTAAAGATAAATGAATTGAACTGTATTTATTAATGAGGAAATATAAACAAAAATATTTACTTTTATAAAATTATATCTTATCATTGAGATTTTTATCTATTTTGTAATGATTAGATTATCAGGTAAAAAAAATAGCTGATAAATATAAAGTAATTCGTGTGTCACTTATTAGTCTACGACTCAAATTCTTTTATGACGAGATTTAAAATTAAAAATAGTTTAAGCTATCGAATTAATTTATCTTTAATCAACAACATTGCTCATTACTGTTTAAAACTAATTGATCAATACGTGTAAGGATATTTTGATAATTTAAACTTTTTTAATTTAATAAACCGCGTATAATTGTGTACATTCAAAAAGTGATTGCTCACAACTTTTAAATTAGTCGAATAAATTTCAAATTTTAAATTTTGTTTATAAGGAGGTTACGAAAAAGTATATCAGTTTTAAATTATGAATATGTTAGATTGCAAAGCTATCGACTGTTTATTTATATATTTTGCATTACTCATCATTTATTTTTTTCCTTATAGATGATTTTGCGTCCATTCTAGGATATAATGTTTTATTCTCTAAGCATGGAATAAGTAATTTTTGGCAGTTTTTAATACCTTTTGTGAGCGTTTTTCGGGCTGATACTGTTGAGGTAAAACACTTTTTTACAATTCCAAAGTTTAAAATATTATTTGAAACTATTAAATTCAGAAGATTTATTTTAGAATAATTTTTGAGTTTGTTATTAGTTTTACTAGTAAATTTATTTTTCAAGTATTAAAATATTCATTCATCTATTTATTTGCTTTGCTTACCAAAAAAACAAGTAGTAGTACTTTATTTACTTAACACTAGAATCGCACAATGGGATATACTTTATATTTTTGAAAAATATATTTAATCAGCCGCTGAACAGCCGGGGTTTCGGACTACTAACGTTCAACTCCGTAGCCTTGTAATTTTGTACCCTATACAGAAAATAAGAGAATTCCTGAATTAGGTATTGGGAGAAATTAGCTTTCATGGAGGACTTCGACCAGAACCAACCTGGAACCAACCCGCATTTGCGTTAAATAAAGAGGAAAACCACTGCCAAGAAATAACCCTCAGGATGATCAGAAGCCTAGTCATCAATATTCTGATTCTCTGCAGGGAGGCTCGCTTCTCCGTTTTAATAACCAATGATCTGCGCATGAAGTAAAACACTTTAAAGTGGAACAGTTAAACGAGAACCGGAACCACTCACCCTCAGTCCCATAGCAAGCTGATCAAACTGGTCTCCTATTCACGCGCTGACATACAGTGGTGCTTGACTTCAGTGTTCTACCGTAATTTACAATCAGTTCACCGTGGGACATAAGAAAAATATATATGTTTCTAAAAATAGCTTGGTGTTCTGTGCTCTCTTATAATTGATTAAAATTGATTAGATATAGGTAAATATAGGACACGACAACAAGATTCATTAGTTTTCTCATTACCTTGAGTATGTAAAAACGTTTTTAACGGAAACGTTTATGTTGACCACTTTCAGATACTAAACTCAGGGATAGCGCATTAGTTATCACAATTCATAGATATGCATGTGGTATTGTGTATATTAATTTAATAATTATTAAACATAAAAAAACATTTCAAAAACTGAGAAGAATTATTCTAGGGTAAAGCTAGAATTTGTGTTTAATTAAAATTGGTATCCTGAAAAACGATAAAANAAGCACACCGGACAAAAATTTAGTCACCCTTAGAGAAATCATAAAAAAAAACATAATTTAATAGCGTGAAACACCGCATTTGGGTTTGATAACCGCCTGGATTCGGTTAGGAAGTGAGACTACCGGGTTTTGCAGGCATGTCGAATCCAGTGTAAGCCACTCCCTGAGGATTTGATCACGCAAATCCACCAAAATGCGAGGATGCTGCTTTCGGTGTTTTACCCGTTTCTCCAACATGTCCCAAAAATTTTGAATGGGGTTCTAGTCAGGCCATTTCACAGGGCAGTCGAGATGTAATTGAGTGTCTGAGTGTTCATTAAACCAGCCATATATCCTTCCAGCCAGATGAACATTGCTGTTGTCATCTTAAAATATAGGGGTATCGACAGCGCATTCTTCATGAAGATGTTGACTGAAAGGCAACTCCTGATCATCTAAAATGTTCAAATAAGCCTGTTGGTTCATGTTAGTGACCACCTCAGTGAGGGGTCCAATTCATAATAAGAAAAAAGCCTCCAAAACATGACATACCCACCTCGGGCTTAAGCCTGAGCTTGCTCACATTGAGGATGAAATGCTTCATCTGGTCTTCGTTATACTCGACAACGTGCGTCATTTGAATAAAGGCAAAAATGTGATTCATCGGACCATATTACACACGTGCACACCAACATTTGCCTATGACCCTAAAAGGGCATTTATCGGTTAATGGTTAAGGTTGGAAGAGAAGGCAGATAGAAAAAAAAGAGGAAAAAAATAGCAAATAGAAACAAAGAAGACAAGAAAAGAAAAAGAAATATAAAATTTAAAAAAAAATGCAAGAATTGAAAAAAAAGAAAAGATTTTTCTATTAGTTAGGGCATTTGATTAAAAGTATTCAGAGCTTTGGTCAATGTTAGTAGTGGTAGGTGCTCAACATTGCATAATTTTGTCATTTCTTCATGAAAATTACGTCAGGATTTCCTCGTATTCTTCTAGAAAATTAATCAGGTTGGTTGCCTTCTGTTTCAACTTTAGATGCTTATAGATAGATCTTTTCCAGGCTGTAAGGAAAATAGAACAGCTTTGGTTGTTTAAAGTGGTAGGATGTGGTAAGCGGACATTCTATTGCACAATGCCACACTATTCCTACTCCTCCACAGGCACATGTGTTGTCAGTAGTAAAGAGGACGATTAGCTGCCTATTCCATTCTGATTGAACCATATTGCATTGCACCAGTCAGCAATTGTCCACGTTCGATGACTGCTAGCCCACTGAAGTTGAGCAGTTTTATGTGCCTGGGGGAGCAATGGCCTCTTATGAGGTGTTCGACTCCAAATGTTCACTGCACGCAGCTCCCGTCGCAATGTTTTCTCATTAACAGGTTGAAATGGACCTTCATTCACTAACTTAAGCAATTCCTGTCTGGTATGGAAGCGATTTTAATTGACAAGTCGTGAAACAAGTCTCCAGCCCCTTTAATGCAGGATCTTTTTCTGACTACAAATCTGACGTCGTCTTTCGTGACTACGTGTATTACACTACTGCTTGTAGACATGTTGAACAGTCCAACAGGTTGAATAGGCACGACCAAACGCAATTGCCCCTTTTTACCGCTCTATCACATCCTTACACTTACCCATATTTACATAAATTTCCGATTAAAACAAAATAACCTCACTGATGGCTACTTGCCTTAGATCACGTTGAGGCAGAGCGCAGTCAGTTCAACACGTCATTTAACCACTGCGTTATTTAACGAAATCTAACGATTCATCGGTGCTTGCACACTTGGGTTACTAATTTTTTGTCCAGTGAGCTTATTACAATCTCCAACACAAGGTTTAGAAATTATTATCCTTAATATATATAGCGCGTTTAATGCATAACGTGTCAAAGAGAGAAAAAAACCACCCATAAATTTTATTTTATATGTAAAAAACTATATTAAGTTGTCGTTTCTTACTATCTAGAAAACTTGGTTTCTGACATCATAAACATTCTAAAAATATGTTATTTTATTTACATGATATTAACGTGTTATACATAATACTTTATTGAAAAGTTAATATTTTATTAGGCAGTTTTGAATCATAACAACGAAATTAAAAAAAGCTGGGTTTACAACTTCCTTCATCCTTGGTTAGGATTAGGTTTATTAACAAGGTGAGTGCTAATCCTGTTTGATATAACTTGGGTAAATAATAAGTATTTTGTTCATTACGAATTACAAGCAAATTTTAAATTTCTGTAAAATTCCCAAAAAGAAATTATAGTCATACATATAAAGATATTAAAATTATAAGGTTAAGTATTAATTTCATAAATTTGTTTACTTTTATTACATTTATATCATTTACCAAAATAAATATTTATCTTCACTTTTACACAATTACCACTTTGGTTGATACAATTTTGCTGAAATTGAGACAGTTATTTGTATGGCCCTGACATACCAGCTCTTTACAATGTTCTTGAAAAAGCAACAAGCTTCATTTTTCTCCTCGTTACAGTATTGATTTACCTTTAGGAACAATGATCTTTCAAACATCAAACAGAGGAACAGATGCTAATCAATCGATTAAAAATTCGAACTATAGCTAGGTTGGATAATTTCCAATAAAACTGTTATTGGAAGGCTACAGGTTTTTCATTTGATGTGTTGGGAGCACACAATTTAAGCACATGACCAAAAATTTAAGCTCAAAAAATTTAAGCAAACAGCGAAATTTGCTGATACTTTGAATTAAAAAAATGTAAGTGCAATTACGGGAATATTCTAAAATTATAACCCATATGAAGTTTTATCAAGAAATAATCGTTAAATAAAATTTATTTTATTAATATTGTGATCTTTAAAAATTTCGCTTAAAATAACTATTTTAAAAGTTTAAGCAATTTGGGAATTTCTTAGTAAATGCGGGATCAGTAAGATGAACTGACGTATTTCTTGCATAGCATTAACTCACAGGTAGGTAATTTCTAATCCAGAGTTCCAATGTTTAAAATTCAAAAAACGGCGAAATTCAACAAAAAAAAAAGTTATGAACGAATGAAATTATGAAAATTTAGTTAAAACCCGAAGAAAAGAGTGTTTTTGAAATTTTTAGCATTTTAAATAGATCAATGGGAGGTAATCAAGTGTTGAAGAAATAAGATGATTTCGCCCAAATTCACCGGATATTGATGATTGCGTCCGATTTGGAGATTAATGTAAAGGCAAAATATGTTAATTCGTCGATTAGAAACACCACCGTCGGTGTAGCAGTGTCTAAGGACATTATGCATTGACGTATTCGGGAATGCAAACATTCAAAAATTTTTGTCTTAAACGACATTATAAACTTGCAAGAACAAACTGGACAAAAAATCACATGTAGTATGGTAAAAAATAGTTATTTGTACTATTCAATAGTGAGAGAAAAATGGAACTTAGATGGTCCTGACGGCTAAAACTTATATTCAACATAACCTCTGAAAAGAGCTAAAGAATTTCTTCTGCCGGCAGAAAGGAGGAAAATCTCTAATAGTTTGGGGAGCATTCGGATTTAATGGGCAGGCATACTGAATTTCATTAAGAAGAGACAAACATTTAAAACGCATCAAGATATATTTAGGCAACATTAGCTCTCTTTTCATGACCTCCAGGTAGGAGCTGATTGTATATTACAGCAAGACAATACTTTACATTTCAAATAAATTGACTTTTCAACAGAATGTCCAGGTACTAAATTCATCTGCCCTGAGCCCAGAACTAAATCTAATTGAGAAAGTTTCAGACATTTTAACTCACCAAATATATGGAAATTATAAAGAATAAAACCGCCGAAGAACTCTCTCCATCTCTCCCTCGTATGCCTCTGAAGGCAGAGGGGTACGATTGTTGTTCTTGTTTTCTAGTGGCGCCATCTATGGCCGAGAATGCGACTTATGCCACAACCATATGTCACACCCGCTTATAGGGAGGACCCATTCATACATCCAATCATTCATCCACAGATCGTAATTTTGACCTGAATCAGAGAACGATCAATCTCATATCCTGTACCCCCAGAGGTATTGATTTGTTATGAGAACATTTGCGACTCGACAGATTTAACGTGTATCAGACACCATTTACTACGCAGGGAGTCTACGACCGGCGGGGCTCGAACCCACGAACTCTCAGACATGAGCCCTGACCGACCAGGCTAACCCGGCCACCCCGTCGAAGAACTCGAACAGTCGATTGGTATGGTATTCTTTCCCCACAGGTATACCTTCATGGTATTCTTGGTATGCTTTCCCCACAGAAACAGATAAGAAGCTAATTAATTCAGTGGAATAACATAGCTTCGATATTTTTAAGAATAATTTTAAAAGAATAAGAATATCCAAATAAGATTATTTTAGGACTGCTGAATGGTTTCATATTAGCTCCTCTTCTTAAACTTTTGAGGCAGGCTATCTTTTATTATTTTTTTAACTTCAGAACTGATTTTTATTTATCAGAAACTGATTTCTTTAAAAATATTTTATTTGTCTGTTAGTATCTAGTTATTTTAAGACAAGCTCAAGATTTAAACAGACTGATATGTTTTGCATAGTTTCAGACATAAGAATATCAGTAGCAGGAAAAAATTATAATTCTCTGCAGATGATTTACATATACTGAACGTAGCGCAAAAGAAAAATAAGATTTCAACTTAGATATAAAGCAACTCAATAACTAATGACCGTATCATTTTGATATCAAATAATTCCTAAAATATTTCACAAGAATCACGCAATATTTCATGCTGTTTAATCTGACAGTGTTTGAGCTATGAAAAGGAGAAGCGCGCTTGGTACTCGTAAAAATGCTTGTTATTATGGAGGTAATGATGGTGGCAATAACTTTTTCTAATATAGAGATAAAATTGCCAATTGATTAAAATCCTTGAATTACCTAGCATATCAATATTTGTACATAATATTATTACTAACACAATTTCTTTTTTAATCATTCTTTGTATCTTAAGTTATGACGAAAAATGGAGGCATAGGAGGAAGCTACTCACACCAGCATTTCATTTCAATATTTTGAAAGATTTCCAATATGTTTTTAACAAGCAGTCAAAGATATTAGTCAACATTTTAGACAAACATTCGAAAGAAAAGTATGTTGACATACTTCCTATTGTTACACGATGTGGTTTGGATATTATATGCGGTAAGTATTGATGCACACAGCTCAAAATAAAAAAAAATAGCATACTTAAGTAACTTTAAATCTAATGTTGGATTTTTAAAATTTCACGTACTACACAGTTTCCAGATGAAATCACGGTAAAAGGTATCGGCACTCTGGGTGTCAATACTTTTTATTGTAAAATCCATTTTATTTTAAAATTTTACAGAACAAGAAACATCTAATATGCCGTCATGTTTGTAGTAGTATTTACTGTAAAATCAATGAATGGCTGTAAATAAATAAATATTACTGTAAAATTTAAGGTAAAATGGATTTAACGATAAAATACATTTTACGGAAGTTGCATTTTCCCGTTAAATGCCAATGCTTTTACCGTAATTTTGCAAAGAAACTTTTACAGTGAAGGATGCAAAGTTCATGATTCGAGCGACTTACATTAAATATGCAGAAAATATTTGGGAAATTATTTTTTAAGTTATGAAACCTGACACAAAGATGTACTTGATCAGAATAACCACATGTCCCGTTTTCTACGATTTGATTTCAATCCTACGTAATTTTATATCAAGATAAAGGAGCTATTTGCAGCGCAAATAGTTAAGGCAGAAGAGTATTCAAAAATTTGTTCTACTAAATAATAGTTTTACTTTTTTTATGCCCAATAGTTCAGAAAACTTGCTTTTTTTTAAAGTTTCATTGCTTCAAACTATTTCACTGATTCCGCTCATTTTGGATTTTGTTTTTTAAATTTACACAGTTAAGAAGGGATGTGAACATTTATTTACCTCATAATTCAAATTTTTTCGACTAATATTAAAATGAATAATAAATAATTGTAGCAATGTATTTTCAACGTAAAATTTTCTTTGGAAAAACGATTTTAAAATGGTTACAAAATAATTTAAGCAAGCATCTTAAACGGTTACAGTATAACAGTAAAAATAACGCAATAAAGTTACGGTAATATTAAGGAGCTAAATCTTTTATACAATTCTCTTGCCTCAATTTATTGGAGCAATATTTTCAAAATTGCAGTTACCCCCATATTTTCATAGTCAAGAAAAATCTGTCTTAAAAAAAGGGAATGCTTGCTCAGAGAAAGTGCGTATTTGTGCCCGATTTCCTTACTTGAAATATAACTGACACAAATAATTTAGCACATTGAAGGTGAGTTAATTGAATTACCAAGATTGCATATTATCATGTTAAAAATATCCAATTAATAAATCAAAATATATTGAATTGTTCTCCTTTTAATTTTGTGCATTCTATATTGTTGCGTATGTCTACTGCGAAATTAAGTATATGTATAATATTATCACTGAAACAACCATTAAAATGTAACAAGAAAAATAATTAGATGCCTGCTAGAATACATTGCTGTTTGATAAATTTGAATATATTTACGGTATTCCTTTGACTTAAGAATTTATCACATTACCGTTTATTATCAATAATATCCAATTAAATTAGGTCAATGTCATTCTTTCTCGTTTTTATTCCTTACTTTGACCAGAAAAAAAGTTATTACTAATTTTGACAGATTAAACCGTTTAATCACATTGACCGTAACATACATACAGAAGTGTCCAATTGTTTTATAAAATATTCTTTCTACTACAAGGTACTAAGTCAGTAAAATTTCTAATTTCCACTATAAGTCCTTTTTTGTTTTTGATTTACATGTGGAGATTTTTAGGATCATAATTTTGAATTGCTTTAATAATTTTTTAGTAAACTTAGAAAAATGAAGCAAAAAAAATTTCTCTTAAGAAGGTAATTTTGCCTTTTTAGAGCGATATCTTAAAATTAGAATAGCAGGTACACCCAATTTCAGAATTAATCATGAAAAGTTTAATCGATTTTTTTATACTAGAATCAGTATTGGGAGCAGAAATGCATACTCAAACGAAATCAACGAGTCCTTATGTGAAAGGTGTAATAGAGTAAGTATAGTTCATTAATGCGGTAATGTGATAATTTAACCTTTAAAAAATACCATTAAGTATTATTTTGAATTCATTCCAAAATAAAAGTAGACGTTTGATACTAATATACTATAAGAGGCTTCAATATTTAGTCATGTAGCTCATTCGTTTATTCGTTTTTTACTTCTTTTTTTGCGAAACATAAATTTTTTATTTTATTATTTATTTTATGCAGTTACATAATTCAATAAACAATCACTTTAATAAATGAATTTTATTTTTTGGAAGTATCAATGTTATGTTTCGAAAACAGAACCAAACATTATAAAATGTTAGTTAGCAATGCAAAATTGTAATACTAAAAACAGAACATTGGTCCATTCCTTTCTGAGATATTAACACCAGCAAACAAGAAGGAAAGCATTGAGTAATTATGTTCTGCTATGGGCATTATAGGTTTTTCTGCTATGGGCAATATAGGGTGGAAGGACACAATATATTCAATAAAACTGAAACTAGAGAATATGGCTTCTATTTATCATATTGCAAAGATTTTACTTTTTTTCTGCACAATATGTATGATTTTATAAACTCTTAGAGCATCCAAAATATTTATCCTATCAATTGATTATTCAATTATTGATTCAACGTCGTGATTCCGCAATATTTACCGCGCAGAAGAGTTCAAGTAAAAAAAATTACTTTGCACACATAAAAATGCTCACAACTTCGGAAATATTTGCCTTTTTTTTGTCACGGGATTAATCACATTCAATTTAGTTTAAATGATAGGTAGGAAACAATACGATATTTTTTAGATAGCAATGTTGTTGTAAAAGTTGTGTACGTAAGTAGATGCAAATACGAAAATATACTCTCTATCATAAGACCCTTATAACTTCTAAGCTACTAGTCCTGTCGTTACGAGAGATTGATCTCATATGGTTCAACGTGCAAAAAAAAAACACTTTAAAAGCATCATTTGATATTTCTAAATAGAAGCAAAACATTGTCGACTTTAGTCAGCATTATCATTTACCCGTACCACCAAAACCCGACATATGAGATCGTGCAACTTTTTACCAGAACCTATGACCACGGTACTTCTCAATCTGCTGTAAGTTTGAGAATAAGTATTCCTTGCATCCCATTATCACTAGATTAAAGCGCATAAAAAAGCTTGAATAGGCTTTAAGTAGGAGCGAAAGAAAAAGTTTTCTATAATGAAAAAGCAATACCCTCCAAAAGTTGTGTCTTCATATCAGATTAGAATTTTTCACATTTCTTATCTATATCTTTATTCTCTTCAATAGCCTTAAAAATTTTGTTTTTAAAAAACAGCAAATTTTCGAAAATTTTTCACATTTTCAAAAATTGTCACATAAAAACAAATTACCACTCAAAAGTTGTGTACTGATCAAAATATTATTTATGAATTTTTTAAGAATGTTCAGCATCCTTTCAATACCTTGCAACAGCTGTAAATATTATAAAATTCAACTAAAAGTACAACATTTTTGAAAATCACTGAATTTTTAAAAATTGTCATAAGAAAATAAAGCACCTTGCAAAAGTTGTGTGTTTACTCATGAATTGTTTTGATATTTTCCCGGTTCATTTTCCCTTTTTTACTCAGTAACGGACACTAGAGGGTTATTTTTTAGCCTTTTTTATACTACTACTCTGAGCCTTATAAAATTACAACCAAAAGTAAACAAGCCGAAGAAAACTAAAAACTACACCATAGCTTTACAAAAATAGCATTGATGATTACTTTACATTTGCTATAAAATCACAGGAAAGTACATCTAAAGAGCGAGGTTTTTTCATAACCAGCAAGCTGCAATATGAATGGGTATAGGTTTTATTAATTTGCAAGTCTGTGAACAGTTAATTAAAAAGATGCACTGACAAAAAACAAATCTAGCTTTAGAGGATTCTCTTATAAACTAATTTAATGTGATGTAAATTTCAAAATTGTTTTTATATTGTATTTAGAAATCCTAATTGTGCAATAAATGAAACTTTTGTGCCAATTTATTCCCTTTATTGTGATTGAAATTTATAAAAAGATTTCCAATTTTAATAATAGCTTCATTTTAAGCTTAACTGAATATATAATCAGTATAGGAAAATATTAAAATTAACATGCACACTTTTTATTCCCTATTAAGCATAATATTTTTTTAAGAAAAAAACAGGATGGTCCATAAATACCACCCTTAAAATATATTTTTAGAATCCTTATGAAAAGAAAGACAAGCAAATGTGCAAATTAGGGGTAGTAAATTAGTATTCAAGAAGTTAAATTAAACAAAAATGATTCTCAAATACAACAAACCACAGTTGAGGAAGACGGAAGTGTAAACGCCAAAACCTGCTTAATTTTGAAAGAAAACAGAGGCTAGTTTAAAACCAATTGTGTGTATGAAATCACACTTAAATTTCAATATACAATAAAACAGGTTTTAGTGTTTCCTACTCCCACCTTCTTTATTTGTGATTTCTCACAATTTACCCTGTTGAACTGTTAATTTGCTTCCTCTATTGTTCATACTTTTGTTCTTCCTTTTAGATAAATATTCTGAAAATATAAATTAAGATCGGTATTTACGGGATAACTGGTATAAATGTTGGGAATTAAAATTTTATAAAAGTTGGGGAATTAAAATTTTAGTATAATGTTTTATATTGTAAGGTATAATAATGTATAATGTTTAGTATGTAATACAAGTTTAAATACATATTTTTATCATTTTAGATTAGGTAATTTATTTTTTCAAAGAGCTTTAAGACCTTGGTTGTGGATAGAAGCCATTTATCCATATTTTCCTTCTGGAAGACAGTTTCTGAAAACGAGTGCTATTGTTCATGAATTTACTGATAAAGTAGGTATTTATTCAATTGTTTATGTTTCAAGTGTTACAGAAAAAAACGTCTTGTAAAAGTGCAATTGCTCATAAATAGAACTTTTAGCCTAACAATTTGTTGCTCTTATTAAATATATAATCTGATAACTTCACAATAGTTTACTTTTAAAATATTTGCTTTAGCTGTACGAAACCCACTAAAACTAATTAACTGACTTTTGAAAGATACTTTTGAAAAAGAATTCCCGAAAAATAATTTTGCCTCACAATTTTTTTTAAAAGAAAAAAAAACCAAAGGTCTAGAGGGTGGCGAATCGTATCCAGCAATGTCAAGACTCTAAACTTGCATTCTCACATCACTAATGGCATTGCAAAGTGGACGATGGAAAATACACCCAGGTTCGATTCCCAGCGATGACTGGTAGATACAAATTCTGTTCCCGGCTTGAGCCGATTACAATGCTGACGTAAAATATCCTCAGTGGTCGAAGGCTAGACTCTCCTTTCCACAGGGCTAACTGTGAGAGGCTTTTATGGTTTTTCTCTCTGCGGAACGTTCCCAAATGCAGGTTTATCTCACCAAAAAGTTCTCCGAAAAGGCTAGTTTGTTCCAATGCTCAATCCGGGAGTTCTCCTGTCTTCCTATGTTGGATTCAAGATTACAAGGTTACTGAGTTGAACATTGATAGTCGTAAACTTAAAGTTGGGTCAGCTATTCAACGTCACTTAAATAAATTTAAAAAAGAAAAAATACAAAAAAAACAAAGAAAATCAATAAAGATTGATTGAATAAAAATTTATTAAATAAATGATATTTAACAAACAGTAACTCCATACATTATGCTTCCATGCTTTTACATTTTGCAGTCAGCCTCTTTGTTTTATACCTTGTTATTGCTTAATTCAGCCTATGTTTTATGATGACACAAAATTTCAGACGCGAACAATTATATTTCTCTACAAACAACATATTGATAAGCGGTATTTAGTAATTATAATATTGCTTCACTATATTAAATATAAAAAAATATTCTTCTACAATGCAGATCATGTTATGTTTTGTTTTTAATATTCGTTTTTTTTTAAATATGAGTCATGCTGTTTTTAAATGTGAATAAAAATTCCTTTTCGGAAGTTTTTTATTGGTTTGTCTTGTGCGTAGTTGATTTCTGAAAGGAAGCAGGCAAAACTGGAAAGGAGAATGTCTTCTGAGGATTCACAAGGTAGCAATGAGAGTAGTTACAAGAGGAAGAAAAGAGCTTTGTTGGATCTCCTGCTGGATGAGCACATTGAAAACAATTCCATTTCAGAAACAGAAATAAGAGAGGAAGTGGACACTTTCACATTTGAGGTAAGTTTTGAAATTGGGTCTGTAAAACACGACTACGGGTACAAATAATAAATCGAACCATGATGGCTCGATTCAAGGAACTGACATTGTGAAGAACTAGAATTTGATTCCATGTGGCGGCTTGGACCTCATTTGCTTTCAAATCGATTGGCAACAGCTTGAATCTAATGTGAAACTGGCTTGTCCTCAGTGGTTACAACATTACCGTAATTCACTCGTTTTTCACGAAATTATGGGCCTTGACTTTTATGACCCGGAATGATTTCCCTTGATCTAAAATCTTTAAGTATCTTTACAATTAAGGCTTTAGAATAATATTGCTTTTTACTTTATTAACGAACTTAAGTGTCTTTTCAAAGCCATCACATTTGACATCTCACGCTTCCATTGATATTTTTTTCATTCTTTTGAATTACATTTTTGAATTTGCTGAAATTTGTGATTTTATAATTATTTAGCAGAGAGAGCATATATGATTCCACAAAATAGTTACACGGGTTTAGATTGGCTGAATTAGGGGCCATTCTGAAAAAAAAACTCAGTTAAATGTTTGCTGCTCCACTCTTGAGCTACGCTTTCGGTATGAGGAGGAACAGCAATATTCCACCAAGCAGAAATATTCCACCCCATATGTACTGTGAACACTTGGGAGTAAAACTGTTTCAAAAACCTATGTTTTATTTTATATTGGTCATTGATTTTTTCTCCTGTTTCAATAAAAGCTAAGAGGAGTTTGCCTTTTCTTCAAATAGCTCCCCAAACCATCACAGACTAAGCATTTTAATAAAGCTAAACATAATTCTGTATCTCAAGGATGTTATTAATAGAAACTGGCCATCTTCTACCATTTCGGGGGTTGAGACTTTGCTGCAAAACTAATAATTTTTTTTTAATTTTTTTAAATTTTTTTTATCCAATGGCAGGCACTGAATTTTGAATCTTTGCCTATACTATGCCAGAATTGTTGCTCATTTCGCGTTACCCAGTGGGCACCTGTGAACCAAAGTCACGGAGGCGAGCAACATTGCCCACGCCACACTGCCACAAACCCGTTTATAGGGTGGGCCACATTCACACATCATACACACACACAACAGAGGACAGCACAAAGAGAGAAAGAAGCATCCATGCCCAGAGCGGGATTCGAACCCGCAGCCTATGGCTTCGCAGTCAGGCACGCTAACCGCTCGGCCACCTGGGGCTCGGCCACCTTTTCGTCTGAAAAGACGAACTTATCCTCAGCATGTCAGGCAAATATTTTGTGCACCGCCTCCCTTTTTTCATTTTAGTAGACTTTGAAAGTCCATTAATTCTGCTTTTTATCAAAGCTCTGCACCCAAAGTCTTTTCTCAAAATGTTTAACATTGATACCTTCTATATATTGAGCTCTCGGGCTAGTTTTCTAGCAGATCTTTATTCGTTTCTTGTATTCTTTCTTGACCTTTTTCACAGTCTCTTTTGTCTGAACAGATCTTTTTATCTACCAGACTTTTTTCTGTCATTGACTGAGGACATCTCATTGAACCATCGGATAGTGCAGTAACTAAAATATCTTCACCACCAGAGCTTTCTTATCTTTGAAAATTCTGCTCGTATTTAATGAATTTATTTATGACATATTTTTCCAAATTTCTTCATTCCACTTAGGTAAAAAAATTATAAGTAGTACAACATTCAAACTTACAATAGCTTCCATATAACTTATACTAAATGTTCAGAATAGAAATAGAATAGGTTGAATTGCTAAATAGAATTGGCACTACCGAGACAAATATATAATCTTTTAATGTGTTCCGAAAGTTGTATGCGAGCTTATTGGTCACGGTTCATAAAATTCCTTATGCGATCTTGTTATTCTGTTTTATTGTAATTCATAAGAAAGTTTTAGTTGTAATTCATTTTATAGATTATGTATTTTTAGTATATATTTATCCATTTCTACTACATACACATCGACAAAGTACTCTATAATTCCGATAATTTTTTATATACTGCTTAGAATCCTTGTTGAAAATAAATTATGAAAACCTAAAATTTAGTTATCGAGAATAACAGGAAAGTAGGAAAGGATAAACAACTTTCTCATGAAAATTGATCCAATTAACGAGCTTACTAACAGAAAATGTGAAATAATAAAAACAAGTTTGTTGAATAAAACTGAAAGGCTTAGCTTCAATAAGTGTTAGTAAGAATGCTTCCAGTTCCCTTTAATTAAAAAAAAATCTGTTTTACGAACGCAATTTTAACGTTTCTGTGATTGTTTGCAATGAAGATTCGTGAGATGATTTTATTTTTAAAATTTCACTCAAAATTTAGGCTTAAGAGTGCGTGCCTGACTCGAGTTTTAAAAATACATAATATAGGTACAAGAAATGGCGTTTTCGAGTATATATAGAGTTACAAATGATCATTATAGATGGTCAGAGTGTCTTGGTCCATAATTTTCTTTGCTTTAATAGTCAGTAAATGTTGATTCTAAGAGATTTACGACATCTTTCATGATTTGTCAGAAGGAATAAAATGTTATCAATAAACATTAAATAAAATAATCTTTTTTTTGTTCAATTTTTGCGCACTTTTTTGTGGAGATTTTAAAATAATTGGATAAATATTATTTTTCAGGGTCATGATACAACTTCTATTGCTATGAGTTGGACACTTTATTTAATTGGGTTACATCCATGGGTTCAGGATAAAGTTCACGAGGAATTGGATTCTATATTTGGTGAGAGTGATCGTGAAGTAGATGTTGATGATATTAAAGATATGAAATATTTAGAATGTGTGGTAAAGGTATGTACGTTTTTAAAAAAAAAATTTTTTTTGTAATAATTTAAATTGTTTAACAACATTTGGAACTAATTAATTCACCAAAAAAATTAATTGATAACCAATTCCAGGTAGAAGAACTGTTCTCTAATTTTATATTCTAAAAATTAAATAATGCAAAAAGCCCAAGATATTTAATCTTTCTTAGCAAGATTTATATTATCTTTATTAAAGAAAATTTCAACTATGGAAAGCAGACTTGCATTGACTGATTTTTCAGGTTCATGTAAATATATTGTAATGTGTTAACTACAGATGATTGGGCACTGAAAATTGATTGTCATATGACGTAAGGGCATCCAATGTAAAAGCTTTTTCTACTTTAAAGTTATTGCTCTGGCATCTGTTATCTCAGCTGTTTCTTCAAACTTTGTTTGATTTATTTTAATGTGGAAAGAAACATCTGCATTGCCTCTGAACATAATAGGGGATCTGTCCAAATTTGATATACCTTTAATTTTCCTTCATAAGGATTATAGTATGTATGTCTGTGGAAAGAGCTCCCTGTTGCTATTCGTCTGAAGCAGTGGTGGTGACTACGGTTACAAGGCTTAACTATTTCAAGTTGGTTTATACCAGCACGGTAGCGGGAGTTGTAGATTATTACAACATTTTTAGATTTGAAGAGGAGGATGGTGAAAAGTGGTTGAAAAAATATTGAGGGAAAGGTAAGAAGAAAAAAAGTTTATCTGGAGAGGGGATTTCTACTTGATGAACGGTTAGGGACAATTTTCAAAATTTGACACAAAAACTGAATTGTTGTAAGAGCTACAAATTGAGATTCCCTTGGAGTAGAGAAAGATTTTCTGAACTATTCAAAACTTCGTATTTTATGAAGCTGAAAAACTATTTAGAAGATATTGAAATAATAAATAAAAATTATTATTTTCATTAATTTCTACAATCTGCTTGGTTTCGGGTCATATCGAGATTTGTTCCATTTTTTTCAAAGCATTTTTCTACTAATTATAAAAGTAATAAAGTTTTTAACGACATATGCTATTTACTCTATTTTATTAACTCTATCTTGCATAAGCAAATTTTGCTTTAAAAATGTTAGATTACACCAAATGATTATAATAATAGTCTTTAGGTAACTAAGTTGCGATCCCATACAAATTTAAATTCATGAAGATTGTTCTGCTTCAAGTGTAAGGCACATAAACTATGGCTTTTTTATTTTCCTTGGAGACAGAGCTCCGAAATACAGTGGTAAGAAAAAAAATTAGCTGTTAAAATATTTAACTTTAAAAAATTTAATAAAACTGGTTGGTATGCAAAATTTTATTTCAATTATCAATCGAGTCAAATAAATTGTTAATTATAACTTTCAAACGTTTAACTAATTTTAACTTTTAAACGTAAATACTCATTTGCATTGGTTGTCTTTTTATTCTTGAATCTAAATTATTTTTTTAAAGTTTATGATTTGATTTCATATCAATTCTTTACTGTTTTAGATCTTTGTTTACTATCTTATAACAGCTCAAGTTCCCATATTTTTTTAGGAATCAATGAGACTGTATCCTTCAGTGTCTATTTTTGGAAGAGAAATAAGAGATGATCTTCAATGTAGTTAGTATAAAAGATTTTTAGTTTCTATATTACCATAAGTAGAGTGTATCATCATGCTTTTACACTTCCTTAATACAGAATTTCGCACTTTTTCAGAATCCCACCTTAAATTTTCTTTCTCTATGATTTTCAAGATGTAAATAGTAAATGGCACATTCTGTGTCCAGTAGCAGATGGAATTACATTTAACAGTTTATAATCTAGTTAAAGTTTCCATTCACTGAAATGCTCTGAAATTTAGATGGAAAAATACTTTAAATTACTTACTTTAAGTCAATACTTTAAGTTTACTTTAAATCAATTTAAAGGAATAATCTCAAAGAATTTAACAAGCTGTTACTACGAAAGACAAGCTGTCAAGGGTACAGATTATTATTATTATTATTCTTTTTTGTTGTTTCAGAGAACTTTGTTTTCTAAATTATACTGCTTGCTTGTCGACGTATGACTAAAAGGTCAAAAAATGTGCATAGATTGAAAATTGATGAAATATTATTTTTACTTATTTTAGCTTGATAGCAAAATTGAAACTAAAACTCCTCTACTATTCTTGCTTTGCTTTCTTATCTATTGATGAGCTACCCTGATGCAAATCACTTTAATTCCACAATTAATACCCTGATTCTTTCAATTTTTCAGTAGTTATTATGCTTTTTAATGGTTTTCGCATCTCATTTCTGCATTTTTCATGGTTCTTCTCGGACGAGCTTATCGGTTACTCAATAATGAAGTATCAGAACGCGTCTGCGTAATTACTTAAGAAGTTTTAATCGAAATTTTATTGATAATAATAGCTATGAAAAGCTTAATAACTACAAATGTATTTTTAACATACTTTGCCCGGTTTCAAAAAAGTTTTATGAAAAAATAACCAAGAAAACCCAAGGAATCCATGTATTGGCTATTGATTGTTTTAATTTATTACCAAGGCTCTTTTTCGAAGTCTTACGCGTTAAAATGAGCTGTCGTAAAGGAAAGTGGGAGAAATAATAACGGATTTTAATAAATCAAAACATTTAACAACCATGTTACAGTTTCTTGAATTCTAAGTGAAAGTGTTAGGTAGATGTCGAGGGAATCTCCAAAAGTAGATCTTATCCAGCCTTGAATTCAAGATTTTGTTACAAAATATTATAATAATGATTCCATTTTTTTAGATACGGATGAAATAAGATAATAATTTAGTTTTAAATGTTAGGAAATATGTTATGTATACTTTATCATGGCAGTTGTATGCAGTTTAAAAGCGACAAAAACAAAATCTAAAGCTTTCATTTCAGTGCAGAAAAGTGATAGATGCAATGATAGTTGATATTAAAGCATATCGGTTATTGAATATTTATAATCTTTTTTTTATTTTTTAAAGATGAATAGAACGTGATTTGTAGCAGAAACTATTATTTGAAATCTATATTTGTAAGTAATTATAATTAATTGTAATTGTATAATTTCTTTTCCTTATTTTAGATGAGTACGTGATTCCTCAAGGAAGTATGTGTTACGTAAATGTATATCTCCTTCACAGAGACTCAAAAGTCTTTCCTAATCCTGAAAAATTCGACCCTGATCGATTTTCTCCTGAAAATAGCGCTGGAAGACATCCTTTTGCATATGTACCTTTCTCAGCTGGTCCTCGAAATTGTATAGGTAATTAAAGCAACTTTTAACCTTATTTTTAGAATATTAAGAAAGGTGAGATTTCCCATGATTAGGGAATTATCGTGTTTGAGATTGATGAATGGGGAGCCACGAATCAGCGAGATGAGTGACTTAGGGCTTTTCAGTTTTGAGACAAACATATACTATGGAGAATTAGACGAATTAAATCCAGTCATTAGGATCGAATTAGGTGTGTTTGCGAGAATTTTATTCTGATTCCGAAATTTCCTTCCTGTTGAATAAACGAAAATAATAAAGTATTAAAACAATAGAAAAGTATCGTATCGTTTGGCCTACTATGCTTCAGGCTTAGTCAGTTCAAACTCTTTACAGTAAAAAATGAGTTCATGCATATGCAGAGTTGATCTTTTTAAGTAAATGGTCACACTAGCTGAAAGAGGGGAAGAGAGCAAATATTTAATTAATACTTACGAAATAATGGAAACATTAACTTTTCAGGTAGCGATACAGGCGTAATTCAAAATATTCTTTATACAACTTCCTAAATTGAACCTTATACAAAAAATTTAACAAAAATACAAATTTGTACCAGGTTTTATTATTTGTCAATGCATTTCTACTATCTTTCGAGTTATATAGTTTATTACAGCAGCTTTACCAATTTATACAGAACTCGAAATTGAGATGCTTAGAATTGTGTCTGTCCTTAACAAGCACCTTTAAAAAATTTTCTAAAATAAATATATATAAGCATTGCCAAAAACATGGAAATCTATTTGGGTAAATAGCATTTTTATAGTTAAAGCAATCAGGAACAGTTAGGAATATAATCTATTATATCTAAATTTTGTTCTGAGCTGTAAGACTTAATTAAAAATTACTTAATAATAACTTAAATTTTGTTAGAGAGATAAATTTTAGTAAGGAATATTTTTTTAATAAAATTAAGAAGTCTTGTGCTCTCCTCTCACCAACCTATGTGGTTACTTCTCATCATAATTATTTTTTCTTCTTAAAGAACGATATTTAAAAGAAAGATTTTATTTCTAAAAATATTTAATAATTATTGAAATTTTATGTAGAAAATCTCGTTTATCGTAACAAAATAAACATTCGGCTGGATTTCAAAATAATAAGCACTATTTCAATAAAATATTTAAACATAGGAATACAAGCTGGTTGACACAATGAGTAATGAATACGAAATAATTTTCTTATTAACAGCATATATTAATAATCTTAGATAACTATAGCAGTTAAAATATTAAAAACGGTTTTTATCTTTTTTAAATTAAATCCTTTTTATTCAACAAAATTTCAATACAAAAATTTAGAATTTTTAACTGACTACATATAAGCTCTCTATTTTTTACTTTATCTATTTTTGCTATATTTGACTGCGAATCAAGCGCAAACTTATAAATGAAGATCTGGAGAGGAATAAGTTAGTTTACCTACAACAATAGACAAATAGTCCTTATTTAAAGAGAATCAGTGAAAAAATTCGCGAAAAAAGAATTTGCGAGCAAAGAAAAGAAAAGAAAAAAGAAGAGAAAAGAAGAAGATGAAAAAGAGATATTCGATTTTCCGAACAAGTTGGAAAATCGAAAAAACGAATTCGCGTTAGGTGCATATTGATAACAGTTGATAATTATCGTACAAATAAATCTTGAATATTTTTATTCCCTTTTAATCCTTGTAGCTTCCTCATAAATTTACGTTCTTAACTTTCTCTTACGCAGCAAAAAAAAATTTAACGTAAAGTTTAATACCCCAAACAGCTGCAGCGTTTTTTGCGATATTTAAATATAGAGAGAAAAGTTTTTTTTACAATGACCGCCTGGGGATGACTTACGACATACAAGCATCTGAAGGGCAGATTTGTTGGCCACTTTTCCAGCGGCACCATATTAGTCAGTCCAACGTTGCTCTCACGGTAAGGACAGATAGTACAGAGAACGAAAGAACGTCCATGCCTAGCCCGGGATTCGAACTCAGAACCATTCTGATGCAAGGCCAGTTCCCTGACCCTTACACAGATCAGACGGCATAAAAAGAAAAGTCCACATTGAAATTCCTAAATTTTTTTCTTACAGGACAAAGATTTGCTTTCATGGAGATTAAAACTGTGGTTTCGTCCGTCCTTAGAAAGTTCAAAGTAAAGTCACTGGATCCGAGAGACAGAGTGAATGTAATGGACGAAATCATTTTGAGACCGGAAGGAGAATTACGATTGCAAATACGAAAAAGAAGTGATGATTTTGATTTCAAGACAGTTTATTATTACCCATGAAAATTGACATTATTATTTATTATTTTCATCCATACATTTTTAAAGTTCTTTTGTCATAATGTTCATGTTGTTTCATTCCATGGTCTATTCTATAAATTATGAACGCAAATTTGAAGACAGAATTATGATTATCAGATAGTTAACAGTATGTTATGTCGTATGTACCCATGAAATTTATAATATTATTCCAATATATTTCCATACATTCAGCGTTTTAAATAATTCTAAATTATTTAAATGGTGGTAGGTATATAGGTACTTTATTGGTATATGTGTACTTGTTATTACCAATGAAAATTTATGTTAATATTTAGTTTTATCCATGTTCTTTTGTCATAATGTTCACGTTGTTTCATTCCATGGTCTATTCAATAAATTATGAATGCAAATTCGAAGAAAGAATTATGATTTTGTTTATCAGATTGTAAATAGCATGTTATGTCTTATGTAGCCATAAAATTTATTATATTATTCCTAAATATTTCCATACTTTCAGTGCTTTAAATTATTTAAATTAAATAATGGTAGGTATATGGGTACTTTATTAAAGACGCACTAGAGCTGCATAATGTACTATTGGCGACGATCTGGGAAATATCCCTGAAGATGATCCGAAGACAGGCCATCACAATTTGTGACGCCATTTCCTCAATTTAGACACAGATCTGAAAGGGAAATGAATTTTATACAGATACAGACCCATAATGTTGTACAGACCCTGTACCCATAATACTGCTCTGCGACCGACCATAGAACTTCGATTCTGCAGATTTTACGAGCAATATCGCATGTACTAGTTGGGTCTTAGTGGAGTCTAAGATCAAACCCCTGACCCTCCGGATTGGAGCCCGATTCTTTAATCACTAGGCTACCACAGTCCTAATAATTAATTGGAGTGGGTGTTTTTGGTTGAATACAAATGATTGATTATATTTTCTTTTGTTTTTTTAATAATCTTATGATAGGGGCCTCCCTGGCAGAGCGGTATCGCCCGAAAATCGCTCTGCTAAGCGTGGAGGTGGCGGGTTCGAATCCCACCGTAACCCTGGATATATTCTTTGTGATGTCATTCCCTGTATTGTGCTGTCCCGCAGTGGACTTATCGTTTAGACACGGTTCCCAGCAGATCACCGAAGTCAAGCATCACTGACTGCGGTCAGTGTGCGGGTGGGTGGCCACTTGGACCAGTCTGCCTAGGGACCGAGGGTGTGCGGTATTGGGCCTCGTTAAACTGTTCTACCGCAATGTGCTCGATTTCGCGAGCAGGTCGTCGAGCTACCGAAGCGGGGGTGCCATCCCCTCTGCGGAGGATCAAAATTGTGGTAGCATGTCTTCGTATCATCCTCAAGGATGCTTCCCAGACCGTCGCCAATAGCCCATTGCGCAGCTCTAGTACGTCGTAAATGAACAAAATCAATCATCACCCTGTACTGTGCTATCTGTCCTTCAACTTGACAAAGGTTTATAAGCCATAATTAAGCACACAAGCCTGCAAATGTATATTGTACCAATAAACCAAACCAATAATCTTATGATACAATATGCTATCCTAAATAGAACATATACAAAACAATGAAAAAAAATACTGAACAGTAAAGACTTATAATTATAAAACCATTATTATTGGAACAATTGACATAAATAATAAGATTTATTCTAAAAAATGAATCTTACAATTTATATTTTTTCAATTTCTAAAGAAATAAATAAATTCATAACCACCGCTTACAGAGAGCTTAAAAAGGGTAAAAATTAGTTATAATTTGCTGTAAATTAGTCGCAAAAAATGTGTAGTTGCATTATTTTCGAAAAACAAGGATAAATTTTAAATTGTAGAAGTTTACAGGGTGAGTGATGCGATTTTGTTTCCTGCATCAGATGCGACAAAACTTTTTGTTTTATTTTTAGTTCTGCGTCTTTTAGTTTGCTTACATTGGAATTACATTGGATCGTTAAATTAGTGTTTAATTCCATTATGTGATGAAATTGCAAGATAATTTGCTTGTGGCGGTCAAAAAATGATTGGAACTAAATTAGAGATTCAGCCCAAGGTTCCAGATAAAAGTTGAACTCTATAGATAGTCGCATAATGGCCAAAAGTTTCATTGTAAAATTCTTTTGCGTATTCACTAAAACGTGTTAGATAGAACAAGGCAATTTATAAGGATAAATAGAATAATTGTAATCGAAATTGGAATTTCAAATAGTTTTTACTTTCAAGTTGTTAATATACATGGTTGTTAATTTTTGCATATTTCTGTACCCTTTCCTTGTGGCATCTAACGATATGGTAGAAGAGAGGGAGAAGAAAAAATTTTGCTTTTTAATACTCAATGTCAATTACTTAGATTAAATTATTACTACAAATTACAATATTACAAATTATTTATTATATACTTTTATTCATTGTAATAAAAATACATTAACTAAATGGGAATTTTATAAGAAGTGAATTTTATTAGAATGAATTTTATAGTGCATTGCAATGAATTTCATTATTGTAGATTTTGTTATTTTAATCCTCATAGTTTTATAACGTATATTTCCTTTGCGTATAATGCATTGTTTTTTCGATGTTTCTTGAATAAATTATTTTCTTCGTTTTATAATTATAATGTAACTTTAAATATTTTTGAATCATAATATGGCTAATATTTTTCATATCTTTTAAATCATTTTATTGCAATGTTTTTAAATTTTTTACTTGTGTCGTTTTCTCATTTATTCGATATTATTTATAAAGAGGTTTATTTATTTATGTTGTAAATAAATGTTTAGGATTTAGATTTATTTATTTTATGTTTCTTGTAGATATTTTTAAATGAACTGTTTTTACACACGTGGTTTAGTTTTTCTTCCAGTATCTTTTCTTCCCTGCTTTAGAATGACCTAAAATATATTAAATAAGATAATATGGCATTAATACATTTTTCATCGTATTAGAGCTACTCTAAAGGCTTATTGACTACAGCTATCTCAAATTCATTTCAACCAAATTTTGGCGAAATACAATTAATGAAAAGAAATCCCCTACTTGTAATCGCTTTTATAATTAATCTTAACTAAAGCTTACAAACGTAATTTGAATTATAAGCAATCATACTTTCTGATTATTTCTGTAATTTTAATTACGAGTTATAAATAGCTGTTGTGGAAAATAGCATAGTATACAATCACCTTTACGCAAACTATATAACTATAGTTAAACTAGTAAATGAACAATATGTTCTGCCATCTATTTATTTACTAGTATATGTGATAATTTAATTAAACACTTATACAGGGTGAATCAATTAAAGATACACTGTTTAAATCAGCAGAGTCTGCTCTAGCACACAGATGTCTGTCAAACTTGGTACATATATTATTGAGCAATTGAAAAAAAATAACAATCTGCAATAAAAAACCACAGCCAGGGGAGAAAAGAAGCACACTCAAAACGCATTACGTCAAGATCAATTGTAACACGAAGGGTTTCAAGATCTGTTGCTTTTAATTTCATTTTACCGACTCAGAATACATCCAGGAATACAAAGAATACATCCAGGGTTACGGCGGGATTCGAACCCGCTACCTCCTCGCTTCAGATAAATGGTTCTTGGGTTGCATGAAGAAGAGGATCTTTGTTCTTCCCTTTAATCCTCTGTGGGGTAAGGGGGAGTAAATAGTTCAAAATAGAGTATTCAATAAGAGTCCTAGACAAATTTGAATTATTTCAACAGTCAAAACAAGTGGTCAAGTCACAAATGGTTTGCTCTTTTTCATTATGTAGGATTAAATTGGTTAGTGAAAATAAAGATCAACTAGTACTGGTAATCAACTTACAAAAATTACTAATTTGATAGGTTTCACAGTCTCACTGCGTGAGTTTAGCTTGTAAAGGCTGAAATTCTCCAAGAGCTTCGGAACACGGACCAGTGACTTTTACGTCAAAGCTTGTGACTTTCATTTAATTGCGACTATATTTACAGTTCAAAATTGTGATAAAGTGAATGCATTTAATCTACTACTGCCACCATTTCAAATTTTTAACAATTTTTTGAAACGAACCCACACATAACTCGCAATCTGTATTCTCCCGATCCTCCACAGCGGACTGGTCGTAAGACACGGTTCCCAGTAGGTCACCTAACTCAAGCGTCACTGTCTGCAGTCAGTTAGAGGATGGAAGGCCACTTTGATCAGCCCGCAAAGAGACCGAAGGTGTATGATATCAGTCATCGAAAATTTGCTCTTCCATAAAGTGCTGCATTTCGCGTGCAATCCACGAGGCCTCATCCCCTTTATAGAGGGTCAAAATTGTGATGGCATATCTTTGGATCAATCTCATGGATATTTTTCGCGTGCAGGTTGTCGGGCTACCGAAGCGGGGGTGCCACCCCCTCTGCAGAGGATCAAAATTGAGATGGCATGTCCTCAGGGATGTTTCCCAGACCGTCGCCAATAGCCCATTGCGCAGCTCTAGTGCGACGTAAATAAACTACAACAACAACAACAACATGGATATTTCTCAGACCATCACCATTAGCCCATTGTGCCCCCATAGCTCGACATAAATAAAATACTACTATTTTTATTGCTCATTCTACATTTATTTGTAGTGGCTGGGTGGCGCAGTTGGTTTGTAGTCAGCCTTCTGAGCCCAAGTCTGCGGGTTCGATCCCCGGCCCAGATACCGGATTTTTGGGATGCAGAAAATCTTCATCGGCCATGTCGTATGATTATGCGACATGTAAAAGATCCCTGGAGTGCCCTATTGGCTTCTGGCATTTCCGGCAAAATTAAATTTCTAGTGCACTTTAGCATCCAAATAGAGTCTCGGTGCTGCCATCTAGTGTCGCAGAAACTGGACGTCCAAATTAACACCGCCAACGGTATCTAACCTATTGTGGTGGTCCTGAAAGAGTGGATACCACTTCTGGAGAACGCACTAGGTTTGCTCATCGGGATTGTGCAGCTCATTGGAAATAAAAAAAAACATTTATTTGAAAAATAAATTCTTGCAATAGAACAGTAGAGAACCTAAGGGCATTTCGATGCCCATAGTTTTTATGCCAATTGCTATTAAGAGGCAGATAGTGAAATTTCTGTTAAAACATCAATTCTTTTATTCTTGATATACAATAATGCATTTAAATGCTTTTGTCGTATACGCCCAGAGACTGTGCAACCTTCTCTGACATGGTTTGTGAATTCTTTTTCTTTTAGTGTCATTTGATCTCCTGATTTTATAATTGAGATATCGTCTTATTAACCTCAACAATTCTTTGTGAAGAATTCCTTTCACAAACCTGTACATTTTACTATTGCAGTTACAGTCTTCAAGCCAACCAGTCTTTTGCGTCTCCTGGTATTAGCATTAATAAAGTTTGTCTTGTGTCCATTAAGCATTTGAATGCTCAGTCGGAAATTTGGCTCGGATTTTTGCATTACTGTGTCATAATTCGGAACTGCATTGTTTCAGCCACCTTACCAACTTCCATTCATTTTGTATTCAATGAAACTGGGTCCCGCAGCGCACTGATCGTTAAGACACGGTTCCCAGCAGATCACCGAAGTCAAGCGTCACTGGCTGCGGTCAGTGTGCGGGTGGATGACCGTTTGGATCAGTCTGCATAGGGACCGAGGGTGTGCGTTATTGGTCCTCGTTAAACTGTTCTATCTTAGAGTGCTCGACTTCGTGTTCCAGGTCGTCGGGCTACCGAAGCGGGGGTGTCATTCCCTCTGCAGAGGATCAAATCTGTGATGGCATGTCAGATCATCCTCAGGGATGTTTCCCAGACCGTCGCCAATAGCCCATTGTGCAGCTTTAGTGCGACGTAAATGAACTACAGCTGCAACAACTATGAAATTTGGATGCTCAAATCAGTAAAGGCACAAACTTTGGTAGAGAAGGTCACAGGTTTTGGTCACGAAGTCAGCGAAAAGTATCTGCATTTACAAACAAATATTATGAAAGAGCTTAATTCACGGGAAAGTAGTTTAGTCATTTATTTTTACACATACATATTCAGGTCTATACATCATGCTCGATACATTTTGCTAATAAGCCTTTGTCAAATTGAAAAGTAAATAGCAGAAATAATGTAGAGAAAAAACCGAGGTAGTGGGTTCGTATCCCACCAAGGTTACGATGGAACTTGAAGTCTCTGCCTCTTCACTACAGAGCTTTTGGCACAGCAGCGAAACTGCTCGGCCAGGGTGGCACCGGGAAAGTAATCAACCAACCTAAGTCAAGTCAAACTTTTCAATAACGAGTGGCTTATGAACAGATCTTTGAATTAAGCTCCTGAGTCTGGAGTTTTATGAATTAAATATGTTATGTACTTTTAACCGCTTTTGTTTCTAAGTACCGTAATAACTTCAGCTTGTATAACCATATTTTTCTAGCATGAGATACTTTTTCAACTGTTGCACCAATATTTTTTTCTGATGGCCGTGAGTTTTGTGCTTTAAGTTTTTCTTATTTTCATATTATTTAATAGCTTCTTCAAAGAGTCAATTAACTAAAACTAATTACGTAAGAGAATAAAACAATAATAATCCAAAATGCTTTTCTATGCGCGTTAGCTGCTATGAGATTGTTAAAAATGTGTTGACAGTTCATTAATATAATGGGAGTGGTTATAAGTTTTTTGCATTTAAAAGGAAACAATCAAAAAACCTATTATTTGCATTTTTGTTTATGTGAAATTCAAATTATATAATATACAGTCATGTCATATGTAATATTCTAATTTTGTTCCCTTGTTCAATACTTGTATATATTTATGTATTTTCAATTATTCTTAAACAGCGTTTAGTTTTAAATTAGGTTTAATGCCCAGAACAGGATCAACATTAAGTGTAAATGTTTGGAATCATACTATTGTGTAAGCATTTTCAGCAGAAAAAAGAATTCATTATCCAGTAGAATAGGAGAGTCTGGTAATTTTGTCAGCCTAACGTTTTTAATTTTAGAATTTAGTTTGGTACAAACTCGATCTTTATATTTTCACAAGATAAAATTTATTTATTGTTGGTTTCTTACTCTCAAGAGTTAAATACGCATAATATTAACTGATCAATTCAATTCAAAAGTTATAACGAGCAGTTTACTGATTTTACTTTAAATTTTAATTCTTAAACTGGTATAAAAATGAATCAATATATTGATCACTAGTTCTGAAAAATGCTTTGAATTTTAACTTTATATCCATAAGAAATGTAGCAGTTATAATTATTAGTCATAATCTTATTTCGAAAAAAATCAAATCTTTTTGGTTATATGCAAGTATTAATATTTTTACAAATTTGAGCTTTATCCATAAGGTTGTTAGCGTGGAAGAAAAAAACAAATATTGTAACAGAATATAAAAATACATTTTATTACTCATTAAATGTAAATATACTAAAAATAACCTGCTATTGTTCATGTAAGTTCTTAAATAAAAAAAATAATTTAAATTTAAGTAAAAATATCTATCAGAACTGCGAGAAAATAAATTATACAAAATCATGTTTTTAATAAAAGTAATAAAAATGAATCACTGAATTAAAAATAGTCTTTGCACTGAATTACATAAAACAGAAACTGGCGTAAGATTTACTAATGTTGAGCAGTAAACCCAAAAGAGAAAAAAACACCTTTAGAAAATTTTGTTCTATTGATTAAAATTTTGCGTTCTTAACATGCACATTTTAATGGAAACATACTTGAAGTCGAATTTTTGAACTTTAAAGATTGGTTTATAGTATGTAAAAATCTAAAGTTATCCTCAATATCATTTTTTTAAGTTTGCTGTACAAGTATTATGGGTAACCGTCAATAAGTATTTCAATCATTTATTCACTTTTGATTTAACTTAATACTGATACTTGCTCTAAGCACTGAGACAGCAGTGCGACTATTTTTATTTGCGCTTAAAACTGCTTTCTGAAGTCATTAACTTGTTTCCCCAAAAAAATTTAAAAGCCTCAAGTTAAAACTACTCGATCTCTCTTTTTTATAAAGAAATTATCTGAAAAATGGCCAAAAAATGTCACTTGTACAATCTCTTGTACGTCAGTTGTTTAGAAAATGTAATTTTAACGTCACACGAGAATGATGAAAATGGAGGTTTGATCAAATTCTTAAGTTATGTTATCAATTCTTGAAAGATGTTGAAATAACTCTGCAGGGGGATTTCTCCAAAGAAAATTATTTGATCTCTTCTCTTAATTTTGTTAGTAAAAAATGAAGTAAATAAGTCGAAGGAAAATAAAGATTAAATAAATATACGAGTTTTCACTTATGATTCAATTTAAATCAATAACTTTAAAAGTTTATTTTTCTATTTTATTTAATGAGTGATGATTTGTTTATTATAATTCATAATTTTCATTTGATGATTTTTTTAATATTGCAAATCTATTAACGAATGAAAATCTTTAAAATGTAGAGTTTGCATACATATCGTTACAAAAAAGTGATGAAAATATTAGTGTTTGCAATGTGGCTAGTGATAATATCCCTTGTTAGTTATTTTTAATAATCAGAATAATGAAGGGAAGTGTGAGTGTTATTGATCTGTTAAATATACACTGCTGTTTTTTAAAGTTAAGTGTCGTTGCCCGCTAAACCCAAGATCACTTGACAAAATGCTTAAACATTGCAAACGTAAAAGGTAAAATAAAAATAAACCTCTGGTACAAAGTATTCGCACGACAAATAGCACATTCAAAATGCAGGAAACCTGCATTGAAAGGAAACTAATATTGTTTAGATGTTATGGTGGGAAATTACCATTGCGCATGCGCATTGGAAATCTCTCTCAAAATGAGTTAAAAATTACTACATAGATCCAACTTCATTGGTAATTATTCGTAATAACAAGCCGTCCTTGTTCAGGGGATAAAGCATCAGGCTCCTAATGAGGTGCCACAGGTTCAGCGATAGCTGGTCGATACGAATTCTGCTCCTGGCTCGCACCGACCGCAGTGCAGAAGTGAAATATCTTCAGAGACAGACGGATCACTGGTTATAGTCCCCTTGCCGTCAGGCTAATCGTGGGAGGTTTTCGTGGTTTTCCTCTCCATGATGCGCAAATCCAGATTATTATCAAAAAATCCTCCGTGAAGGAAAATTTCTGTCAATGCTTGGACTAGGAGTTTACTTGTCTTCTGGATAGGGTGCAAAATTCCAAGGCTATGAAGTTGAACATCAGTAGTTGTTAATACAGAAACTGAGTCGGCTGTTCAAAGACAGTTATAAAAAATGAAATATTAGTAATAACAGACAATGTGATAAATTCTGATAGAATAATTCACTTAAACAAATTTACTTAGATTTACTAATAATTACCGGAGATTATTAATATTTCCTAATTAATTAATTGATCATAACATCTTAACACCATTTCATCGTTTCACTAAAACAGTTAAGGGATTTCCATCATGAACTGATCAGCTTACCTTGAGATTTGATCAAATCTTTGTCATCTCCCTGTGACACACAAAATTTGATATAGTATGCCAAAATATCATGGAACCAAATACACATAAAATATGAAAGCGAATCCACGGGCACAGAAGAGTGAGTCGAGGAATTCAACATATCGTAGGGCAAAATTTTGCTCGTAGATATTCTATTATGAATCAAATAGTAATAAAATATTTTATAAAAATAACTTTAGAATTTAGTATGTGCAAAGACCAGAAAATGAATAATTTATACAAGGATAATCTGTTATTCATTGCATGTTCACCTATTAATTGTAACAATATATATAATCATGATATATATGCTCTATCAGTATTAAAACGCGGAAACTTACTTCATCTTGACTTGCTTTTTTTAATTTTTTTTTGTAAATTTAAAGCTGATCATAGTCAACCCTTTACAATGATGTAGCCAGCTGGCTTTAATTTCTTTTTTAAAAAAATGTTTTACGTCATTCAAGTAATTTCTGATTAAATTAATTTGTCTATAAATAATCAATCTTTGCTTTCAGGTAATTTAAGAACAAAATTTATTACCATTTTAATGACATATTGAAACACATTTTGTTCTGAATCTTAATTCCATTTTTAATGCATAAAAAAAATTTGTGGGATATCTAACACAAAAACTTGTACTTTTTCTCCATTTGCGTTCAACGTTGTTTCTTTTTACGCGTTTTTAAACTTATGTTGCTTGCGTCAAGAATCTAAATATTCTCTTTCATCTAAACTAGAGTCTAGATGAAAGATCACTTTAATTTAGTCAAGCATGAGTTGTTTTATAATTTATATTATTATGATTACCACTCTTTTTAATCAATTTTACTATTTTTTGTTTAATAAAGAAATAAGTCATAAAATTGCTTTCATATAAATGCATATGTCATTTTTTTCTTAGTTTGAGTTTTGAAATAATGAAAAAAATGGTTATTAGCTACGTGAAAAACGATATTCTTACGACCCACCACGTTTGACTAAGTCCTACAGTTTAATTTATAAGTGGTTTTAAACTGTTAAAAGCTTATTACAGGTTTACATCGCTGTGATGAATAAGCATATATATAAATTATTGATATATCGAATGAATGTCAACCTTCTGGAACCAGGAAAAGTTCGAATATGTACAAAATATATAAAAAAAAACATTATTTTTAAAGTGAGAAACAAACTAAGTAAGCTTTTAGCTAAGTAACAGTCATAATTTTTGTTATAAATTACCAATATTCTGTCCTGAAAAATCTGGAAATCTTAAGCGACTAATAAACTTTCACGTTGAACTTAGGGGATAGAGCATTTGCCTTCTCATGGGGTGACCCAGGTTCGAATCCAGATAATGGTGAATCATTTCATAGTCTGCGTCCGCCTTGCTGACTTAACCACAGAGCTGACTTAACAATTTTCCTGTTTTAGACTGAATATGAACTAAAATCCATTTTCAATCGAGCTAACCATGGAAACAAATTGGATTTATATTTTCCATTTAAAGCTAATAATGAATTAGTGTCACTCAAAAAGTGATAAGAGTTTATCTCAATGCTTGATTTAATATTTCTCATGTCTTCTGGATTTGATTTTAAGACTAAAAGGCTAAGGAGTAAAATATTGGTAGCCACAAATCTGAAGTGAACAGTGATCTGGTGCTTAAGATTGGTGATAAAAAGTAGAAGTTGGGGTGATTCTACAGTTCAGGCTAAAAGTATATTTTAACCTGCTCTATCACAATAGAGTAGAGCAAATAAAATGATGTACTTTTTAACCACATAAAGAAAAAATGATAAATTTGTTGTTAGTTTTTTCCCATTCATTAAATACTAGTTTCAGGTACATGGAACACCTGCTTTTAAATTTCTTTAATGCCATCTAGTTTTTTTCCCCTTCCTCTTATGCATCTGACATAGGTCATAATTCAAAGTTGCTTAGCACACTATATATGAATCTGGTTTCATACCATTAAACTCAATTGTCTGAAAAAATACTTCTTTTTTCAATTTATATTTATTATTATATAACTGAAAATTAACATATATTTGTAATAAAAGAAATTCTTAGAATTCAAATGTGTAGGCCATATAAATGATCATTCAAATAAAGGGATAAAAGTCTTTTTTAGATTAGTTTTTGGTAAATAAAATGACTGATCGACTTTAAAAAATGTCTTTCAAGTATTTTGAAACTTCACGCTGGTGTTTCCTTTAAAATTTCAAAAGTTTTTGTTCTATTATCTACACCCAAACTTTTAACAGTGAGTCTCTTCAGTTGAATGACGAACCAGACTAATTCAGAACCTTGTTTCTTCTCCAATTACTTTTTTAATGACTTTTATTAAGTCTAGTCTATATTTTTTGGTGGTTTAGTGATAGTGCATGTTTTTATATAGTGTTTTTTATTCCAGAATAATCTATTTCAAGAATTGCAAGGAGTAAGCGGTACGAAATACGTGCTCGGTAACCCTGCTGGCTACAAATTGTTCTTCAACGAACGCGACAGTGACGTGTGCATCAAAGTAGAATATGAGGACGAAAAATGGCAATTTCCAGCTCACAAGCTCGTCCTTTGCACAATGAGTGAAGTATTCCGGACAATGATGGAGGTGGACATGTTAGAGAAGAACACGAGAACCATCATAATTAGAGACACCAGTCCCCATGCAATTAAACAGTTTATGAAGTATTGTTCCACTTTTTGCATTTCCACTTTTACATTAATGGGATATCTGTGTGTAATTTTCAGAATATTTGTGGGATCTAAATAGTACTGGCAAAGCAGTTAGCGTACAGAAACGTAGTTATAATTTTGTTTCATGACATTTACAGAATTCTTAAATCAGTATTCTAATTTTTTTAATGTACAGGAAAGCGCTGCTCACTAAACCTCGTAATTACATCTCGTTAATCATTTTTTTTGTTCAGCACAGTTTAACATAGTTATTAATTTCTTTTACCAATAATTATTTTTTAATCAATTGAATGTGGAATGCTGAAGCTGTTTATGACTAAAACTAACAAATTTCGAGCCAAACTTTGATAAACTAGCCACGCACATCTTTCTCGATGATTTAAAATTTGTTTTTGCCCAAATAACATGAATTATTTAAGAAACAGGTAGGTTATTTTCTTTTTTTCTCGTTTTTCATAGAGGGATTGATAAGAAAATTATTAAATTTTTGGATGTCTAGGATTAAAAAAGTTTTGCGGCCTTTTCTCTAGGGTATAAAAAACACCAAAGTTTTTGAAATAGATATTGGAGCCGTGGTGGCTTAGAGGACAGAGCGTCTGCCTTCCAACGAGGTGAGCCGGGTTCATATCCCAGAGATGGCTGGTGGATACAAATTGCCGCACCCGGCTCTCACTGATCACAGTGCTCAGGTCCTTGCCGTTAGGCTAACTGTAATTTTTCGTGGTTTTTCTCTCCATTCAACGCAAATGCGTGTTAGTTCTATCAAAAAGTGCTCCACGGAGACTACTTTGTTCCAATGCTTGATCCAGGGGTTCCCGTGTTTTTTGGGTTGTGTTCAAAATTACAAGGGTGCGGACTTCAAAGTCATTGATAGTCGAAAACTCAGAGATGGACCGGCAGCCGGTTAAAATTCAATGCCGGTTATAAGACAAATTAAAGTATGGGTATTCATAAAATGTGCTGTATTTTTATGATTTACGAGTTTCAAGTCAATCAAATAGACACATTTGCATATTACGTAAGAGAGAGAAAAAAGAATTTATTTTATTTATGTGAATTTTATATTTATGTGAATTTAAAAAGTCCGTAAAAAACCGGTAATTTCAGAGAGAATTTTTGTTGCAGAGTTAAAATGTAGAATGCATATTTACAATATTTGTCACTTTGTTAGTAGCTAGGAAACTGTCAGTGTGGTTTTTGAATCCCGAACTTAGCTTAAAATGCATGTGTAAGAAAATGGACATGGGTTTAGATGTGTTTTTAAGAAAAGCTATATAGCTTAAAATGCGTATTTAAGAAAAGTGACATAACTTGAACATGCGTTTACTTCAAAATAAATAACATAGCTTGAAATGCCTATTTAAAAAAAAATAATAATAGGAAAGATTGCATTGAAAATTAATTTTTCAGTAAGGTACAATATTCCTGTGCTTCTCCCTCATCTTGTATTTCGGTATCACTACTTTGTCTTATAAGATAACTTTTACTTAAAGCACATAGTTTTTATGAACTATCTACATGTACAAACGAATGCAGGCAACTGAATTAGCCATTTTGTTTTATTCTTAGGTACCTCTATATGGGAGTGGTGGAATTCACCGACTGGAACGATGCAACTACTCTTTTGAAAGTTGCTCACAAGTATAGCGTACAAACCCTAATCGGCTTATGCGAGAATTACTTGACTTCTAATATCAAGTTCAGCAATGTCTGCATTCTTTACGAGCTTGCAAGAACTTATTCTCTGGATTTACTTGAAAAGGAATCACAAGATTTCATACTGGAAGCCGGTTTTATTGTGTCTGCCACGCATGGATTCTTTGATCTGAAGCCTCAAAGTATGGAATACTTTTTGTCCAACCCTTTTTTTAACATTGAGAACGAAGGATGTCTTCTTACTAGTTTAAAAGAGTGGGCCGTCAGTGAGTGTACTCGGAAGTAAGATAATTTTCTGAACTTTTAAGAAAAACTTTAATTTTCTAAATCGTTCACGGTGATGGATTTATTATATATACCAAGATATTTTAAGTAATCTGATTAAATGAGTAAATGCTTCTGAAATAAACTATTCATTTTATGATACATAAAACTCTGAAAAAATAAAAAAAAATTAAAAAAATAAATTAGTAAAATACTATAATACTGAAGCATTTATAACGCATTTTGTAATCATAATATGTTTGAAAACTTAATTAAATGACATCGGTCGTTTTTGTATATTAGTTACTTGGAGGCATATTTTATTTTCTACTTTACTAAAATATGTCTACATCGTTAGCTTAAAATAACTTACAACTACTTTCACGGCCATTTATGAAATGTTACCACTAAATTTCCATTTTACGATTATACAAGAGAGATATTTCATTTAAATTAATAACATTTATTCAATACAATCTGCCAGCTTAAAACAGAATGATGTGCAGGGGAATTAGGTTCGATATTTGAAGACCATGTACGAATAGTAATAGTTTATTCCCTTTATTAAAAAATGTAGTTGTCCTTATGTTCATAATCAATTTTTATCTCATTTTGAAGTGATACTAGATTACTTCTGTTGCTAGATTGCTTATGAAGCTAGATTACTTCTGTATTACTAATTGCTTTCTAGATTTACTTTCTAGATTACTTATGGAGCTAGATTACTTACGGTGCTAGATTACTTACGGTGCTAGATTACTTACGGTGCTAGATTACTTACGGTGCTAGATTACTTACGGTGCTAGATTACTTACGGTGCTAGATTACTTACGGTGCTAGATTACTTACGGTGCTAGATTACTTACGGTGCTAGATTACTTACGGTGCTAGATTACTTACGGTGCTAGATTACTTACGGTGCTAGATTACTTACGGTGCTAGATTACTTACGGTGCTAGATTACTTACGGTGCTAGATTACTTACGGTGCTAGATTACTTACGGTGCTAGATTACTTACGGTGCTAGATTACTTACGGTGCTAGATTACTTACGGTGCTAGATTACTTACGGTGCTAGATTACTTACGGTGCTAGATTACTTACGGTGCTAGATTACTTACGGTGCTAGATTANTAAAATAACGTTTGGAAATTTGTGCATTTTTTAGAACTCGTTAAATTTTTTTTACCGCGAGAATTTTTTGAAACATTATAAATTATATTTGTCACCATTTAGACAATTTTAATTATTAACTGTTAATTTTCTTTTTTCAGATGTATTTCTTTGACAGAGTTTAACGTTTTGTCAACCATGGAACCCTTCCTGAAACTCATACAATGGCATTTAATACCGGAATGTAATAGAACTTTTATTCCCACATCCATGGTAGAGAAAGTTAAAATGCCGTGTTCATTATATCGAAGATCATTCGGTATTCCAAAATTGCTCCAGAACCATATTAGCTACGTTAAGTGCTCCGTGGAGCTTGGTATTTTTCACCATGAAGATTATTTTGCAAAAAGATCCACGCCTTGCTTGAGATTCAGTACCGACAATCACATGTTCTTTGTGGGATTCAGAATTATTGGTCTCTTTCACAAATTCCCGGAAAGCTCAACAGGTAAATGGTATTTTATGAAGCGATGAATTCAACATTAAAAAGTCGTTTAGTCTCTGTGTCTAATGTAATTAGAGAGCAATAACGAGTGGCTGTAAAATTGGGGGCCCAAAAAAAACTTAATCACTTTAAAACTTTAAAGCAGAATTTTTATTAAACACATTTTATTACTTTTTTCATTTTTCATTAATTTAAGTCCAAGCATTTTAATAATTTATGGTCAAGAAAGACAGCGTAAATGCTATCTTTTTCCGTGTTAAAGGTAAAATCTTCCCAACACGGCTCATTTCCAAGTGATGGTTTTTCAAATTTGCTCTTATTTGCAGTTGTTTCAATGTATTAGAAACAGTCATTTATTATTCATGGTATTATCTTCTTTTAAACAACGGTGGCAAAAAATACAGCGTAAAACAAACAAGTTCGACAATTTAGCAGGTTTTTTTAATAACTATTAGACTGTTTTTTATAATTAAAAAATCCAAAAATATATTTTTTGCTTATAATTAGAAAGTTAGCAAAAATTTATAAACAGCACACCGGTGTTCCTTCTGCTTCAAAGCGTTAATGACGGAAAATAGCTATTTTCGATTTTATGGAAATGTTAAAAATAACTGTTATAATTAATAACTGCTTAAAAACTTTTATTACTTTCATTATTCTGTAACTTGACTTACATAGTTAATTATAAATTTTATGTCAATGTTTACGTAAAGTTAAATGTATTATGTTCAACTTGTAAACGGTCTCTTGAAAAATTGAAATAACAATTCTGACTAGAATAAAATTTATTACAAGGCTACGTAATATTTACCTTATGCCATTATTTCTCTTTGTTCAAAATATTGTTGTACATAAAGTACTCTATGGGGGAAAAAGTTTATAATTCTTTGAAAAATATCTTTCTCACTATTAACAAAGTTAGTCGTTGCTTAAATTATTACAATCACATCCATTAGAAAAGTTATGATATATTAACTTTTTTTCCTTTTCCTTTATAACTACAATTCCTAAAATTTAAAAGAAAAAGTGAGTTCTTTTTTACTAATACTTTGACCAATAAAAGTACATTTTTTGCCTTTTGTCACCCTATCAGTAGTTCACATAACTCAAATATTCTATTCTTACCGTTGGATTAAGTTACCCTTATTACAAGGTAACGTTGATCATCATAACTTCTTTTCTTTTCTTGAACACACAAGTTTTGTACACGTAACAAAGTGCTTAGCTCTACATCTACTTTATAACAATCTCGAAAGTAAATGCTCTTATATTGGCCGATATTTTGAATTGAAAGGGGGCTTGTTAATCACGATTGACAGTATTCTACTTTCTATTCTAGCTCCAAATTATCTCATCTTAAGCAGAGATGATGGTAAAGTTTTCATTCAACTTAACCTGATGTCCCTGCCTTGGTCAAGAGGAGCATCAGTAGGATGTCAAGTTTGGAAAGAAATGACCGCTTATTTGCCATACCCCGTCAGAGTGGATCCATATAATACTTACGCATTGTCGTTAAGGTCTACCAGACCAGTCAGAGAAGATCGTTGCGTGAAATGGCCCATTACAAGATTAGACACAGAACCTATTCAAACTAATATGGAAAAGATCAGTTTAACTTCTCATGGCTGCAGTTATGGCGTCACGCAATTATTCATTTTACCCGCCCCACCATTTAGAAATGTTTGCAATCGAGAAGTCAATGATTGGTAAACTATGGCTAGACAAGCGAGCAAAAGTTGCAACTATTTATTGGTATCATGTATTTTGGTATATCATATATATGGTATATCTTATATATGGTATCATATATACTAGTATATCATATGTATGATATCATATATACTGGTATATCATATGTATGGTATCATATATACTGAAATATCATATGTATGGTATCATATATTGGTATACCAACAAGTATCATACTATGGCCTGAAGTTTGACATGGTATTGACAAAACTGTGGTATGAACTATTGACCTAATGGTATCACATGGTTTCAACTTTCGAATTTGGAATTAAAAGACATTAATAGATTTTTTATTAGTGTCTCATTGTGTAAATATTCACAATATTAATTACAATTTTAAAGCTATTACATTATAGACAACCGAGTGAAAAATCTCTGCTAGTGATTAAAAGGCACCAACTTAAAATGCACCATGGAACAAAGCAAGCATTTTATAATTACAAGGTCTTGAAGTTGCACGTTTCAAATGCTGGTACTGATTTGGGTATCAGGCCATAATTGATATCACTAGCGTCAGCTGTCTGATCAAGATCAATACTAATCTTATTTCATGATGTTTTGTTATGAATTTAATGGCACTTAACTGTACTGATTGGAGCATTAAGCCATTATTCCCATTGCTACTTCCAGCTTGCAGAATGGCTTGAAATTACGTTAGTAATGATTACTTATCTAATTTATTCTCAATTATGAATCTAATGACAGTTAATGGTATCTATTTGGGTATCGGAATCATTACTCATATTGCCCAAACCAACTGGCAGGATTGTTTTTAATTAGTGATCATCACTGATCTTATTTCATTGTAGTGCATTGCGTTCTAGTAATGTTATATTAAGGATTTAATGGTAATTAATAGCACCAATTCGGACAAAAGTCCATTATTCATATTTCCAGTATTATCTGGTGAAACTGTTTGAAATCGAGGTAGTGGTCCTGATCTTGACTTCCTTCTGTGCTTTATGTGATGTTTATTCTGAAGTTAATGACAGTTGGTGCAACAAATCTGGATATAAGTTTTTGTTTAAATGATAATTTTTTTTATGATGATGTTTACCGATTTCTCTCAGTGCATGACAATCGAGTAAAAATCTCTGCAAATTGCCATGTTTTCTCTTATGGTGCAAAATTAACATGTGATACCAATTAGGACATTGTCTGGCCTAGTATAGACTTGATCGGCATGAAATATATTGTCTTTTTCAACGAATTTTCAAGTGGCAGAAAAAACCTGTTTTAAAAGTTAGTCCATATTTGAAGAGAAAGATGTGTTTTAGTCAACATTTTGCCCCAGTATCGGAAAAAAGTTATACAACTATCAGTTTACTATGAAATTCTTGCATTATCAGCTCATTCTTATTTAATATCATTCTCATTGCTTACTTAGTTTTTAAATGTTTCGTGTTCCTTTTTTATGAGCGCTAATGTTTATATTTTTACAATCGTTTATTGTTGCTATTTTAATGATAAATACTGAAATTTTGCATGGACCAATGTATGTTACTTTTAATCTGCAAGAAAATTATGCAAAATGTAACTTTTAATGAATAAATTTTATCGTTGAACCTCATTGGAGACTTATTTGTAGTAGTTTTAAATTATTTCAGATTAAACTCGAACTAATAAAAACTTTTTAACAGAAAAATATTTTTACGGAACAAAAATAATAAGGTTTAGTTAGAGTTTAAAAATTAGTTCATGCATTGAGCTCAAGCACTATATACATTTGAGATTTTGTTAATAAAATATACTCTGATTGGTGGCATGACAAATATAAACTTTAAATATTTTATAAAGTTTTTATAACTACTGATTAACTTGGGGAATAATATTACATTAAAAAAAGGAACTAATATCTTGTATGAAGAGTTGTCAGTAGAATCAGGGACACATGAAGAGTTGTCACTGGAATAAGGGACACATGATGAGATGTCACTAGAGTCAGGGAAACATGAAGAGTTGTCACTGGAATAAGGGACACATGAAGAATTATCACTAGAATCAAGAAATTGTTCTAGTACTTTCTAAATAGTTTAAACTTTCTTGAGGCTATCAGTAAAAAATTTGTCTCTTAAGAAATGAAATTGAACTCTGCAGATTTTGTCAAGAGAGCAAAATTCTGGGAATACCAAGACTTATTTTAGTGAGGCTCCTTAAAGTTTTAATTAACAAAATTTTAGAGTTCATTAGATACATTTCAAGTCAAAAAGACTTAATGTGCTTCCAAATGTTTCTTTTAAAAAATATGAGCATTAACATTTGTTGGGAACAAAGAAACATTTAGAAGCACATTAAGTCTTTTGTCTTTTCAATAATGATGAGTAGTACAGAAATTTGCCATTGGCAGATTTTTTTTAAAAAAAATATATATATAAAATGAAATAGTTTTTTTGCAAATAAGTATTAAAATGCAATGACAAAATTAAATTTTTAATGAAATTTTCATTTGCTTCGACAAAAATTTTAAGACCACTTTTGCTTACTGTTGTCTCAGTTTGAACAACAATTGGACTAATAATATTAATGAAGTAGAAAATTGAATTTTTTTTAAAATTGCTCGTCTAAATATAGCATTTTAACGGATTACAATTAAAATCAGATGTATATGAAAGTCGATATATTTTAAAAGTAAATAAAAACCGCTCACGCATTAAAACATTGTTGACTGGTGACTAGTTATCACGTCATTGCATTTGCAATGTGTAGTTAACTCGTCAGCAATAAACTGCATTTGGGTATGAAATCAATTTATTAATGTTTTATTTCTCACCATATTCAATGACAAAATGATGGCATGACAAAGTTTCTGTGTCAAATTTCCTGTCAAAGTGCTAAGACTGTTTTTCTAAGCTCTCTCGATGTGAGAAAAATGCTACAAAGTGTCTTAGCATTAATATGCTATTTTTAATATGCTATATTTAAGTTCATGTCAGTTTTACATAACTTGTAGGCCTTAATAACGAGGGCTGCTGTTTCGAATTATAAAAATATGCAGCATTAAAAAAGTTTGAATGAATTTCCTCTAGAGAGAGAAATCTTGCTAAATTTGATACCTTTTTAATAGAAAAGTCATTTTTTAATCTTTTAAATACTTGTTCAGTTTTCCCTTTTTTTTAACTCGTTAGTTAGTACACATATTTAGAAAAAACTTCACTTTTATGGCATTCAAACATTGGTAAATGTAGCGTTAGGAATAATATGAATAATTAATATGAAGAAAATCTTGATTTGAGAAAGGCCATAAAATATATACACAAGAAACCTTTTTTGTTTTCGTTTATCTACACTTTTTCTTGAAAGAGGTTCTTAGAGTTTAAAACCTTTTTGTTGATTTTCATGAAATATTTTAGAGAAGGATTGTTTTCACTAGTTAAAAATAAAATAAAAAAAATATATATATATTACCATTCTTTTCGAAACTCGTTGTCATAGAATCAGCCGAATTTTATTACCAAAGCTTGTTTATCTTTTTTCATAATTTATACGTAAATAAAAAAAAAAATTAAAATTGAATTGTCCCTGAATTTTATGAAACTGAAAAACTGAATTTATTATAAACATCAATAGACATTCGAAAGTATAAAGCAAAAATCTTTCTGTTACAGTAACTACACAAAATATAATACAATCTTATCACAAAATTATTCCATAAATGTATGATATATACAATGTTTGTTTCTCGTACTAATATATAAGGATCGAGAAACCCCGCCTCACCCTAGGGGGATACGAAGAGATTTGACTATCGTCGGGATAGGAAGAGAAGGCTCTGACACCCAGTACACGCTCCCAGTCAAAGCCCAGTGAAGCCCCAACCGAAGCGCCAATTAAAATCCCAAATATAATTTATGCATCTAATATTTTTTTTAAAATCACTGTAACACAGGCATGATCAATGTAAAAAATTAAAATCAATATTGAAATTGTTTCCAGATGACAATGGTGGCTTTAAATTTAGGTTAATTTTAATATAAATATAACAATCACATTTTCATATCCCTTAATAAATAAGAATGAGGTGTGCAATTTTAACAGAACTTCCTGTATAATATTTATGGCAGTAGTTTGCTGAGAGTCACAAGATTCCAACTTTCCCACAAAATAGGTTAGCGAGGAGCAGTTAGAGAAGTTACAGCAGGTGAAATTAAAATGTTCAGTAGGCTGAGGTTGAAACTTAAACAGTAGAATATAATGGGATTAAAAACTTATTCTCGAGATATGGCGAAATATGCAAAAATTAAAACTATCATTATGGAATGTTAATTAATTAGCATTCTATCTTTGGACCGCTCTACTGACCAAACTATGCGGACCATATTTCCCAGATTTCGGCTACCCTATTTTGGGGATCAGAAATCCAAATCCATTGAAAAAAAAGGTATGTTCATTCAAAGAGTGCACGTGTTTGTGTCTTATTTCGTAACTTAATATCGTCTGCACTAATTAATTAGCATATTTGAGACCACCACCTTGAACCATTAAGAATGAGTACTAGAACTTGAAGACCCGATCAAAAGTTATTCTGGGTGATCTGTTTTTTCGGCTTACTATGTGATGAGTAAGGCCCGGATTTTGATGACATTTGAATTTTTTTGCATTTTTTGCATTTTCGGACATATTTTGTCCTTTAGAGCATTTTTTTTAGATTTATAGAGCATTTTTTAAAAATTTTGGGGCGTACTTTGCATTTTACAGCATTTTTTAAGGTTTTTGTTAATTTTTTCCAATTTTTATTATTTTTTATAATTTTTTATTATTACACTGGCTTCCAAACAATGAAGAAAATCTCTAGGATATTAACAGGTGAAGCAACATCTTTTCAAATTGAAGAAGAATTGTCAGTAAGTGTGACCGTCCTTTTCAAGTACGCACCAATAACATCAGTAGACGTTGAAAGAAGCTTCTGCAGGAATGAAAATTTACTTTCAGACAAGAGACGCTCATTTACATTTCAAATTATCAAAAAACATTTAATAATCCAATGTAATTCTGATATTTAGTAATATTAGGAGGTGGAAGTTATTATATTCATTAAAGTTTCTATACAAAATGAAAATGCTTTGGTGTCAATATATTTCCTTTTTTTTGTTATTTTAGGATATAAGACATATTTTTCAAACTTTAATGAACGTAGAACAAGTATTGCATTGCTTTATAGTTCTTGAAATGACTCATAATTTTAAAGAGTAAAACATTGTTTTAGTTCGATATTTTTACTTTATTTAAGTCATGTCATAAGGCATTTTTAGCGCAATTTTAGAGCATTTTTAAGGGCATTTTTTGCACATTTCAAGAGCATTTTTTGCATTTTTTAAGGGCATTAGTTGAGATTTTTTAGGTCATCAAAATCCGGGTTCTAGTGATGAGTAAGCAATACTATATGATAAAATGTTGTCATGGTAATTAAAATAAAATTGACTTAATTAAAACTGTATAAGTTTAACATTATAATAAAAATGGCAATTTCCACAATAAGCTAACTAAATAATCTGAATAGCTTTGGAACGAAAGGCTAAATTAACAGAGATTACATGTGGAGGAATACAGTTCTTGTTATCCAAAAAGAAAAAGCTAAGATTTCAAAGGCTTGAAATTTTCAATACATCGGAAAACAAAAATTCAAATATGATGAAAAAAAATTATTTAGGATTAGCACCTTCCTGATTTTGTAGCCTAGCATAATGTCCTGCGCAAACTAATTGACATGATTAAGGCAATAGAAAAATTAAAGCTGAATCTTATTTAGGCGTGAAAATTTGATGAAAAGTTAAGGGAACATTTTTTTCTCCCTCTTTTTATCCACTGTAACATCGATGATCTATTATCTTCGATCTACTTATATCCTCAAAGGCTATCATTCCTTTAAATCAATTCAGCTGTGAAATGCAGTTTGTCTCCAGAATCCTAATCTAATGCTTTATATCTAGAATTAAAATAATTCAATTTGATTTTATTTATTCCTCTATGTTAAAAAGATTTTCCTTTAAAATTAGAATCAGCACAGTTTTTGCAAGAAACGTCTTAAAATGATATTCAGGGTTAGTACCTATCTGATTTCGTAGTCTAAAATATCGTCTTCGCAAACTAACTGGCATGATTAGAGACGATAGACCAATTAATACTGCATGTTATTTAGGTGTGAAAATCTGATCATTTGAGGAAAAGTTATACAGTGTAAAATTTTTTTTCTTCTTCCTTTTGAACCTCTGTAACATTATCTTCGATGTACTTTTATCCTCAAAGGTCCATCATTCCTTAATACCAATTCAGCTGTTAAATGCAATTTGTCTCTAGAATCCAAACTCTCTATTCTAAATTTTCGAAGAATGTTGGCCACAACAGTCTTTTCTTCAAGCATTGCAAATCTCTGACCTGTAAAATAGAAATTAATATCTCTCATATCACTATCAAAAATTAAAATAATTTATCTTGATTTTGTTTATCCTTCTTATGTTTAAAATATTTCCTTTAAAATTAGAATCAGCACATTTTTTGTAAGTAACGTCTTAAAATGAAATTTCAAATCTTGCACGACTCATCGACTGTTGTAAGGGGAACCTTGTACCTTGAAAAGTATTTTGATATGTCTTTTTTCAATTAAAAAGTACTTTAACACAGTAAAATCTCTATTCTTTTACTGGCATAGAACAATGAATGATATAAAAATGGCCTAAAAGAAGATTGTTCAAAATTTGATAAAAATTTCTTACGTTTTCTATTGAAGGTTAGCTTACGACTAAAACGTAAAGAAATTTTATTTTTTTACTATTAAATGAAATAAAATAGATTAAAAATTTTGTATAACTGAAATTTGTACAGAAACTACCTAAGTATACTACAGTACCCTTTAGTTTTTATCCCTTATTTACATAAAGTATCTAAATCCATCTATTATTGGAACAGCTCGAATAATAGATGGATTTAGATACTTTATGTAAATAAGGGATAAAACCTCTTGTTAAATATATAAGATTTGAGAGAATTTCAAACATAAAAGTACATTACGATAGATAAATAATTGATTTTTTCCTCAAAATAAATTTCACTGCCCTTATCAAAATATAGCAGAACACTAAACTTTCCATTGAATATGGATAAAATCTGACAATGTTTCATTAATTTATTTGAAACTGTATAAGATAAAATTAAAGGGTTATTAAAGTTATACAAAATAGTACCATGTTTTTCTCCTGTATTTCGTAAAGAAAAATAACGATCTTATAACACTCAGATTTTAAGAGGAATTTAGTAATTACTTTTTTTATACAATATATGAGACGTAATATATGTCAAATATATTACGTCGACGTAATATATGCCGGTGTGCAAGTACTTACATAAAATCTACAAATTTTGTAAATTTTAAATAAATATTTAACACGTCAATGCTTAAGAATTATTAATATTTTCTTTTTTCAGAATTTAATAGTGAATATGTTCATGTTACGAAACTTGCCTGCCTTTCCCTTTTACAGATTGGCTGAGAATTGTTAATTGTAATTAGAAGGGTATAAATATTTTTTCATTAATAAGTACGCCCAATTTTTAACTTATTTTCAACTAGTATAGTTTTGTTCACTCGATTTTGACATGAAGTAATAATAATAATAATTTCCAACAAGAATTTCGAACATTTATTTCGAACATAAAAGATTAATATCCTACGGAGATACTAAGACTTTATTATAAAGTATTGGTGGTAGTGCCATCTATTGTTTAAAAATTTAACTATTTTTAATGCAATGATGTTTAGAAACTGGCTTATATTAATTTTATTTAATTACTCTATCCTATTATTATTAGCTTGCAAGTAGCATATCACACATAATATGATAAATTAAAATTTTCTTAGATGCTTGAAAAGCAATGAATTATTAATTTTGAAACAAGATAAATGTTTTGAAAATTTTCATCACAATTCAAAATTAGGGTCAAAAGAAAGAAAATATATTTACCTATACAGTTTCGTGGACCAGCTGAAAATGGCACATATGCAAAAGGATGTCTACCAGCACAGTTATCAGGTAAGAATCGGTCAGGATCAAAAACTTCTGGATTTGGATATATTTCTGGATTTCGATGAAGCATAAATGTAGCCAGCAAACATGTGGTTCCAGCAGGTATGGTGTGGCCATCTGTTGACGTAATTATGAAACTCTAACTAAAGTTTAGATAACTATATTTCTTCGCGTATTTTTCGATATTTTTTCTTTTATTTAAAAAAAGTTTTTAAGTTCAATATTGTTGGCCATCTGTTGACGTAATTATGAAACTCTAACTATAGTTCAGAGAACTATATTTTTTCGCGTATTTTTCGATACTTTTTCTTTTATTTTAAAAAAGTTTTTAAGTTCACTATTAGAAATCAGCTATCTTCAATAATTGCCTTATTTTTCTTATTAATTAAATAAGTTATATTAATAAAGAAAGGACTTATTTAATAAAATAAGTCCTTTGATTGTTCATAATAGCAAATAAATTTTTATTAATTACTTTAAGTAAATTTATAAGTTTAAAAATGAAAATGCATTTTTTAATAAATAAAAGTATTAAATGTATATTCATATAAAACAATAAATGTTCCAAATATTTCAAATAGCACAATTTTATATTTTTTTCTTTCCTAAAAGAAGAAAAAGCGATGTAGAGCGAATATACTCGCAAAACTTCGTATCAAAAATCGAAAAAGAGCTACAAGCTTTTTTGAAAAATACTAAAAAATAGATAATTCATTAGGGTATATTGTTTTATTCTTTTAAATTAATTTTTCTGCTTTAAATTTTGTTTATAGCATTTTATAATTATTAATCAAGATCAAGTTATTTTAAAATAAACATGTCATACATTATTATATCAGTTGTTCTCATTTCAATATTTTCCTTTTTTTTAAGTTATTTATAGAGTTAATGATATGTTTACTGTGATTATCCATGTAAATAATTTTTCGTTAAAAACAAGAATATTTATGAAGAAAAAGAAGTTGAATTATTTACCAATAGAAATATCTTCCTCTAATTCTCTGCCGATAACGGGTAAAGAAGGATATAGGCGTTGACTTTCCTAAAAAAAATATATATTATATGCCATTATTTATTTACTAATACTCTTTATCAGAACAACTAATAGGATTTGTGAGACCTTTTAAATATTCTACTACAGTGGTGTCCCCTAGATCATTTACGGTCTGGATTGTTGCCAACATAATAAAGTAAATATCTTTTATTTCTAGAATTTTATTTCTAAAATCGAAAAACTTGGTATTCTACCTATTTTTTCTTCAGATATTGTAGTGTAGTTTAGTGATCATACTTTACATGCCCAACTTTAATGCCTCTTAGAAGTCACAGTGAAATGTTCCTGCTGTACTTGACTTCCTTTTTTAAGCCAATTTTTTGACAAAAATAAAATTTTTAAAAATATATTATAAACTTTTCTCCTCCAAAAAATGTTAGATCTTTGTTAAGTCAAATAAAATGGAAGTTATGATGATATGTAAAAAAAAACATCTATATCGGTTATTAAATTTTTAACTGTGTCATTTTTGTCCTTTTTCTCAGAACTAATTTTTCAGTTATTTCACTTCATCCTAAATGCAACATCTTAAAATATTTCAGTTCAAATTACTTTACATTTTTCATGAATGACATATTTCTAGGGAATAATAGAATGTAGAAAAGAAAATTATTATTTTACATTTTAAACGTAAAATAAAAATGTTTAATTTTAATTTTCGATCTCTTAGTGAATTTTGATATTTGCTGTAATAAATCAAAATATAAATTGTATGTCTAATGCTTAGTCTATTCTCTAAGTTGAACTTTCATAAGAATAATAAAAAAGCTGGAATATTTAATAAATACAAAATTTTAACAAAGTTATGTGATTTTCGAAGAAAGGTCCATCTTTGGTCTTTTTTTTAAAACTAGTTTTCTCTCTTATTTAAATTTCTTTTCATACTTTTTTTTAATTGAAAAGCATGTTTCAGTGTTTAGTACACACATCGATCTGTATATAAAAAAAATTCTTAATTAAAAATTTCAAAAATTTTGATTCCGGAGGCATTTGGATACCTTAATTCTCGGAGTACCATGATTCGGTTAATTTGACCCCATATTGAAATTTGTAATTTTTTGTTTTTAAATTAAAAAAAAAACTTGCAAAATGTAGTTCTAAATATTCCATTCTCAACTTGCCTCAATATTATTTTTGCAATTTTGAATAGGGCACAATGCTCATGAAATAGCTTTGTTGTATAGTTTTAATCTGTACCGGCAGGCTCTCATCCGTAGTAACTCATTGGTTACATGCATTATGTGACTAAGCAGTTTCCTTATTTTATTTTATTACTGGGGTTGAAAAACGGATCCAATGCTGAGTTTACAACAATAAATGTTCAACTCCGTAATCTTGTAATTTTGAACCAAATCTAGAAGACAAGGGAAATCCTGGATCAAGCATTGGGATAACTAGCTTTCGTGGAGGACTTTTTAATGGAACTAATCCGCATTTGCTTTACGTGGAGAGCAAAACCACTAAAACTTCCAATAGTTAGCCCGAAGTCAAAGGGTCTCTAACCAATGATTCGTCTACTACCCATTTTACGTCAGCACTGTGGTCAATGTGAGCCGTGAACAGAATTCGTAGCAACCTCCCACGGCTGAGATTTAAACCTGGGTAACCTCATCGAGAGGTGAACGGTTTAACCCCTGAGCCACCGCGACCCAAGGGGATCCTAACTCATGAGGTTATTTTAAATCTGCACTGTAGTCGGGGCGAGCCAAGAGCAGAGTTTGTTACAACCAGGCACCACTGGGATTCGACCATGGGGCACTTCAATGATAGGTGAACGCTCTATCGCCTGAGCTACAGTGGTTCTAAGTCATTTGGGTAATATAACGAAATTCCAATAAACTTTCCTCAAAAAATCAATTTAAATGCAATATAAACTTATCGCAATCAAAGCAATCCCGTAAAGAGCATACTAGAAGGATATTTCAATTATTGCACTCTAAGAAAGATGGTATTCAGGTAAATAAAGTCATGTTTCTAGCGCAAATATTAATAATTCACACATTTCTCAACAAATTTCCTTCTAAAAAAATATAAAAATAATTCAAATTTAACGTGGTCAAACTTAGCAAATTATTGGCATGTTCGGATTTTTATGGTCCGGTAAGCTGATTTTTAAAAAAATCAAACAAAGATATTTAATTTAGACTTATTTGCATTTTAATTAAGTTATATTTTAATTCACATTTCCTTATATAAGAAGAATTAAATTACGAGATTTTAGAATCTACGTGAACAAAATTTCCCCGATGGGCTTCATTTAGTCTAGCTAAATAATGGAATTCAATAATGGTATTTAATAAGTAAGCGTTATTTTTAGATAAAATGCCAGAGAAAAATTACGAAAGATTATTGGAAATTAATATTCCTTTCCGTTGAGCTCAGCTCGGGGTATGATAAGTAATTAGTCTGAATTGCTACATTTCAAACAAATAGCAATTTTGCTAACTCAACATCTTAAAAGATTAAGATTTTGCTCATTATTGAAAGATACTCTTCTAGTCATTACAAAAAATTCGCAACATATTTAATGGCTTACAAAATGATGAACAGAAAGTAATTATTACCTACGAAAATAACTCATTCAAAACTTGCTTAGATTAAAAAGATTATAAATGGGTAAGATTTTAATAATTTTTTTTTTATAAAAATAAAAACTGCAAGGAATTAAAAGTGATTTCAATAAATACATTTATTTCAATTCCGTAAGCATTGTCCTACTCTGTAAAAAATTTCGGATCAAAGTACGGCATAAAGTACCAGCTCTTTGGATGCAACATACGTAAAATCTATTTTACCGTTAAATCCATATTTACCGTACAATATTGTGCCATAATATTTATCGAATTATAGTGATTCAGTGATTTTGCTGTAATTATTACGGTAAAAATTACGGTACATCAGATTTTCTTGTTCCGTGACATGTACCGGTAAAAATGAATTATACTGTTAAAAGTACCGACAATCTGAGTTCTGGCACCTTTTACCGTAATTTGATACGGAATTTTTTAACATTTTTATTTATATTGTACATTAGGGATGTTTTTGACGGATTAATATATAGACTATATGAATAGACAAATGGATAGACTACAATTAGCTCATAAGTTATACATAGACTACAATAAGTTATTTTCATAAGAGAGAGAGTATGCTTAAACGAAATTAAACATAACAGGGGTTTGTCCAGCCTTTTTGTACAAGTAATTTTAAAAAAAAATCTACTCAAAATTCACAGAATGTAAACATATCGTTACATCTGTTTTTCTTCCGCCTAGGTTCTGTCCATTTTTTGTGAAAATTTTGAAAAGATACTGAAAAATGTCGCAAGCAATATTGTGAAGTTAGTGCAAGACATCTATAGATTACTGTGAATGGAGTTTTTTCTTATGAAAATAAATTTTGGGAAGTTCCCGTAAACACCTTAACAGATATAAATTTCTTTTAATCAGACCCCTGATAAGATAAATGTTGATATTAAAATATAGAAACATCATTAGTAAATGCACATTTCTTAAATGTCTGGACTTTAATAAATAGTTTTATAACTTTCTACTCTTTTACCTTTTGACGTAGAATTTTTATTAAACGTATTTTTCATACTTTTTTCGTTATTTTGTATTTATCTAGGTCAAAATATGTGAAACATTTTATATTTAGCATCTTAATAATTTATTGTTATGAAATTCAGTATGAAACACCGGTGTCTTTTTCTACGTAAAAGGTAAAATCTTTTGATCGTGACTCACTTCCAGTCAATAATTTTTCAAATTTGCTCTCATATGCAGATATTAGATCTAGAAGAGGAACAGAAATTCATCATTGAATTTTCTCTAATTTAAAAGTAAATTATTATTACATTTTTGAATGTGAGTTGAATATTTTTTTTTTTAATTATATTTTATTACAAATATCAAATATAACTCCGATAATGTAACGGAGTTCTAGCTCAACACCAGTCTACTTTCTAGAATTAAAAAAAATACCGCAATATATTTTTGCTTGTAAATAGAGCGTCATAAAAAATCTATAAAAGGGACAACGATAACGATAAGAGACACCAATTTACGTCATAAGTTCAACATTTTACTAGATTTATGAAAACAATTACTGATGAAAGTACATATTTAGACTATACTAGTGTGTTCAACATTACTTTAAAAATAAACTTACTTTACAACAAGCTTACATTAATTTAAAAATAAATGTTTTTAAGGTTTGTTGCTAAGAAACAATAAGCCTTAGAAATTTAAAGTTCTAACTGAAAGAGTCTCGTGACACAAAAATTCATTTGTCAGTCCCTGGAATCATATAGAATCTACTTATCTGACTTTTTCTTTTTCTTATTTGTCAAATGAATGAATCGTATATTTGCTAACATTGAACTTCAATGATATCACTGAGGAATAAGTTTTTATTGCATTTGTGCAAATACTTCATGCCTAATCCAGATGTAGGGATTTCAAATTTGAAATCAGTTTTGCTCCTAATCAGTTTCACTACAGATTTTATTAAATGAGATTTTTAGTCTATTTTTGTCGAAATGTAAGAGTTTAAAAACATTATATGTAACAGGAGGTCACGTAAATGTTGCGACCAGCTTTCAGGAGAGTTAGAGCACATCACCAGGATTAAAATTTCATTGGATACGAGCCCATGCCAAGAAATGTCCTCGTACGTGGTTAGGGGCGCTACCCTATTATGGCCTGTTCAGAAGCACAAGGAGAAACAGTTCATAATAGGGAAGCACCCCTTAGTGGTGTATGGCGACATTTCCGAGCATGGAATCGCAATTTTAATCCTGATGATGTGCCTCAAACTCTCCTAGAAGTTTATAGTAACATTTACGCGAACCCTCTCTTATATATAACGTTTTTAAACTCGTACATTTCGACAAAAAATAGACTAAAAATGTCATTAAAAAAGAAACTTGGTGAGAAAAATCGATTTCAGATTTGATGTGAAGGAAGGGAAAATATCTTAGTTTCATTAAAGAGAAAATCGCATGCTATATATATTGTTCCCCAGTGTAGTTCATAGGCATTATAAGATGGGGCATAGGCATTATAAGGTCGTCCTTGATTTCGGTCAACCACGTAGTTCCTTTGTGAGGTCAAAGTTATCTGTTTGAAATTCGATGAATTTGATTCCATTGGCTTCATAGCAACACCATAGACGAATACATGAATTTTGCGATTCCGTTAATCCACATAAGAATTCATATCTTATAATATTGCGAATCACCAACAAACATCACATTTTAACAAAGCTATTGTTTTTAGAATTTGTTAGAGCTTACAAGGATCGAAACAGGCGAGATATGTTACTATCTATCCTAAAAAAAGAAAAGTAGCATAATAAATCAATGTCAAATAATAAGATGTCGAATTTGAAGATATTATTAACTGAAATTTTCGAACATGATGAATTTAATTTTAAAGTTAATAAAAAATTCAAACTGTAACTTATCGTATTTTTATAATAAATAATTCAAATGCATGTAAAATAATCTAAGAATTAAACAACTTAATAAAAAACTTTCTCAGTAGGAAAACCTATCCCATTAGGAATTCTTACCTTAAGTACGCATTCCAAATATTTCATTTCCCTTACGTCTTTAGTTGTAATTGGACGATTTTTATCATCCCCAAATATGCGATCAAGTTCTTCGTGAATTGTGTCTTGGATGTCTTGTCTTAAGCCTATGTTATATAGGGCCCAGCTGATACCCATTGCCGTCGTATCGTGACCCTAGGAAGAAATTTTACTAAATATATATTCAATATCTAATGTCACATAGTCATGTCACTAACTTATTTAAGATAATTGAACGCTTTAAAGTTAATGTTTAAAGATAGGCGAACTTATTTTTCCACGCATGATTTTACTGTAGAAAGCAAATACAGTATTTTCATTTTAGTTCAGTACATCTAATTTAGCTGTTTTTTTTCATTTCTTAATGACAAGATATTTCTCAATTACTAAGACTTTGAGTGAGTTTTATTATCGCCTACACTTTGAAATCAATCTTTATCTTTAGGTATAGTTATTTAATTTTGTGATTTCTTTATTTCTCATTTGATTTGCAATTTCTCAAGCATCTGGACTTTTATTCAATTTATTTTACCCTTATAAGAGTCAATTTGTTAAATACTAGGTGTAGCATCTGCTACCGTGCATTAAAAATATAGCATGGTTGCTAAAAAGGATCAAACATGAAAATCAAGAGTCAACCATGAAGGAAAAATCATAAAAATAAATTTCATTGAAAGAGACAAAATCTCTCGTAAATTTGTGGTGTGGGAGAAAAATTGTTGTTTATAATAATTTTTATCTCACATATTTTGTCCCTAATCTGTGTGGTTTCGTTCCTAGAGAATAATTCTGCTCAGAATTTCATCCATGCAATATTTTGTAATGCATTATTTTGTTGATTATTTGCAAATTTTTAACCGTAAACTATAATGGCTACTTTTCATTAACAGAAGCAAAATTCTCGAAAGGAAAGCCCATTGCCATCTGAGATATACCTGTAATTAATCTTAGATACATATTAAGTGATATTATCTTAAATATTTTTTAATAATATTGCAGTTATATTTGATAATAAATCAATAATGTTTAATAATATAATCAGCTAAATTAAACTCAAATTCTTGCATCGATAGTATAATATTTCACTGATTGAAGATGTTTATCTGCTTAAACTTTGTACGAAAAATTTTTTTTAAATATTTTACAGTATTTTACAATAGTCAAGAATCGTTAGTGGCAAAGAAAATTACAAGAGACACTGGATAGTTGCTAGATCTTACTACATTGATTGCTTTTGCATATTTTGGAATAGGAAAATTATGTTTCTTCAAATGCAATTAAACACTTGATTCAAACACTTGATGTAATATATAATGACTTACTGCAAACATGAATGTGTCCACCTCTTCTCTGATGTCTCTTTCACTTAACATATTTTCTTTGATATGGACGTCTAACAGAAGATCCAAAAATGCTTTTCTTTTCTTGTTTTCGCCAAGATCTTCATCATTAGAAACATCAACATAGCTTTTACTTAGCATTTCTTTTTTTCTATCACGAATTACCTAAAATTAAATTCGTGATTCTATAATGCGTTGGATTAAACTGCTTTCCACCAATAAATTATATCCTTGAAAATATTTCTAAAGCATTTTAACCATTTGACAAAAATATGTTTTCATTAAGACATATTTATTATTAAAACGTAGTTATTATTAGTGCACTATTAGAATTTTCTTTCTGAAATTGCAGTAAAATAACCGGCAGCAGTCTGTCTATGCGATTAATCGTAAAGTTTACGGTAAAGAGCATTTTTTTCATTTACTGTTTTGAAACCGTTTACGACTAGTGTGGCTATAGAACCGTATAAAGGAAATTTAACTGGACATAGCAGCTAGGTTTTTCGTCAGGTAATGGGCATTGGAAAGTGCTTCAAAGTTTGATTACCATTTTATTTATGGTTATTAGACTGTTTTATTTGAATAGGGTAAAATAACAATTAAATAAATTGTCTTTTAACTATTTTTTCGTGAAGTATAGTATAGACAGGGTATATTTATTATTAAGTCATCGCTTTATATGCAATACAAGAGACTGTGGAACAAAATTTTAAAAATAAAGGTTTAAATTTTCTGATGAAGTTCTTAATATCTTTTTGCTTACATTAGTGAATAGCAATGAAAAATTTAAAATTCCACTTCTTTTTCATGAGTGGCATTTTCTATCAAATGAATTTTTTGTGCCAAAAATTGATAAAAAAAATCTTTTAAATGAAAATAGATTAATCAAATAGTATGATTATTTTAAAATTTAGTGTTCAAATTAAAGTTTGAAGGAATTTTTATAATTGGATTCGAAAATAATGTGTGAAGGTATTTAACTTCAATACGAATGGTTTTAGAACTATAGTATGCCATCAGGGATGTAAATCGAAAAAAGTTTTTAAGCTTCCATCTGTTATTTAGTTAAAACTTTGAAACAATAACTATTTTACAAAAATTTTTTTTCTTTCTGAGGAAAACGCAACAATAGCATTATAGAGTTTACATGTTTGGTTTTTAAAACAAACTAGAAAGCTCTTATGCGGTATTTTCGAAGATAAATTTTTGAAGATAATTTTTTTTTTATAAATATTTCTACTCTGACTTCTCTGAGAGATTACTATGCTGCCAGAACCTATTAAAATCATGGCTTCAGAACCTTTGTTGTTATGAACCAAACAAATGTATTTATCAAAATGCAATTTATGCGAAAAATAATATAATTTTTGACATTTTTATAAAGTTAAATTATCATTTATGCATTGTCTTAGATATTTAAAATAATTTATAAATGATCGAAACTTATTTTAAATATTTATCAAAGAATAGTTTCATTTTACTAATTTATTTCAACATATAAGGAATTACTTGCAATAAAATGGAATATAATGCTGCATAAAAGTTTATAATGAAATGGAATATTTGGATAAATGACTAAATTTAGAAATTTGTTGCATTCTTACATAAAAAGTACTCACAGATGAATACGTTTGTAACTAAAAAGTATTGGCAGCGAGATAAATGTTTGAATAAAAAGTACTGTCATTTAAGTACATTTATAAATACGTAGTACTCACAGTTGATGTGAATTGAAGCATTGCTGCTACATTTTTCTTATAATTTCTCCCTTCTGGTGTTAGATAGTACAGAAAATCTGTCCAAACCCAAGGTTTCATTATTCTATCGGAAAACTGCTCAGAAGCTCTAGAAGGTAACATCAAGATACATAATGTAATAAAGGTTTCACTAAGTTCTTAAAGCAGAAAATCTGCGTTCTAAAATTTAGTTTTTCATAAAGTTCTAAAAATAAATTTAAATTGAGATTTAAACTTTTACCAACACAGCCTAAAGATTATATTTAAGTTAAATAAAAACACAATATTTATAAATTATTATTTTATAACTAATTTAAATTTTGTTTCAAAGTTTATTTGGGTATATAATAAGATCCTTTTAATCTAAATATTATCTTCATTGCTTTTTGTTTCAAAAACACAATTTGGTGAAAAAAGGGTCTAAATGATGTTTTTAAAATGGGAATTAGGATTTTTATGAGGATAGGTTTTGTTTTAGATTTAATTAACTTTAAAACTTTAATTTGGTTTGGAAAGTCGTTATAGTTCAGGAATGTCTTGATAAAAGATTAGGGGCACCGAAGTTATATTTTTGGGAGTCGACCCATTTTGCCGAATAAAATTTAGAATTTTACTAAATCATTAAAAAGTTTGTAATTCATTAGTTTCTATAAAAATTATTTTGATTCTAATATTTTCACAACATGATCATTTTTCTTCCAATAAACTGATTTAGCGAATTTATACTTAATTATTTAGTCAATGAGCTGTGATTGGTCAATCGGCAATGCATTGAACTGTTATGAGGAACAGGAGTGGCGTCTCTGTGGCGATTCTCAGTGGCGTCTTGAAGCCCGCCCAGCTTCAGATCGATGGGTACCAGTTTGCCTGGGCTCAAGTTAAGGCGGCCTGAGCGCAATGATGACCACATTGCCACAAGCAATAGCCACATTATGGAGCTCTGACCTCCGTAAACCCTCTAGCCCCAAAAGAGCCGCTATTTTTATTCTAGGCAATAAATAAAATAAATAATGAATCATTTAATAAATACAAAAAAGAAAAAAATAATAATTCGTAGATAAGAAGAAGACGATTTCTCACTCTTTCACGAATCAAAAACAATGAATTTAGCAATCGGTAAATCTCATCGAAAACTGAATAAAAATAAAAGATGCATTCTGAGAATCGTTTTTTTTAAGTGAAAATATAGTTTCAGTAGTTTTTAAGTGAAAATATAGGTTAATGTAGCAAAAAGTCTACTGATCTTATTTAAAATATTTTTATTTGTTCAATTTAAAAAGTGAACAATAATAAAGTAGATACGGATATAGTAAAGGTGATTTTATGCCTAATATTTCCAGTTAATATACATAAAAATTAATAATACTTCAATACATTAAATAAAACCATCGGTACATAAACGGAGGAAATTAAAATTATTTTAAAATTACTACTGATAATTTTTTTAAATTGATTTTAAAATTTTTTTCTCTTTACATCGAAGAGTTTTTGCATGAAGGATATCATTCTCATTCTCTTCTTCTAAGTTTATTTAATACCCTAATTTTTTTGTCTGTATTTTTTCATATTTTATTTTAATTATATTTGAGGTTTCCACCGCTGCTATATTTCTCCCCAATCGTAGTAGATTTAAGAAATTTTTACTCGAAATAAATTGAAATTTAAAAGAAATAAAAATGAGTTTTTTTTATAATTTTATCATTGTTTTATAATTTAAATAAGATAAAATTAATTTGCTTAAATATGCATAAAGGAGAAACAAAATTTGAAGAAAAGTAAAAATGTTTGGGTGGTCACAGCAACCTCCCGTGACTTTCCACCCCATCGCCATTGATGACATGTGACAACCATTAAATGTTATCGAAGTAGAAGAAGGTTCCAAGAGCATGTGGTAACCAATAGTAGATGAGTAACTATAGACTGCATTTCTTTTGGCAGAAAATTAAAACGCTAAGAATTTGAATATTTTTTATGAAAGTTAGATTAATCAAGGAATAAATTATTAAATCACCCTTGATAATTTTATCAAGGCTAAAAGTTTTTATTATCTCGAAACTTGAGGACAAGGAATAAGAAAAGGAATAAACACAAGAAATAAAGATTATGCATATTGTTTATTTTATTTTATATTGCCGGTACATTAACATTCACATACCCAGGTATTTGATGATGGTCAAGATATAGTGCATTTCCGAGGTATCGTTCTAAAATATTGATATATAAGATGTAATACTTACACTTTTAAAGCCTCAAGGTACTTTGAATCTTTTCTTTGCGCTTCAATTTTAATACCCATAGCAGTTTCTGAAATTAATAAAAGTAGTTTAATTAAATTCCTGTAATTAAAATTATTTGAGCTACTTGCATACTTATTTCAAAATAAAATATTAACGAACATATAGTCAAACTAGAGATTTACTAAAATATCTTTTATTAATAAACAACATGCGATTAAACTTGTTTTAATTTTCTTATCCTACTTTCTTCGTAATGATTCAACAAAATATAGTATTGGTTTTGTCTCATCTACAATTAGGTAACAATTTGAAATCCGTAATGTTTACACTCTCTTGACGAAAATTCTATATATATTCGTAAGTACTAAAGGGGAGAATTACAAAACAGACTTTATTTATGAAATTACTCATCTTATTAAAAAATATTTGTTGATAAAATTATTTATTCTTTCCTTTAGATAAAATAATCTTATTTTTTACAAAAAAAAAAATAAAATAAATAAATAAAAAAACAATCCAATCATTTATTGTGTTGATTTAATAGCAGTGGGAAGAAAACTTGCCTTTTAGATGATTTTGAATGAAATAGCTTGCACCTGCACAATTTTGCTTCAAAAAAGTTAAAACGTGAAGACAATCAGTCTATCACTGAGAGTGCAGTGTGTACTTGGAGAAAAAAAAATCATGATAAAATTACCGTATAATAATGATACCTAGTAAAAAAAAACTTAATTTTGGTTAGTAAAACTTAAAATATATGGTAATTATACCACTCATTTGGTAATTTTTTCGCTTATATGGTAATGGTAATGGTTTTAATGAACAAAATGCAATTAAACTAATTTTAAATTTTTATCCCACTTTCTTCTCTAATGATTCAACAAAATATGGTAATGATTTTACTTTTTCTACAATTAAATATTCATTTGTAATCCCTAATGTTTATACTCGCTTGACGATAATTCGAAAAATATGCATGCGTATTAAGGGGATAATTACAAAACAGACTTTATTTATACAATTATTTACTTTATTATAAAATTATTTTTTTATGAATTTATTTATTCTTCATTTTTTTAGATAAAGTAATCCTATCTTTACATAAAAAAATAATCATTTATTGTTTCTACCTAAAAGTCAGGAATTAAAGAAAACTTGTTTTTCTAGAGGACTTTTGAATAAACTAGCTTTCACCTGCACATTTTTGTTTAAAAAAATTAACACTGTAAAGAGAATCAATCATTGAGAGTGTAGGCTGTACACGAAGAAAACAAATTCTGGTAAAATTACCATACTGTATAGTAATGATACCTAGTAAAAAACAAAAACTTAATTTTGGTTAATAGAACCATAAAATATATTGGGAGTAAAAATAAGTTCCCGCCGTTTTCAATCAAAAATTAGCAGTTTGTAGTGAAAAATCCGTACATTATCTTTTACTCAAAGTATTCTCCATTATAAGGCACTTTTTTCCCCCGTCTTTCTGGGAGCATTTGGATACCACTTTGGAAGCACTCTTCATCTTTCGAGGATATCCACGAATCGATCCGTTGCTTGGTTTCTTCTGATGAAGTAAATGTGCCACCGACCAGAAAAGTTAAAAATTTGAAAGGGCAAGGTCTGGTGAATCCGGGGGGATTCACCCATTGAAGTATTTCCAAATAGCAAAATCAATTTTCATGCAAAATTGACGTTCAATGTCTCGTGGCTTCAGTTCATATGGAATCCAACTTCCTTGTTTTAGGTTCATTCCCAGAGATTTTAAACGATAAGTAATTTCTTGCTGAATCACTTGTAATGTAAGAGCAAAATCTTTTTGTGTTGGGACGAATCTTTTTCCAATAATTCTTCCAATTCCTTGTCTTCTTTCAATTTCGGCCTTCCCCTGCCTTCTTTTTCTTCCACGTCAAACTGATCGTTTTTAAACTTCTGAAACCACTAACGACAACTTCACTTCTCTCATTTAAAGCAGTCTAACCACATACTTCTCCAAGCAATCGATGCGCCTCATCTGCAGATTTCTTCAAATTAAAGAAGTAAATCAAAAGTTCCCTCAAATGACAATTATTTGACATGAAAACAATTACGTAATGCTAATACGGAATCACTAATATTTTAAGTTTATGTTGTTTTCAGATGAACAAACTTACAATAAGACGTTCAACGCCAGTCAATTTCTGAATAACCTTCTTGTGGTGCCATCTTGTGATGAAAGACGGAAACTTATTTGTGCACCCAATATGGTAATTAAACCATTTGCTTGATAATTTTTCCGTTCATTTGGTAATTGTTTCCCAGTAATTCAGTTTTTCAAAATTATAGTTTTTACTACAAGACATTTATTGAAACATACAAGAATGAAACGTAATTTGAACCGAATAAATGGTTTTTAGGCCATATCCTTAAGAATCATGAACGCAGTGTGTGACTGAACCAAATGCAGTTGCTACGATTTGAACCTGTGTCGTATGTATAATTAAAACGTTCCGTAATCAACCCCTTAATGTATGGTTTCAGAAACGTAGTCAAAAATTAAGTCAGTATGTATAAAAGAATTTAGCTCTATAATTATGTAACTTTACATTACTTAAATATACAATTATATAACATAAACTAATATTTAAGCTGCAAAAAAAATGATATAGAAATTTACGAGACACTATTGGTGAGAAAGACAGGTTGAAAAGCATCAAAAACATGTAAACGTTTGATTGTCCGGTAAAAGTTTGAGGTGTTTTTTACAATCGTCTTTGAGATCTTTCTCTTCCAATGCTGGTACAGCTTTCCTCAGTGGTGATTTATTAGGCCTTGATGGGTTTACTTTGTTTTAACCTTACTTAGATAATTGTTAACAGTCCCTTATGTGCAGTCATTTCGTCTTTGTCTCTGGCAAGAATTCTAAGTATACGTATTAAGAGCGGTAATTTTGGAACACCCATTATAACCTTAATTACACTTAATATATTTAGTTAACTACTTGTGAAAGTTTTAAAACTAAAACAAAGAAAACTAATTCCTAAAGTTTTGGGGGGGGGGGAATTTTTCTATAGTATTAAACTGAATTCTGGGAGCCAGAAAAAATGAAAATCAGGGGAAAAAATTTATAAAATAATATGAAATAATAATGGTCTTACCACAAAGTATGTCGAGTGTGCACAAGGTGATTGGTTGAACAACGTCGAATATTTCGCCAACTTTTTCATCCAGTACTTGAGTAAGTATTCTGGATTGTTCGTCGATGACTGGTTGAAAATCACTTAAAATGCGGAAGTGAAAAGCTGGCGTAAGCAGTTTTCGTCTAGCTCTCCACTTAGAGCCGGAACTTCAAAAGAGAAAAAAAATTCTTAGTTTGTATTTAAGGAACATATTTTTTTTATCGGTCATCATTTCTGAAGATATATTAAACCTTACATTTGAATTTTTTTTATATTTATGCTGAATGCTCTCAAAATATCACCAATATTATATTATTTATATACTCCTAAATTTAATCGAGAAAAGCTAGATTTTATGAACTCAAATATATCTTTAAATAAAAGAAAAGAAAATATCCGATTTTTCATGAAATTCCTTTGAACTAATTTCAATTTGTCTGAAGAATAAATAATCCTTTTGTAGGAATTTTGAATTATTTAAAATAATAAATAAAAACTTAATTTTTATAATAAGCAAATTATAATTTTTTTTTGGAATAATTTTTAGAAAAATTCTACAATGTTAACATTATTTCTACTAAAAGGTAACAAAACAATTTTCAAGCTTTAACCCTAAATTATTGTCTTTTAAAACTTTTCCTCAACCCTAATTTTTTTTAAACTTTTCAGACAATATTTATCAAACTAATTAAAGGATATTTTATTTCAGGTACTCATAGTTGTAAAAATTTGCAAATGACATATATATTTTTACACCGTGGTGTATTTTGACTCTATACAGTCGCAGAAATAAAACTCTCTTTTTTGATGTGTCCATAAATTAGCGTTATGCTTGTCAATTAGTTTCTTCAATGAATGCGAACCGTGGAGTTTGGTGAAAGGGTATGGTGCTGACATCTGTTAAAGATGGGAGAGTTGCTAGTTCTTTGACGTCTGCTGAATTTGAACCCAAGGACTTCTGTGTTCGTAGGTCTGATACTGTTACCACCAAGGAAAAAGGAGTACGTCCCCGATTTGAGTTAAAACGCCTTATGCAATTACTGTAGAAATCAACAGTAAATTCGGCTAATTTTGCCTTTTCATTTCAGTTTCGGTGAAGGCTTTTTTTTCTCAAGGAAATTAGTTGGTGGCATAAATTAACGGCCTGTTCTCCAAGCTTTTCTTAGCCATACAAAAAGATTTATTTCCATTGCAGTAAGGTTCAATTATGCACTTCCCTAAGGTTGTTGAAATTTCACAATTTTATAGTTCAACTAGCTTTAAAATTTTAATCAATATAAGTTCTTGCATAATGTATGTATCCTTCGCTTCTACGCAAAGATTTTGTCTCAATTTGACAAATGGTTAATTAAATTACTAAAAATTAATCGAATGTTTTTAAGCATTGGATTAGACTTTGTTACACACATTTGGTTTAAAATACTAGGATTATAATGTGAGTTACACGTCAATGCAATTTTGTCATGATGCGTCATTTTTGAGACTGTTCAATCTTGAGCAAGTTACTGCTCAATAATGAGTACAAGGGATTTGCAACTTCAACAGTAAATACACAAGTAAGAGTGGGCGACCTTTGTGCTAAAATACAAACTAAGGCATAAAATATTTTTGTATTTTATAAATATTTTTGTGCTCTTTAACGTTGTTTGCCTTAGTTTGTAACTTCAACAGTATTTGCCTTCAGAGCTATTTTTTTAAATTTTTAGAAACACTTTTTTGCACTGTATCACTACAAAAGGTGCATTTACGTCCGATTTTAAATATGCTACATAAACTATCGAAAAACTAATAATAATTTATTTTATTTCGGTTAAAGCTTTATGGAACATGCAAGTTAACATATTTTAAAGTTGATTTTAGATTAAATAAAAATAAAATTCACCCGATTAAATAAAAATAAAATTCACCGAAAGTAAACATGATGATAGAAATTAATGGTTAGTACGAAACCCTTTACTTTTTTATTCAACATATCTTAATTTTATTTAAAGCATTTGTTAAAAATCTATGCAGAAAAGTTTAATCTTTTTACGTGAAGATTTACTTGTATTGAGGTTTTACAAAAAATACATTTGCGCACAATACTCGCAAAAGCTTTAATAATATATATTAAGATTATAATACAATAATATTGCTTATCGAGCTTTTAGATTTTATTTATTTCATAAAACTTTCGTCTAGGATTCTAGAACTAGTCAATTAGTTAGTTTTCTCCCTACTAAAAAAAAATGATGGACTAATGGAGTTTTTGAGAAAAACATTAAACAGTAAGATTTATAAATGTGAACTAGTTTTCTCCCTACTAAAAAAAATGATGGACTAATGGAGTTTTTAAGAAAAACATTAAACAGTAAGATTTATAAATGTGAACTAGTTTTCTCCCTACTAAAAAAAATTATGGACTAATGGAGTTTTTGAGAAAAACATTAAACAGTAAGATTTATAAATATGAAGTATATAAAAACGCAACTTTAGTTTTACCTTGTTATTAAACCTTCCTTAAACCAATTGTTTAGAAATGCATACATAAATGTCTTCTTCAGTACTGTATTGCTGTTCAAAATCAGCTGAAAAAAACATTAAGGTCTATTAGTATTTCAGAAATAAATGACGCACACTCAAATTAATTAAAAAAATAACTAAAAATGGAGAAATTACAGCGAATTATAAACAAATTATACATTATATGGATATGTAATATATTATACATATAATATATTATATGGAGAATTATATACTTAACTAACTCATCGCATATTGTTTAATTTGTTATTTATGTTTAAAAATAACTTAATTTATTGCAAAATTATAAAAAAAAAATATTGTGTTTTATTTTTATGCTTATAACTGGAATCTATATAAGTGTCCAAGTTAGATAACAAAATAATCATGAAAATATTTTTAAGAATTTGTTATTTTTCTTTTAATTACGAATGACAAATACTCAATTTAGTTGCAATGGCTTTAACTTATGTAAGAATAAATCTACAATTGTTTGTAATTAAATTTAATTTAATATACGCAAAAAAAAGATATTAAATGAGTATCTGATAGACTGATAAGCTCATCACTTATTGACGAACAAATGTCATTCAAAGTAACAATTAAAAAGCATGTTAAGAACTTAAATTTCACTTTTAAAACCCTGTTTTATAATTTACTCTTTAAAAAATACTATTCTTGTTATTTTCTATTAAGACAAGAGGGGGGGGAGGTGCTTCTATTTGTTTTTCAGTGGCACCATCTATTGCTAAGAATTCGACTTTTGTCTCAAACATACGTCATAGACCATTGTGCAGATGGGACATATTCACAAACCATCCATCCATTCATCCTCAAATCGCAATTTTGACACGAACCGGAGTATGATCAATCTCCGATCCTGTTCCCCTCGAGGTATTGATTTGTAAAGGGAACTTGGAGGACTTTGTGACCTCGACATAATTAACTTGAAACCAGTCACCATTTAATACACGGGGATTCTTCCGCCGATGGGATTCGAACTTAAGTTCTCACAAACCCTCCCCCCTCCCATTAACACTATTATCACAGATTACTATAAGGTGTTCGGGATAACTTAAAAATCTTTTTTGTTCGATAATATTCAGCTGGTGATATGCAATAATTTGAATTTGATTATTGGATTTGATGTTGTCGCATACTTTAATACTGTGTGTATCTTAGAACTATAATTTTAAACCATTACTTTTATACAAGATAACATCATCACCAATTAATAATTTTCATCAAAATGGTCTTTTTGCTGTTGTTTGTTTATTTTGGAACTTGCATTTTCATTGTGGTTTTTTTCTCTATATTTTTATATTCGTTATTTTTTTCTGTAAGGCATAATAATGGGCATCCGAGCTTTTTTTTCAAAACTGGCTTTTATTAGTCCTAAAGTCAAACTTGGAATGAAGGGCTTATGAAGGGCTATGATAGTCAATTTAATAATATTCCCTAATGAAATGTTATGAATACTTAATATGCATTCTGAATAAATAAATTCATCTCATGCATTAACCTCTATCTCCGAAGGGGCTTTACCTATCATCAAAAACATTAAATAGTTAATGATTAAATTGCTGCGCCATTTCTTCAAGAACTAGAAAGTTGCTAATTTTTAACTACCGATTATATGTTTTCAGCTTATGCTTGTCTGAAAGTATATTTGTTCAGTCTATATTGTTTGTTGTTTATTGTATGTTTGTTTCATTATTTAGCAAAACCTTTATTGACTTGTATCGCAGATTTTTGTCTCACTGTTATTACATCACTTGTGTTTTGTCTTAATGTTGAATGCGTATCACGTGCCACCGAAATATGCAGAGGATTTAATAAATTGTACGATTTATGGTCTTCATTTATTTTTCTCATTCCGCAAATTAATAATGCTAATTATTAATAATGTAAGAATAAATCAGAATTTGCATTTAAACAAATTTAAAGGAAACGAATGAGTATTTCACTTAAATTGTGAAACAAATCGAGCATTTTCTCCAGAGAAAGGAAATCTCCGGAATTTAGGCAGCTGCATGAACCAACACCGCAAACGGTGATATGAATACTAATATCGAATTGGTATTATTCTTCGAAGTTGTTTATGGTAATGCACGCTTTATTGATGGAATTTTGATTTCTCGCCAGTTTGAAAGTTAAACAACTAAATGTGGTCCCATGAAGTTTTATTCTAATACTTGTATAATTCACTAAATTCCCCCTTTGATTTTTATTTAAGAATATTAGCTATTTAAAAAGTGATCTAGTGGAGTGTAATTATTGACAAAAAAAAAGGATTTTACGTTATGTAGTTATCATTTTGCAGAATTTTGAAGGGAAAAGTTTTACATCTTATACAAATCACAACTTCGAACCGATTCACACCATATATGGCGTACAGAGCATAAAAAATCGCATATTTCTCAAGAAGAATGTGACCTCTGTCATAAATATTTAATATTTTGCTTTATAAATATACATTCTTTAATATTATGCAAAAAACTGAATACTTTGCAATTCAAAATGCTTTCGACTATCATTAAATAAAATAATGCAAAAATGATAAATAATTATTAAAAAAAATGTTTTCTTTTTTGCGTGAATCTTTTGATATAAGAATTTTATAATTGTGTGCAAAATGTTTTGATTCGCAGAAAAAGTTCTTGAGATATGGCGAAATAGGCAGAAAGTATACTCAACATGGGTCAAAACTTTGAACCTCTCAAACTACAAACTTCTTGGAGAAGGATTAGGGTCATTTGGATTTTTACTTCAAATACTTTTTAGTCATCTTTAGAGGCTACTTTAGGACAGTTCAACTTTAATTTCTCCGAATGCAATCAAGACTTCAATGTTCTATAACAATAGCATACATGTATCTTTTTATCTCAAATATTTGTGTGTTCAATGAAGTAAATCAAATTAATGCTTGTCCGTTACCAAGTTTTTAAATATACTTTTAAAATTTTCCAAGAAATACATTGGAAATTTAACTATACCAATTAACTAATTCTACTAATTATAATTTAATTATAATTCTGGACTCAGCTAAAAGACTATAAATCATGCATTGCTTCCAGGGTAGGGTAAAACTTATTGTGTTTCTAGCTCTATAGGAACACCAAAAAGCACAGTCATTTTTTCCGAAGCACTTTGATTATAATTTTGGTAAAAATAATGTTTTTTTTATAATATGTGTTAAAATTCCATAAATGCAAAAAAAGTTTGGTAATTTTATCATGATACCTTAGACCATAGTATAAAAGCTATTTACTCAGTTTTGTTTACACTCCGATTTTACTTTTTTACTAAAATGTGTGAACCATAATTTTTGAAAACTAGAATTTTCGATAAAAATCGGTGCCATGTGTATGGAAGCCATAAACATAGGAATGGTTTAATTTATATTTCGGCTTTATTACCGAAATTATGTTCTCATCATAAATGTCTTTACCATACAGAACAGTAATTTCACCAGACTTTTTTTCTTCTTGTGGTTGAATATCTTTAAAGAAATGTATATTTTTTTCAGTGTATAGTAAAACACACGAAACATCAAATTAGGCACAAAACAAACTGGCATTGTTAGTTAGTTTTCAATTTACCGAAACTGACCTACTTAATCTCAAGACTATGAAATGCAACTAACATTAACTTTACTATAAAAGACATTTTAAAAGAGCTATTGGTCTGACTTTTTTCAAAAAGTACAAAAATTTTTATACGAATCACAATCAGCGGAAAAAGAGTTTTCTTCATTAAAACTTCTTCATCTGACTGTTCTTTTCTACCTGAAACAGTGTAAAAATCTTCTTTTTAATTTAAAGTTTACTTAGATCGTAATGTTTATAATTGTTGAAAACTTTCCTTTATAATTGTTGGAAGATGTACCTAATGATTTAAAATTCTCATTTAACTTACATTGAGCATGTAAAATATATTTTTCATACATATTTTACAAAAAAGTAAAAAAACTCTAAAATTTGTTTTTAGGTATTAAATACTTTTTTTTCCCAAGGAATAAAATGCGTTTAATTTTATAGTTAAAAGAACATGCTACATATTATAACAAAAAGTTATAAGAGCATGATTTCCTTAATTTTTTCTAAAAATTTTTATTTCAAATGTTTAAACGTATTTAATTTTGGATAGGCTTTTTGTTATTGGAATATTTACTTTACTTCAGATTATTAGGAGTTACTTTCTTAAAACATTTTCTAATTTAATTCAAATAATTATACGTATTTAATTTTTTTAAAATAATAGGACATGATTTCCGAAAGTATTCAGTTAGAATAATAAAATGTCATTTAATATATTCCTTTTTAGCTTGAATTTTATTAATATGAAATTTTCTTTACTTATTTCTTATTTTACTTATTATTTATTCATGAGCCGGTGAAGTACTCATTTAAAAAAAATAAGCTAATGTTTAATTTAGTTCGAGCTAAAGCCATTAATACAATTTTCATATTCAAACAAAGCTCTACAAACGCTGGCAAACATTTTCATGTTTAATAATCTCCTAAACCTATTTAAGTTAGTTATTCTACTTAATATAACGTGTTATATAACTAATAACGGGAGAATCCGGGTTACTATTATAATTGTAATATAATTTTAGGGAGAGCGATATACGAAAACTGGATACATATTCTCTAATAATTGGTAAATATTCACCATACAAGTTTATTTATTGATGTTGGGGATACGGGTGAACGATAGTTATAATAATCAACTTCAAATATCATGTATGTTACAGTTTACTGAAATAAGCTATTACTATTTCAAAAATCGATATACAACAGTAATAGCGTCTAGTGTCACTCATGCTACATATTCAGAATAGTAAACTTCTAAAATTTACATTGTGAAATTATGATGAAATAACCGGGAGCCTGTCCATCCAATGAACCATAAAGTTTACGGTTAGGAACATTTTTTTTTTACCTTTACGGTTTTGTAACCATTTACAACTAGCATGATTTCAAAATCATAAAAATAAAATTTAACTGGACATTGGAGGGAAGTTATGCTAGGTTTTTCGCAAATATGCTCTTACGGAAGA